TAACTACTACTACTTATTTTCTGAATTTCTTCCCTTTTTCCAGTTCCCACTTCTTCCCCCGTCTAGCTTGTTACCCGCTGGCTGAACTCTGAACTGACCCGCTAGCACAACAGCAAGCACACTTGACGGCATCTTAGCAAGCTAGACCTTAAAATAATACTGATCCGAACATCAGATGGAAAAAAGGAGCATATCCAGTCTCAAGTGACACATTGGCTCCCACTTCGGTTGTTGGATATCTCCCCACTGGAACATATCTGTTCGTCATCAACACCAATACGACGTTAACTGCAGCTGCCCCGTATCGACGGCGACATTGCATTGTCATAAAGAAAAAAGAACATAGACCGACCGGAGGTACGACGGAAGAAAACAGAAAGGATCAAGAAGGTTATCCAAATTGCCGGCTTCACAGTTTACAACTTTACATACTTTTCCTTACCCCGTCTTGCCCCCACAAGAGAAACCGGTCCCGAAAGACCCAGAATAATGTTTAGACCGATTAGAACCGTGGACGAGAATTGCCTTGTAAGCCTTTCCCTTTTGTGTACTCGTGGCATTTGTTATTACCAGTTTACCACCCCATGTCTTGGCCGTCGCTTGCCCTACTACTCGGCTGTCCTCTGCAGCGTTTTCTCTTTCAGCAAAACCAACATATTCCATGGGATGCTAACAAATAATGTCCCAGGAGTCGAACCGTCAGTAGTAAGTAGCTTGCTTGTTTGTTACCGTCTTTGAGGAAACTGCAGCTGGCATCAATCGGGATGGAAGGAGTATAGAAAGAGAAGACGATTAAATCGCTTGTGGTACGCTGACACAGAATTCTGCTGTAGTGACACGCAGTCGTTGACTGCGAGTGTAACTGACTATCCCACTGAGAATGGAAGACGATACCACAAATACCATGAGGGCTGTATGTTCTCTGTCCCTGTCTCTTTTCACTGCTTTGTCTGATGTAAATTCAGCATACATTTACCCGAACGATGAGCAGGAATTGGATCGATTAGACATGCAGCACCATATGATCAAACTGGTCAACGATGGACGGCTGTTCTTCGCTCCCATACATAGCCCTAAACGCATCCTCGATATCGGTACTGGATCTGGCATATGGCCCATAGAAATGGGTGCGTCTTCCTCCTGTCACCCCGTCGCTTACTCCACGCGGTTTCTTACTGTTCCATTGCTCCTGTAGCATCCATCTTCCCTGAGGCCGAAATCACAGGCACTGATCTGTCACCTGTTCAACCGAATGAGGTTCCCCATAACGTTCACTTTCTCGTTGACGATGCCACCGAAGAAGACTGGTTATGGGACGCAAATCACTTTGACTTCATTCACACAGCCCATATGATTGGTTCGTTCCCATCGTTCAAGGATGTCTTGCGCAAGGCATTCAAGCATCTCAAACCTGGCGGTTATATGGAGTGCCACGAATTCGACCCTAAGCTGAAATGTGACGATGGTACCATGCCTCCCGAGAATCCGGATGGCTTTTGTGAATATGCCTTGCTTGATTGGGTCGATCTCAATGTGCGCTCAAGTCAGGTTACAGATCCCCCAAGACAATTTCGCATCGCTCATCGTATTGCTCGCTGGATGAGAGAAGTCGGCTTCGTGGACGTCCAGGAACGCATCTCCAAAGTTCCGACCAACCCATGGTCTGAGGATCCGCACCTGCGTACAATCGGCACTTGGAGTGAGACAAATTGGCTGGAGGCTCTGTCCGGATGGTCCTACAAACCTCTTTCTGCACTGGGGTGGTCGAAGCCGGAGATTGAAGTTTTTCTGGTTGATGTGCGAAAAAGCATTCAGAATCGTGATGTCCATAGCTACATGGACTTCTATGTCGTGACGGGGAGGAAACCGCACCCTGGGGAACAAGCCTCCTGAAAGCCTGCCATCACTTCCGCTGTCCTTTTCCCTTCCCCCTGCTATCTTTGGAGCGTCTCCATGAAGAAGCACTTTTTTTTGGCTGCATTGCATAAGATACCACCGGCTTCACAATATTCCATGCATTACAGGAAGGCGTGCAGGGGTTCTGCTTTTTGAATTCATGTTTTGGTAAATAATCCTTAGATGTCTGGAATGGAATCGCATTGAACAATATTGTACTGTGCGTCGAGTGACTGTTGTCGTAGAATCATCGTCAGGCGCAACTGTTTCACTTCGCTTGGGAGCTTTGAGTTATAAATCCGGTCATTGGCTTAACGAAATTGAATGAGGATCTGGCATTATCTTCTAGTGACGGCTTATATCAATAGGCTGCTTTCGACTTGCTTCAGTCAGGTACCTTGGCCCAGACCTAAAGCCCAAGCTACTGCGGTTGGGGCCACCGCTTAGTCATCCGCTCGAAACTCGAACACCGAACTCTCCGCAAGCTTCATTCATGCTAATGTCTCTACGAGGTCAACACAGCTCAGCTGCACTCGAATGCCCCCGTTGCCTCATGTCTCTCGGTAGACATGTCTATCGGCATGCGCTGCACCCATCTTCCCCACATCTCATTGACCACGTGTGGATTAGCGAAGAACTGCTTGCATCAACCTTCCGACGATTCGCAACCAGTCAACGACGCTACGAAAGTCGAGTGCCAGGGCCTTTGGAGGCAAGAAGACGTCTGGCCAAGCGACGAAATACTGCATTGGCCGGTATAGCCGGCTCAGGACCTCTAGAAGATATTGCGTGTTTGTTCGGACGAAATGGCCGGGAGCACATGAAATGGACGGACCGGGAGGAACGAAATGTTCACCCGGAGGCGCATGGTAAGAATCTACTACTCAGCCAATCCTTGGGAAGATGGACCGTGTTCCTAACTGCACCAAAGTCTCTCCTCCCTTTCCATTGAGTCCCCCGGAGCCTCCTCTGCCGTTCTACAGTGAAAACATCGCCCCGATGGAGTTCGACACATTGGATGATATCCGGGGGTTCCCAGATGCGTCACACAACACCTCTCGTGAGCAGGCTCTAGAGAAATTTTTGAAATCGCGTCCATCGGTCACAGCTATTGGGATTTTCGTGCGCCAACTCAATTTCGATCTCCAGCGGGAGCCTACCTACAGCCGCCTGATACTCAGACACCTGCTGCCGCGATCAGCCAACAACGAGGGCGCCATGAAGAAGGTTGTCGAATTTCTCGATGATCCCTATCTTAATACCAGAGGGGCTGGAAATTATCTGTACGCTCTTAAGCATACCTTATCAACAGCGGCAGTTTTCAGGAAACAGCCGGTGTTCGACGCCGTTATTCGATCTTTGGAGCTAGGGCTCTTACATCCCAGTGAGCTTCAAGATATCATAAAGTCTATATCCAATGTCAAATTCAAACCATCACATGAATTCACAGCACGGAACTCCAGGTTCCTGGTCAGGTTTCATCGGGAGATGTGGGACGCCATCGGACGTTGTGATATCTATCGACACAAGGATCTTAGCAAGGATATAGTCGATGCATGGCTAAGCATCCTTTGCGAAAGAAAACCTTATCAGGACTTCATACTGGCGAAGGACATGATTCTGGCAACCCAGGATCCTAGTTCAGCTGATTGCCGATGGGTGCCTACTCTGATCGCATGCTGGCTAAAAGTTTCGGCGGAATCACGGCATAGCGGCAATCGGCATTATATCAAGGAGCTCTTGGGTTATTTCCATCCCACTGCCACATCTGAAATTATTATCCGCACAACAGAGTATCTGGTGTCTACGAAGATGGGCTACTTGCTTGAGTGGCAACGCCGCTTGTCCGAGCTTGACAACATAATAAGTATTGTCTCTTCACAGACATGGGTCGATGTGCGCACGCAACATACTGCCGAGTCATTGGAACCTACACAAGAGACGAACTCGCCGCTATCATTCAGAGACCAAATTATCTTACGCATTTGGATGTTGCGAGCTCTTAGCAAATATCTCCCCCAGGGCCCGCTTTGGAGAAGAGATCAGAGGGTGACTGACCCGGCGATAACCCATCTCTGCACAATTTACGAATCTACTCTCGACAAGGGCGGTTACGAGGACCTCTTAAGCAGCTTGATGCAGGAAATCCACACCCTCGGCATACCGTCTAATGGCCTGCTGATGTCGGTCGTGGAATTGAAGGCAGCAAAGCGACGCACGACGCGAGCTCAAAGACGGACATTGGCGAAACTCGAGACGACAAAAGTGTCTTTCGCAGAGATGTTCTCAGATATCCATGCTTACAACGCGTCAAACACCCATTTCTTCTCCGTCTATGAGAAGATGGCACGGCAGATCGATGTCACCGACCCTTCGTTCGTGAATCATGCCATTGAGATCGCCAGAGACGGGAACATTCAAACAATCTGGACACTGATCCGTTTGTTCCGTTGCCACACTCCCCTCAAAATTGCGATATCGAGCTTTTGGCCGCGTGTCCCAGACCCCTCGGAAAAAGCTCTGGTGCGCTACTACCCAGAGCCAAGAACCGCGCTCTGTCCAGACCCTCATTTGGCCGTAGAGATGCTCCACCTCTTTGCTGTTTCTCTCGCATGTTCGAGGAACATCAGCCCTCGTCGTGCTTATGCGCTGGTCCACTGGCTTTACGATTTCCTGATGAAGCACAATGCGCACGTGAAACCGTCTCTTGTGCGCGCCATGTATCATGCCGGTGTATTGCGTTTCCGAAGAGCAGGGTTGAACGTTGCGCCGACTCAGTATGCCTACATCCTTGACCGCGTGAAAGAAATTGAGACACCGGAAATGGTGCAAGCCCTCATGGAGCCGCCGCGCGTGGGGGAAAGGGGAAGAGAGAAAACTCTGTCTGAGGACAGATGACTCGATGTGCATTCATTTCGTGGGAAACATGCAATAGCCCATTCTGTATATAGTTACCTTATCTCAGCATTATAGAGACGTTATGTGAAATTGCAGAGGCATGATCACGCTGCATAATTACCATGGATGTTCAAGGCAATTCCGAAGACTTATCCTCCTGCATTTGACTACGCGGTGCAAAATTTTACTATCTCTCATGGGGATATTGCTGAGTTTAGTCGTCCTCAGTAGGATGATATTGAAGACATGCAATTGATCCTTCAATTAGAATTCTTGATGCGTTACAAAAAACCACAGACAACAAAGATATATCATGTTTAAGCTCTTTCTACCGTCGGCTCAATCACGAATCTACCTCCATGAGGTTTGGATCCCCAGAGACATCCTCCACAGTCACATATTGTCTCATGTCCTGTTTGCTGATGATCTTCTCGTTCAGGTAGGCCGTTGTGCCCCTAGGGAAGCGGTAGTTGCGCTCTTTCTCACCACGCTCGTTGGGCCTCATGTAGTTACGCAGTAGCTGCGTGGGCTTATCTTTCTGGATGACGCACACGTCAACGTTGCTACCGGAGCCCAAGTCGTTGAAGATACCGGCTTTGATAGCTTCCGAGCACAAAGCGATAGCCTCTTCACGGTTCAGCTGCGGTTTCCACATCGACTCGAAAACAGACATCGCGGCCAGAGAGCCGGAGCCCATGGTGACGTAGGGGAGCTTGTCGGTCGAACCGTGAGCGTGGACAGTGAAAAGACCGACGCCTGTCGGGTCAACGCCCGCGACGACCAGATAGGCGCCGATGTGTCCCTGGTATCTGAAGAGGTGCTGCTTCAACATGGTCATGCAGGTGATTACTCGTGGGGGCCGGCCCGTCGACAGAGAGTGCAGTTCGACGTTGGAGCTGATCAGGGCGGTTGTGAATTCAGTGTCTGCAGCTGTACCGGCTCCAGCACACCAGATCTTGGGGGCGATGTAGTGAAGTTTCTCGCAGTTCTATGTAGGATCGGAATGATTAGCATTCACACGTCTTCTAGAAGCTTATTTAAATGTAAACATACCTTGTCTGCGACTATAGGGCCACTCGTAGCTCTGGTATCTGCAGCGATCTGTTGTGAGGGTAAGATTGAGTGAGCCTCCGGACAGTCCATCTTCACTAGGGATTATTCGGTGGATTCCATCATCACCTACCACAACACCATTGTCGAAGATACAACCCACGATTGTTGTACCAGTACTTGTCGCTTTCGGGAGAGGCACACCTTTGGCGTGCAGAGCCGCGTTGCGATTGTAGTTGGAGAAGTCGAAGCCTGCCATATTGACGGGCGCGGAGAGGGATAGGTAAGGATAGGCAAGATAGGGGATGAGCGACGCAAGATTGTGCTGGGATAAGTGGTCTTCAAGATCAAGTGGTCGTTGCGGAACTGGTAAATGAATCAATGGAAGAAACACGGGAAGCTTGAGGAGCTAGGTAGTCGGTGATGGGCGGCGGAGGAGCTGGAACTGCTGCAGTGACGAAGCTCCCGCCGCCTAATCGCTTATGCCTGAGGCATTCAGGCCTGCAACGCGCCCAGAGCTTCCGCTGTTTTTGTTCCGCCGGAAATTATGATGATTATTGCTCGAGGCTTCACTTTTGCTCGTCGGACAACTTAGGAGATTGCTCTATTGCTGAAGCCGAACAACTGTTGTCCGGCCAACTCAATCTGGCCGCCTCGCTAATCTTTCACTCCTGATACTCTCCCTTCCTTTGAGGGGATATCCAAGATTTTTGCGCGCACTTGGAAGCTGTTCAACCGGAGTCCCCAAGCACTCCAGCGTCGCTCGTTTCCACCTCCACCGCATAGCCCACCTTCTCCCCATGCACCAAAGTTCAGTCTATCTTTAGGCGACCGTCCTCGATCGATTTCGTCTGACCTCGACAGCCTCAGAATGGCTTTCAATTTCGGGGCTTCCAACCCCGCTGCTGGAGGGCCTGCAGCTGAGTTGGGACCCGAGCTCCCGGATGTTATTGCTGATGTACGTCACCTTCTCATCGCCCTTATGAATGGTTCTTCTCGTCGTCGATTGCTGATACAAGAATCAGGAGGTCGGTTTCAAAGGTGTTTCCGGTGATAGCAATGTCCGGTTCCTTCCTACCACCTGGCCTGAAGATGCCCTTCCAGCTCCAACAAGCTCCCTTCTGGCTGTCGCGCCGACCAAAGGAATAGTGGCCGGTGCCGCCCCGAACTCGCTTGTTATCGCGTCGTCGGACGCAGTGCGAAAGGCCATCGGCGCAACGACCGGGGAAAGCAAAGTCAAGACTAAACCCTTCGAACCACAAGCGACTCTACCCCTTCCTGCGCGACCTACACATGTGGCTTTCGCCTCTGGCGACAATGCCTTAGTCTTAGCGACCGAAAATGGCGCGGAACTTGCGGTCTATCAGACTGCGACTCTGCTGACGGGAAACCCGCAGCCTGCCTTGGCCATCCCGATGAACGGCACAACCCTTCGCGCCATGGCACCCAATCCTACACCGTCAGAAGATATCCTTTCATCTCTGGTCGCACTAGTCACAGCAAATGGCGAGCTTTTGATTGCCGATTTGAAAGGAGCGAGTCTAATCCGGGGACCTAGCGGGCAGGTACTCAGGACCGGAGTAAGCTCCGTATGCTGGAGTAACAAAGGGAAACAGCTTGTGGCTGGTCTTGCAGATGGAACAGCAGTTCAACTAACTCCTGACGGTACCCAAAAGGACGTAATACCCCGCCCTTCTGACCTGGAAGGCGATTGTCACGGTACGTTGGGCAATTTTACACATTGTAAGTTCCGTCACTAATCTCGAATAGTGTCGTCCATTGCCTGGCTTGAAAATGACATATTCTTGATGGTATATACGCCAAATGCGACCGAAGATGATATGGGTCAGACGCCTTCGTCTTCGTACTATATCATCACCAGAAGAAAAGGCGCACCGTTCCTGGTCCAGAAGATGCCGGAACTGTGCATGCCATTTGGTGTGAACCGCGCCCCAGCCTACCAGTTTATTGCGCGTCTGAGGGACTACAAGCCGCACTTGAAAGACATCCTAATCGTATCTTCAACAGCATCTACAGATATAGGTCTTATCACCCGGTCCGATCAACCACTAGCTAGCGATGACGCTGCCAAAGGCACCGTGGGTCTCTTTACAACAACAGAGGTCAATGACGACACAAAGAGAGCCTCACTCCCTTTAAATGAGGCCACTAGTGAAACTTCAGTAATTGGATTAGGGGTTGACCTCTCTAGCACCGAACCTGTGGTTTCCCCAATCCAAGGCGAAGACATTGCGGAAAGTTCCACGCCTCTGCCCAATCTCTTCCTCTTGAACAACGAAGGCATACTGTGCTCTTGGTGGATCATATATTCAGAGTCTATTCGCCAGAAACTGCCCTACCATGGTCTGGTCTCGGTAAGCCCGCAACAACCGACACCGCAAGCACAAGCACCAGAACCAGCGCAGCCCACCACGCGGCCTGCGTTCGGACAGCCTGCATTTGGACAGTCGGCCTTTGGCAGCCCTTCGGCAATGGGTTCGTCGCCGTTTGGCAAACCTTCTGCTGCCCCAGCGTTTGGCAGCCCCTCAGCTCTAGGTAGCCGACAACCTGCCTTTGGAACGCCATCGGCTCCCAGTGGCCCATCATTTGGATCGCCATCCCAGATTAAACCTTCATTCGGCGCGCCTAGTACTCTGGCGCGCGCAACGCCCCAATTTGGCCAGTCGGGCTTTGGAGCAAGTGCTGCGCCCAGCTTTGGGCAACCGTCCACACCAGGTAAACCGCTCTCTTTCGGTACGCCCAGCGCTACCCCAGGAGGAGGATTTGGCTCGTTTGCGAATGCAGGAGGATTCTCCAGCTTTGCGGCACCCAAACCGGCAACAGAATCTCCCTTTGCGAAAGCCGCCGGCGAATCTCCTTTCGGTAAACCTGTCACTGAATCACCTTTTGGCAAGGTTTCAACCGAGAGTCCTTTTGCGAAGCCTTCAGGCCCATCGATTTTCGGCACCCAGGCTCAGACCGACACAGCCTTCACACCTCAGAAGGCGGACGAATCTAAGGGTGGCTTTGGCGCCTCAAGCAGCTTCGTACTTGGTTCCACTTTTAAGGGCGACGGCACTGCTGTCAATGACGGTCCAAAGCCTGAAAAGGCATCTGGGTTATTTTCCTTTGGCACGTCTCTGGACGATATGATCTCCACACCTGATAAGACCAGTCCGCCAACAGAATCGATGGACGACACCGAAGATCAGCCTGTGGTGACCCAACCTGAGAAGCCAGCAGCCAAGGAGCCTTCAACATCAGTGTTTGGCGCGCCCTCTAAAATAGATACCTCAAAAACGACGTCGATATTCGGTTCTCAGACGCAACCTCAGCCAGCGACACAAACCAACAAGTCTCCCTTCTCCTTGTTCGGAAACGCCGCTGCGGAGAAACAGGTAACCAGTCCCCTCTCTCCACAATCGGAAAAGACAACTGTCGCTAGCTTAACGCCCAAAGCGGAGAAAATCTCTATTGCCGAACCGCCTCTCCCTCCTGACCCAACAAGCAGGGCCGCGTATGGCCCAGGCGATACCTCTGCATCTTCCAACGTCTCTAAGAGCTCGGTCGAAGATGTCAAACTGGAAGCACCGCTCCCACCTGATTTCACGAGCGGGATCACAGGCAAAGCGGTAAAGCCTGCGGCAGACGAGGCTCCATTCCCTCCTGAACCAGCAGCTCCTGAGTCACCTGCTGCATCTGACGAGGAGGCTGGGCCACTGCCTGAAGAATCAGACGTGGATGAGTCCGAAAAAGAGCCGAGTGAGGGGGCTGACGAATCTGACTTCGCTGATAGCGGAGAGGAAATCACCCATGACATTGATGAAGAAGAGGAAGAGCCTGAAGCCACTGGCCAGACACCGAAGATTTCACCAGAGAGTTCTTTTGGGACTGGCATCTCCGAACAAAGTCCCGCCGGAGGGTTGTTCTCTCGCATTTCCAGGCCCGGACAACAACAACCGCCGCGCCAGTTGTTTGGGGAGATTGCTAAACCCATGTTCCCACCGAAAACTCATGTCGACCGCGAACCCCGAGATCGCCTAGTCCAGTTCGAGGCAGCATCCCGAAAACTCTGCTGAAGCCACAAATCCACAAATCGGCCAGTGCTCCGCAAATTCCGGGTAGCACGCTTGCTGCCCGTAAGGCTGCTTTGACCGAGGCAGCTCTGGGTGATCAACGTCTCCGACAGGAATCTGACCGCACAGCCCGTGAACAGCAGGCCCGCTTGAAGATTCAAGCTCAAAGAGAGGAAGAAGAAGCATTGTCCCTTTCCGACGATGACGAAGATGAGAGACTTCGCGCGGATCTTGCCCAACCACTCGAGCCTGTTCCAACACTTGACCCCTTCCTGCCGCACCAGGACTATATGGGTCAAACCACAAAGCCAGGAATTCCCGGTCAAATCGAGAGGTTATACCGTGACATCAACTCAATGATTGATACGCTAGGCATCAACTCTCGAGCTCTGTCGTCCTTCCTTCTATATCAACAATCGCCGCGAGACTCCGAGAGATGGATACAAACCCTGAAGACTGATCACCCAGCCGACGTTTTAGACGAGGAGGTACTTCTCGGAGAAATCGAAAAGCTCGACGATGCTGTGCTTATGCTTGCCAATTCTCTCCAAGAGCAGCGGGTGCAACGTGTGGAGGAGAAGCTTGAGACCTGCCGCGAATTACTGAGCAAAGACATTCTCACGCTCAGAGGCCAGTGTGCAAGCATTCGGAAGACTCTTGACGCTCATACTGACACTGCCGCGATCCTTTCTGCACCTCTTTCCGCGGAGCAAGCGAACCTCCAGCAAGACCTCCGGTCTGCGTTCACAAACCTGCAAGCGAGTCTGGCGGACTTGGAATCTGCAGTATCAATATTGCGGGCTAAGATTGCAGAAGCCCCTCGGCCAGACAGCAGCCGCCAGCCAACGAAGCGCCCTACTGTGGAAGCTGTGACATCTACAATCGCAACTATGATGAACATGGCCGAGAGCAAGAGCAGCGATATTGACGTTCTGGAAATTCAATTGAAAAAGCTCGGGATCGATACAACAGGCTCTCCGGCCAGCCGAGAAGGGTCCCCATTTGCCACACCGAAAAAGGCGTTGGCAAGATTTCCTACGACGCCTGGTTCTCGGGGGTCTATTGACGGGCCTCTCAGTGCATATCACACTCCAGACTCCGCAGGCAGATTCCGATCGAGCGTCAACGGGTCAGCCAAGGCCAGCCGGCTTCGGAATATCGAAGGCGTTGGCGAACTGGCCACCAAGGAGGAGACGGCACAATGGAAGAGCAAATCGTTGCGTAGGCAACATATTATTGGCAATTTGAAGAAGGTGATTGAAGCAAAGAAATCCAAGGTCCGGGGTGTGGATGATTTGTAGGACTGAGGTATTTTAGTCTATCTTCTATGTTTGTTGAGCTGCAAAACAGGGTGTCATGGCGCGGTTTGAGCAATGCCAACAGTCATTGTCTGTACATAGGTTCAGGTACGGTTTGGTTCAGTTGCTGGTGACTTTAATACCAAGTTAATGGTTGAAACTTGTCTTGCAATAAATTATTGCGTGGTAACTCTTGTATCCACCTCTTTACTGCTTGGGTGGTTTTGGTGTAGTTCCACACTGTACCCAATGTTGGGTCTCATGAATAAGAGGGACTGACATCATCCCCCCAGTGACATCAACTGCACTTTTTAAAACAACTTCAATTTTTCCCTCGAGGTACTCCGCATCCGATCAAACTTCTCTTCTCGTTTCCTTTACAACGACGTTCATAAGCTAAAAGACTAGACTGGACAAACATCCTTGATAGACTTGCACGCTTTACGCACACGATATCCAACCTACGCTTCCGATACCGCATTCAAACCTATCAAGAGAACAAAATGGTCGTCCCAGTCACCGAGTTCGTCATCTTCAAATTGAAACGCTCCGTAAAACCAGAAGACCACTCAAACGAAGAAGGCGCATCCCTATGCAAGATCTTCTCCGCGACAAAGCAACAAAGCGGACACCAGAGCTCCGCATGGGGAAGGACAGTCGAGGATGAGAATGTCGTGGTGTGGGCAGTCGGTGAGTCCTAGCAGAGACCAAAAGGGCTTCTCACTTGAGTCTACCATAGCATGTATCTATCGGGAGATTGTCTAATCCTTTTGTGTGAAAATAGTCTGGGAAGACTCCCACGCCAAATGCCAAGCAGATCTCCTCACCCCATACCTCGAACCAAACTCGAAGGTCCTCTCGTTCTACACAACGCTTACCCCATCCCCCTCTGAAACGGAGACTTTTACCACGAACCCGGTAACGGAGCTGGCGACGTTGACTTTCCCCAGTTCGCTGAATCCCGAGGAGCAGAGGAAGCTCAATTCGGATCTGATCAATCTCCGCGTGGCGCTGACAGAGAAGCTGGACGAGAAATCGCGGGCGAAGTCCTGGACTATGGCGCAGGTCCACCGGCCTGGGACATTCCAGCATCCGAAGAGTCCGTCTGGGGAGGCATTCGTCTATCTTCTTGCGGTGGGATGGGAGAGCGTGGGTGCCCATATGGCAGCCAGGGAGGCCAAGGAGTTTGGGGAGTCCATCCAGCCGATTCGAGAGAAGATGCTTCCTGCTGTGGAGGGACTGGGCATGAAACATGTCAGCTTCAAGAAGATCTGATTCCTCGTGAAGCAAAATGTTGCGTTAGATTGCATGAGTGGGCGAGCGCAAGGAGGAAAATAGAAGAACACATGGATTACTATGAGTACTGGAGTGATACGCAGAGGAAAACGCAGCGCCTTAGAAAGTAAAGTACAACGCAGAATATACCCGAGAGAAACATCAAAGCCTCCAAGGAACATAGCAGACTTTTGCATGGGACATAGACGATCGGCTTGCTCCAGGACACAGGGAATTGAAACTTAGTCTTCTTAAATGCGGTGTTTTTCGCTTTCTGTGTAGCCATGGTCCGGTTAGCACCTATGTGGACTGTCAAAGTGCTTAAAGGGAGTACTAACCAAGTCGCGAGTAAAGCATGTACAGAGCCATTTGGTTGCATTCCTGGGTTCCGGTAATAGTCACCAAGCGCTCATTGCTGTTCTCTTGGGGCTCATTGATCTTGATCACACTGCCACTGAGGTGTCGGATCTCATTGATCTTGGCACCACCCTTTCCGATGATGGCACCGACCATGTCATTGGGAATGTAAATCTGCTGAGTCAATGGCTGACCAGGCATAACACCTCCAACGGGTGTGGCAGGGGTAGGGGCGCCGCGTGCCTGAGCGGGCTGCGGTGCGCCGTATGGAGCAGGCTGATGGGGGCCAGCTCCTGCATAAGCGGCATGGGGAGCAGCTCCATAATGCAAAGCGGGCTGGGCCACAGGTGCGGGAGCAGGCTGACCGTGAAGGTAAGGGACCCCATAAGCGCCTGCAGCAGCGCGATTGGGGTGGGGATGGTGTCTCTTGAAATGTTCTGGATGGCCATATTGACCACCAGCGGGCTGTGGAACATACGGGACGACCTGCATACCGCCAGGCACTGCACCAGCAGGGCCACCGCTGCGAGTGGCATACGCCGAGGCTGCAGGACCTCCAAAGCGCTCAGTGAGCTGCTCAACGAGGGTTACGGCGACGTAGTAGGTAGCGATGTGGACAGAATCGGCAACGCCGAGGATTACAAGTGACCGCTCAGAGGACAAGGGAAGGCACGAATCGGATGCATTCAGGCGGGCGCCAGAAGCCTCCTGAATCTCCCGAATGCGCGAACCACCCTTGCCAATGATGGAGCCAATAAGGAGATGGGGGATCAGCAAACGCAGAGGGTATGTCTTGGATTGAGCGGTAGAGGGGGCATCAAGAGGTTCATTGTTCAATGTACGAATGATCAAACCAAACGCCTACTTGGAATTAGCAGCCTTTCACACAGCAAATGATAGATCAAAAACCAACCTTGGCAACGGCATCCTGTGGGCCGCTCACGGTCAAAATACGTTCAACTGCACCACGGGAGTAGTCGCTGACAGTGCACTTGGCTCCAGACAAACGACGAATCTGAGATACGTTTTCTCCACCCTTGCCAATGACTGTGGCAGCTTCCTGGCTGGAGATTACAGCGCGAATGTGAATCCAACTGGATTCATCTTGTGGGCGCTGCTGTTCGGGCTGAGAAGTAGCGCGCTCGCCATGAGACGCGGTTGACTGAATTGGCTGCGTCTCCGTAGATGCACCCTTACCATTTGGAGCATCAGGAACAACAGTGTCGCCCTGGCCATCAGCGGTGGCACTTGGTGCAGCGGAAGGCTCAGCCTTCGCATCCGTATAGGCCTCCGACTCGTCTCCCTTTACTACTTTGTCCAAGGCAGGACGTTTGGCTTCTGGCTGATCATTTGGTCCGGACGGCGAAGAAGGGTCCTCCAAGGGACGCTTGGTCGATTGCAGTGCGGATGGGGAATCAGACATTTTGTCAACAGTGCAGTCTGGCTGCACTTACGCAAGAAGGCGAAGTGTCAAGAGAATAGCTTTCTTTTTTCTTTTCTTTCTTTGTTCTGCCTGAACTGACCGACTATGTACACCAGGAGTTCCCAATAAAACTTGCTGGTGCAGGCGATCGACTGGGAAGGGAATCTGGTGCTTGGAATGACTAGGAAAATTGGTGTTCGTGCACAGTGAAGAGAGCAGAGGCTGGTGGAGGAAGGACAGTCGACGAGGAAGATGTGAAGAGGCTGGGTTATCACGGGCGTTGGCTGTTGGAGCAGGAAGCTTCACCAAGATGAAGCGGTGCTAAGGTAGGAGGGTACGATGAAGCGAAGAGGAAGTGATGCTGGATGGTGATGGTAGTGAGAACTCAGAATCCGGACGTGCTCGAAGGCTGCCAATAGGGCAGTTGGGGATAAGATGATGAAATATTTAGCAGATTAAAGTCTTGAGCAACTGCCAAAAATCCAGACGTGCAACTCCTCCGCAAAAAAAGCGCGTGAGTTACTACCACGGGGTAATAGCCCAAAAGGGACTCGTCACAGCTGGAATCAACACCAAGTACTGAAGAAACAAGCGAGCAGCAGCTATTTGGCTTTACAGCTGCGCAAAAGATGGGAACGAAGTGAATGAGGTTAGATAGAGAAGAGGATGGATCAAGAAGCGTCCTCCAGGTGTAGCGATGAAGAGATGATGTTGCAAGAAGAGGTGAAGCAAGCTGGCGGCACGGGATCAGGCTAGTCCAGATAGGGACTAGCAAAGGGGATATCATCACGTGAGAACGGGCATCCTGATATGGGTGACAATTGTTGTAACATCATAAACACTCTTCGTTCAGTTGCTGTGTTTCCTGAAGCATAAGGAGATCTGGGGTAAATTCAAGCAATAGACTCTTTGGCAGATTTGAATTTTGCAGGAATCAATAGCAACACTATGGATATCTCCCAAGAAACCGTCGATAAAATCCAACATCTCGCGCAAAAGCGCCAGAAAGCGGAGGAGTTCTACGAGGAACACCCGGTAAACCCAGCTAATTTCGACGCTTACAACCGCAAGCTGGATGAGACGTTGGCGGAGCTGCAAGCTCAGGTCAAACGTCATGAAGATGAGCTCCGCAAGGTACGTCAACGAGCGCCTAGAATATAAGCCGACTGTCGCAAGAGACTGCATGCATGAATAAGGAATACTGACAAGAGGAACAGCTACGCATGACCACCACGATTGATTTCGCTCAAATTGGGGCAGATCCTTGGAGTCGCATCGCTCACGTGCGCAGAGCCAAGAAAGCGTATGATGCTCTTCTGCAATCGGAAACGCGACTGCCGAGTCCAGGCTCGCCCTTGCCTTCTCTACTTGCGGTTGACGAGGCATCTCGTCTCGTCAAGGAGAATAAGACCTCAATTTCACTGACGGCGGAGAAACTGTCTGCGGACCGTCAGCGCTTGAAAGCGGAAGAAGCCAATTTGCGCGATGCGCAATTGATCAAAGACGGGTTGGAGAAAAGGATTGAGCGGCTGAACGCAGAGAAATCAAGTCAAGTCCAGAAAGCTCCTGCGCAGCTTGCGCATGATCTCGTCAAGGAGCAGCAGGAAAAGATCGCGAGACTTGAGACTACCACTGAAGAGCTGAAGACCTCTCTCTATACATTTGTCGAAGACACACTTGCCCCAATGCTCGCTGCAGAAAATCTGGGCGGTCCCACTGTTGGAGATGCAATGGAGATTTCGGACGCTACCTTGAAAGCGGGCTACACTAGCCATGGGAAGCCTAAGAAACCAAAGACTCCGGCCGCGGGGACTTCTGATAGTGGCCAACAGCGGATTGATGAGCTTGTTCGTCGCCAAGCTGCGCAGGAGGGCAACGAACAGGCAACCCCTATGAACAAAAGAGAGGCGGCGGCGGCCGAGATGCGAGCTCTTCTTACTGCTCTGCTAGACGCGGATTACTCCTACATAGACCTTCCACACGAGTCAGCTGCCTCGCGCTTTCTAGTAAGAGCCAAGGTGGCTCAATTCCATCCGCGTGATGCCAGGAAGCTGCGGTTGATTGATTTTGGGCCCTCATTAGTCGATTGAGATGACTAACATGTGCCGTACTACATCCCCCAGGTTATATATGGTATCACAGTTCACCAAACACCTTGGTAAAAGACAAACAATCAGACGCCATCCCACGGATATATACCGGCTCAACCGAAAGCCAGTAAGAAATCTAGGACCGGCAAAGACCACGTTCTTTAAAGCAGAAGCGGCTCTGGAAGCCACTGGCGGCAAAACGCCCTGAAAATGCGAGAGATACATCAAAAGCTCATCAAAAAGTTCACTGCTCGGAGTTTGAAATACACCGTTAATGCCATAAATGAAACACGGAAGAAAGACCGTAGCCAGGTATCAGATCGGCATCATTCCGATGCTGGTAGAAGTACTCTTGGCCGTATTCTTTGCTTTGGAGCCAGTTCGGGAACCAGCCGAGCGCTTGTCGACATGATCGCTGGGCTTCTTTCTAGGTCGCGGCGTTTTCGTCCTTGAACTCGACCCGGCAGCGTTCTTGCGGTGGAATCGCTTCTTGGACGAAGTCTTTCTTTTCTTGGAGCGGTTAGTTTGGGTGTCTTCATACTCGTCCGATGATTCAGATTCCGCCCCTGGCTGCGATGGGAAGTATCGACTTGGAACAATCCTGTCTTTCTTCTCAGTCGATACCAGTTGGTCCACGAATAGGTCATCACCATCGCTAAACTCGTCCTCGTCTTCCGTGAGGTTGTACACGTTATGATGGTTAGGATCCGGAACAACGTCGTCGTTATTGTCACGTTCCTGTTTCAATTCCTCATACCGACGCTGAGCATCGCGTACGAGCTTCAGTATCTGTGTTCCGTACCGGTTGACCTTATCTGGGTCTATCCCAGGGATCTGAGCAAGTTCGGACAAGTCTACTCGATATGAGCATTTCCCTGGCTAGCTTGAAAAGTAATGGTTCACTCACTTTTAGGAAAGACTATGGCCATTTCGCGCAGAATCCCATCACTGAAAGGCTGGTTTTGAAGGTTCTTCTTGAGCATCAACTGCTATAAAGTTAGCAATCATGCCGATAATGAGTATGAATGGGACACCCTACGTCCTGACAGAAGTTTTTCGCATAGAACATGAAATCCTCGGCGACTGTTTTATGCAGAGAGTCGAGGCTATCGAATCGCTGGTCAACGGTGATCGGCGGCCCGGACTGCGACGGGCTTCATGTCGCGGCTTGCCGGCTATTCGAATCTGTTCAAAGCCGTCACTGTCCATTTCGCCGTCGGAATCGTGTTGGTAACGATACCGTGCCAAGAGTCGGCGATTTGCTGATTGCACAGGTGATGAGACATTTGTGGATTGGGGCGCTTCTGCGCGTGGTCTGACAGCTCCCGCTGGGCCTTTTCCGTTTGGTGATACTTGCACGGGCATTTTCAGTCTGCAACGCCCACTCTCGAAATCAGCGGCGCGCCGACCAAGCTTGATATATTGAACCGCGAATCTGCTACCGTTGACCACATTTTCTTCGAAAAGAGCCCCCTCGACAAGAAGATATTGAAAGAGTCGTTCCGCGACCTGCAAGTCCAACCCTGATCCTGCGCCGAAACCAGGTGCATCCTTGTGCTCAGGGGAGCGAAATCTTTTCACGCTTCCCCGGAAGATATTCACGCAATAGGACATAGTAACCTTGTCCTCAAGGTCCTGGAAGTATCGCACAATCTTCAACACAGAAGCGGCTTGCTGAGAGAAGTCACGGTACTCAAAAATACCGTTAGACTTGCAATTATCGCAAGACTTGTTGCAGTCATTTTGGCGGAAATACTCATTGAAGTATGCAAGAATCTGCACTCTTCTGCAATCCGCAAGATTAAGACAGTACTGCGTGACGTTCCGTAACATTTGGCGCTGTCGATTTTTCTGTTGCTTGCTACCCTCGCCTTTGTCAATCATGCTCATGATAGAGGTCGCATCCCGATAAGAGTAATAAAGGTAGCAGCCTGAGCGCTTGCCATCCCGACCTGCCCGCCCAGTCTCTTGATAGTATCCTTCCAAGCTCTTTGGAATGCTGTGGTGAATAACGAAGCGTACGTCAGGCTTATCGATACCCATTCCAAAGGCAATAGTCGCGACTATCACATGAACGCGGCCGGACTGCCACCATTCCTGTACCTCCGCCCTCTTGGAGGAATCCATACCAGCATGATAATATTCGGCCCTGATGTTGTGTTGCGACGTAAGAGCTTCGGCAACAGTTTCACAAGTTTTGCGTGACAGACAATAGATAATGCCGGACTTATTAGGGTAAGATGTCTTGATGATGTCCGCTATGCTTTCCAGGACCTCGGCAGATTTCGTCTTCTGTCGTACCTCGTACGTCAGATTCGGACGATTGAAACTTTGAGTAAAGATCTCACAACCTTCCATCTTCAGGTTATGGATGACGTCTACTTTGACATTCTCTGTTGCCGTGGCAGTCAGTGCCATCATGGGAACGCCAGGCAACTGATCTCTCACTTCTCCCAGCGCTTTGTAGTCAGGGCGGAAATCGTGCCCCCATTGACTGACACAATGAGCTTCATCAATCACAATACGAGCAAGTCTGCGTCGTCTATTGAGCTTCTCCAGACTTCGGATGAGGGCTTGGCTCTTGTTGACCATCTCCGGGGTGATGTACAGCAGTTCGATCTGTTCTTCAGCTGCAGGCCCAGACAGTGTCTGCATAATCCACTGCCTCTCCTCTTGCTTTGTTTCACCATTCAATAAGAACGCTTTGATCTTTAGTCGTTTCAAATGAGACACCTGGTCTTGCATCAAACTTAGGAGCGGCGACACCACGATCGTAACTCCCCTGGTTGAGCCGCTAGTAACAATGGAGGGCAGTTGGTAGCAGAGTGACTTTCCTCCTCCCGTAGGCATGAGGACGAAGGTATCCTTTCCACTCAAAGTAGCGTCTATAGCCTCAAGCTGGTTCATTCGAAATCCACGAAGATGGAACCTATCTCTCAACACATTCTTCACATCCTTTGTCCACGGGTTTTGATTCCATAGGGGATTGTGGATTTGCGACTTCTGGGTTGCAGGCATACGAGAGGCGTTCCCGGAAGTTTCAGTAAAGACTTTGCGAGATTCATATCCAGAAGTTTTGGTTGTCAAGGTCAGACCGTCATCAAAATGCTCTGCGGCTTCCAGCATATCCACATCATCGGCATCGAGATCAAACTCATCGACGTTGCCAAGCGGGCGTGGCGGACTTCCCATAGTTCTGGTAAATGCGTCATGTTCCTCATAGATCATCGGCTCATCTAAGCGGAACTCATCACGCGCGTTACCCCCGCCAGGCGTCCTGAATGATGTGCCAGACGTGCGTTCGGCTACGTTCGTCCGCGAAAGATTACGGTCAAACGAGTTCCGCAGCGGAGACATGATGCGGGAGCCGGGAGCTTCTCGCGCCTTTTCCAAACGCGCAATGTCCCCATCCTTCAAGGCTCCCGTAGTACAAGGTCGGGAATCGCAGGAAGCTGATTGCGAGCTACGCTTTTTGGCATCTCGAGACATTGAATTCAGAGTCTCAGTGTCAAAGCCGGCTGTCCTCAGTAGGCGACTCATATTCTCCTCAATCTTCTGAAGCTTTGATGTGACGTCTCGACTTTGAGCAAGTTCGTCCGGCATCGTTTGTGGGTCACAGCCTCGTGATATCAGTTGTATAAGAGCTTTCTTTAAGCTCTCCTGCTTCGCTTCAAATGCCTGATATTCCTCTTTCTCTTGTTTCAGCAAGCGTATAGCATCCATTTTCTCGTGGATGGACTTGTTCTCAGACACTAACTCAGACGCTGGCTCGCCTCGCATAGCTCGTTCGTAGACGATTTCTGAATTCTTTGTGACTGCATCTTGGAGACTTGATAACAAGTCATCAAGCGAGCTAACTGGAAGTCTGAGAAACTGGAGGACGGTTTGATCACGAGGTTGAGAGCCAGGTAAATAGGATGCGCCGGGCGCCTGAGAAGCTTGCTGGTCACTCGTATGCACCCTGTCCTTTGAGTCTGAGGCAGGCCCTGGGTCGCTTCGTGGTAAGGCACTAACTGGAGGTAAACCGGGCACGGAATCCTTCTTTGATCGCTTTGAGAGCTCAGCCATTTCGGTGTCGCTGAGAGAGGAGACTGTAGGAAGGACAGGATACAAAGCGTCGTTATCACAAAGAATCGGATCATCTTCCTCTTCAATCCATTTAAACAAGTTGTCAGTGTCGTCATTATCGTCAGAATCAGCTACGACTGTGGGGCGCCGAGCGGGCTGAGATAGGGAGGCCTCACGTTCCCCCTGTTTCACCGGTGACGAGATACGACCATTCGAAGCTGGTTGTGATTTGTTTGGTCGAGCTTGAGACTGAATTGATAAGCCATTGCGTTCAGGATATGCAGAGTTCGCGGAGATGAGAGGTGAGGGTGATCGATGTTTGTGGGTGCTCCGCCCTGGTGACAAGAGATCTGAAAAGTACTCGTCGCTTTTCCGTTTTCTGCCCTTCTTCTCGACTGGTTCTTTGCGGGACGCAGCATCCTCTGTCCATAATCGCCGGGGAGTACCGAAGTCTTCTACCGTGTCGGACGAGACCGTAGGTTGTTCCACGTCGCCTGTCAAATCGATGGAATCTATATCCAGTAAAGGCGAGGTCAGGTCCACCGCATGCTTCGATCGAAGCGGCGTGCTTAACGGCCGACCAGGACTATCAAAAGAAGCAGAGAAGCCTCGCTGAGTCACTACATGATCCAGGTCATTGTCAGCTCAAGGAAACATATAGCAAAAGTTCACCATCCTACCTTGAGCAAAATCGCGCTGGTCTGCTGTTCCTCTCTGTTCTGTAAAAGACTGCGCTAGGGGGCGGACTTTCACGGCACTCCCAGTACTTGTCGGACGTTCTCCAGGGCGACTAAGCAATCGAGATTTACTCGCGGATTGAGGGGCAAGTAGCAATCGTGCCATGTTCGGGTCGTCTAGCTCTATGATGTCGCCTCCAGCATCTTTCTCTTCGTTCGTTTTGGTTTCTCTGATGACTTGGGAATCGCCGACATGGATACTACCCGATCGATCAATGCTTGCATTCGAGTCCGCTGGCTGAGGACGAGTCGTAGGCTGTCGGCTGGCAGTGTTCTGAATCTCTTGAGCGAATGATGTCAATGAAGGATATAGTGAAGGGCCTTGGTCCAGCAGCCATTGGAGATGGACGTCCAAATTATTTTTAGTCATGGAGGCGTCCTTTCGGGTTCATGATTGTGTTCGTGCCTCCAACGATGTCGGCGTCGATTTGTGGTGGTATCGATTTTGATATCCTGTTTCCATCAATTATACACATCGGAAGATAAACCAAGCGATAGACGCGTCTCTACACGCTGTCACGTGGGGTTGCTTCTAAACATGATACCTTATCTGCTTATCGTGGATGCCATAAAATCATGGCGGAAATTCAGATACGTCTGTATTCTGGAAATGCATGGTCTCGAGACGATCTAACTTCTCTTCCCAAGACTTCATTTATTTATTTAACTATATTCGAAGCTCTTCTGAAGCTGTACTTGATACCAGTCACATAAACTTGTTCCCTGGTATTCTTTACTCCAGTGGTATATCTATAGTGGTATCTGGAGGATCATACCCTCGTGTAGTGCCTCCGAAAAAGACGTAGCGCTCTGCACGAAAATCAGATTGTAGGTGAAATTGCACCTGACTTTAGCCCTTTTCTTATAATTAGGCGTTTGCAAAGTCTATATGACTACTGTTCTCATTGATAGCAGTGTCTGTGTCTGTGTCTCCGTTGTATCTGGTTTACAAGATAAGTGGCCAATTGCGGGGAATTTTTTCGCATTTTTTCTAACCCCTAGAAACCCCCGCGCCATATGATTTGCTTCGTTGTGGCATCAATTAAGAGAAGTAAATTGCCTCACGTTCACAGACAGGGGCCTACATCCAGCAGGCTAGAAGGACACCAGAGGGTACAAACATATAAATCAATCCCAGTCCGTCACTAATCGTCCAACATGGGCAAAAAAAATAAGAAGTCCGCCGAGCACAAGGAACGGGTAGCAGCAAAGCAATCCAAGAAGGCTGCGCAAAAAGAGAAAAGGCACAAGACGAAGGGTCGCGACGCAGATAGTGACGCAGAAGACGTCGATTTGGATGCGATCCTGGCTCAATATGCCGAAGAGCAAGCTAAATTTCTGAAGGTCACTGAGGTAGTCTCAGGACCGCCGTCTCCACGTACCTCTGCTACAATACTTGCGTCTCCCTCAAACCGGAACGAGCTCTTGATATTCGGTGGCGAGCACTTTGATGGCACGCTTGCTACGTTCTTCAATAATCTATTCGTCTACAACATTGATCGAGATGAGTGGAAGGAAGTTACCAGTCCCAACAGCCCTCTACCTCGAAGCGGACATGCCTGGTGCCGTGGAGGAAACGCCGGAGGTGTCTATTTATTTGGAGGTGAGTCTTGCGCAGTTTTCTAGATGAACTCGTATTAACTGCTGCCTCCAATGCTCAGGTGAATTTTCTTCACCAAAGCAGGGGACGTTCTATCATTACAATGACTTTTGGCATCTCGACCCTGCCACCAGAGAATGGACTCGTCTCGAAACCAAAGGCAAAGGCCCGCCAGCTAGAAGTGGCCACAGAATGACGTATTTCAAGGTTTGTATAACAGTCGATTCACTTCTAGTGAATACCATGCTGAGACCATCCAGAACTATATTATCCTCTTTGGAGGGTTCCAGGATACTTCACAGCAGACAAAGTACCTCCAGGACCTGTGGATTTACGACTGCTCAAAATTCACCTGGTTCAACCCTACACTGCCCCCGGCAGCTCAAAAGCCTGATCCTCGGTCATCATTCTCATTCTTGCCACACGAATCTGGAGCCGTGCTGTACGGCGGTTACTCCCGCGTGAAGGTGTCCACTGGGGTGGGAGGAAAGCCACAAAAGGGTGGTCCTCAACGGATGACCATGAAGCCCATGGTTCATCAGGACACTTGGTTTCTACGAATTACACCACCTGACGCTGATGCTCCTACGTCCGCGGCTCCCACAGTACGCTGGGAACGCCGTAAGAAGCCCGCCAACTCGCCCAACCCGCCCCGTGCTGGCGCCACTATGGCATACCACAAAGGACGAGGTATCATGTTCGGCGGTGTCCATGACGTTGAACTCAGCGAGGAGGGAATCGATAGCGAGTTCTTTGACACATTGCTGGCTTGGAACACCGACAGAAATCGTTTCTTCCCTCTGACTCTTCGCCGTCCAAGAGCAACCGGTAAGAAGCAGCAGGCCAACCAGATGAGATCTCGAAACCGGGCAAAGGCCGACGAAGAGGAGCTTCTCCAAAATCTGAAAGCTTTAGAAGCAAAAGGAGGGCTCCGCGATCTGGACGATGATGACGAGTTTCAGCGAATCGCTGACAAAATGGAGGACGAGCCTACGGAGCCAGAGAGACCCTTTATTGTACGTTTCGAGATGCCTCACAAGCGTTTCAATGCACAACTGGCCGTGCAAGACGATACCCTATTCATATTCGGCGGAACATTTGAGAAAGGTGACCGAGAGTTCACTTTCAATGATATGTACTCCATTGATTTGGTGAAACTCGACGGTGTCAAGGAAATATACTACAAGGAACCCGAGAATTGGCATCTTCTCAACGAAGCGGAGAGTGACGATGAGATGGATGAGGACGATGAAGATGAAGACGAGGAGGAAGAAGACGATGAGGAAAACGCAATGTCCTTGGACTCTGCATCTCCAGCACCTACCGAAGTCACTGTACCGTCAGTCACCCAGGGAATGGAGCAGCTTGAAGTGGAGGAACAGGAAGCAGAGCCCTCTGTGCAGGACAGCCGACCTCAGCCCAGACCGTTCGAGAGCTTGCGCGATTTCTTTAGCCGTACGTCTGAGGAGTGGCAGAAGATTCTGCTAGATACCTTGAAAGAGAAGGGCATTCCGGTGGAGAAGAATGTCAAGGAACTACGCAAGGATGCGTTCAATATGGCGGAAGAAAAGTGGTGGGATAGCAGAGAGGAGATCATGGCTCTGGAAGATGAACAAGAAGCCGCTGGCATTGGTGAGGTTGTTAGCATCGCTGACCGAACTGATAACCTTGGTGGTGCTGGGCGACGTAGGTGATGTATGTAAATGATATATACCACAAAAAGGCTTTAATATAGATGCATACTGTTCAACTTTGATTTTCTCGTTGATTCTCAAACGCACTGCATAGTTCAAGACAATTCGTAGTTCACCACAGGACCAGATGAATCTAGAAATACACGGATTCCATGTCCACATTCAGTAACTGGAGTCTGCGCGAGATATATATACATGCTGATTATCGATATCCCTTTACTAGCCAAGGAGAATCGTGGCAAACATTTGTTAAGGTGGATGAATAATTGATCGAGACCGAGGCAAGTCTATTGTCCTTTGGCCACACTTTCGAGAACGCCAGTCACTATCGCAAAATCTCTCTCCACGTCGACCCGCCAATTGGAGATAGCGATGCGGCAAGCCGATCTGCCCTGCCACGAAGTACCAGAGACGTATATTCTGGAAGTTGCATTAATCGTCGATGCCAGCCTTTGATTGAGTGCATTATCCTTCGCGCTGAAGAGGATGCTCATATACGTCTTCTCCAGTACGTCTTCTTTTTTACTCGCTTCCGGTAATACTTCGTAGGCCGGATGATCAAACACCCATCCGACGATCTTCCTAGCCAGCAGTATCTGTCTCTGAAGCATATTTTGATATCCTGCGCGGCCGTAAGCCAACAGCGAGGTATAGACCGGCAACGCTCTGAATCTCCTAGAGTTCTCGATTCCAATATTCAACGGAGAAGGGACTGAAGGCCCATCCGTCATATTAGCCGTCAAATAGGCTGCATTGGCATTCTGGAAGACATCATGTGCTATTGTGGCGTGACGGCAAAAGAAGAACCCACAGTCATACGGCACATTGAGTAATTTATGTCCATCGCCCGTGATGGAGTCTGCTAACTCGATGCCCTGACAGCCTTTCTTGATGGAAGCAAACTCCGGACTATCGTCCAGAACCCGGCCGAAGATGCCAAATGCCCCATCGACGTGTAGCCAAGCGCCATATTTGTCGCAGAGCCTGCGTATGTCAAGCATTTCCTCGAAACCGGCTGTCGCGAAGTGTCCGGTGTTGACCTCACCGCATGACACAGCGACGATAGTTGCCTTTTCGGATCTTGCCAATTCTGCCTCGAGTTTGACTAGATCAAAGAGAAGCGGATTATCATCGCGGCAGATGTTCTTCACATTCGCACGGCCGATGCCTAGTATGCCCGCTGCTTTCACCAGAGAGGAATGAGGTAGCGTCGACAGCACCTGTAACCCCGAGAGACCGGAGGCCTGCATGACTTCGAACAACCCATGCTGTCCAACGCTCTGCAAAGTGGCCCCTTGATTTTTCGCTGCGGCTTTCACAGCAGATTCTCTTCCACAGGCCAGACCGAGGATGTTACTGGCGGTTGCTCCAGTCGTAAATGTACCATTATACCAGGAGCTTCGATCCAGCTGAAGGAGGTCTAGTAACAAACCCAGTGCATTATATTCGACATCTGTAGCAACTGAATGCTCCGGAAGATGCACCTGGACGTTCTGGTCGTAAGCGGAGACCACGTTATCCGCGAACAACGCCGCGGGCGTTACGCCGCCGGTGACGAAGCCATAGTAATTGGGACTGATACTGCTGCCATTCAGGCCTGGGATAATATCGTCCAGGATATGCTGCTTGGCAGTCTCATACCCCATTCCGGCATTGGGTAGCGACTTTGGCAGAGATGCTCTTGCGCGTCCCAGATCGTTGGCACTTGGTAAGATACCAGACTTCCATTCGCTCTGGGCAACCTTCCATAATTCCTGTTGAAAATCTTGCTGCTTTTCGAGTGTGGTATCGACTTCTTTTGACGCCATGATTGAGAAAATTCAGATGTTGGAAGGTGAGCGTATAGAAACGCAGATATGATTCATATATAACCCCAATTCAGTTGCAGCCTAGCTCCGGTGGGTAAGCACTAGAAATTAGTTAGCCATATGACTAAAGCGAGGCATGAATTTATGGAATGATTGAACTCTATTCGAATTGAGTCTGCATGAGTTCTTAGCGATGGATACTAGTCAAGACGTTTCTTTCCTCCATTGATGCGGTAGATCGTCCCGTTACAGCCCTCCTAGGAACCAACCTCCGCAGCGTTTAGCGGTTCCCCCTCCTCAACTTAACGAGTCCCTCACTTTGCGAGCTCCCTTCCGTTGTATTGAACAAAACACGCACTCATAATTCATATTCCAATACACAAGAACCATGACGATGGCTGCAAAGTTGATCGATAGAAAATTTCATAATATCCCAGGTTCGTCCATTCGGACTCTTTGCTCATAATGCGCGCTGACAAGCGGGAATCTCCAGGGAAGTTTCGCGTGGCAGAGCTGCTCTTTGATGTGCCCGTGAACTACTGTAGGCCCAATGACGGCAACCTGAGACTCTTTGCTCGGAGCGTCCGTCGTCTGGAGACTCCAGTTGATCCTTCCAATGGTAAGGGCGAGAAGCAGCTCCCTTGGTTGGTTTATCTTCAAGGAGGCCCAGGGATGGGCTGTCGACCTCCGCAAGAGTACGGCTGGCTTGGAACCGCGCTCGACAAGGGCTACCAGGTGAGTATTCAATTTTTGTCTCAGATATTTCTCCTTTGGTGATTCGTGTCCTCATCGTTGTGTAGGTGCTGTTCCTAGACCAGCGTGGTACAGGCATGAGTTCGACGATAACGGCTCGAACTCTCGCCCTTCAAGGCAATGCAGTGAAACAGGCTGAGTACCTGAAGCAATTCCGTGCGGATAATATTGTCCGTGACTGCGAAGCTATCCGTCGATGCCTCACCACGGACTACCCCGAGGACCAACGCAAATGGAGTATCATCGGCCAGAGTTTCGGTGGGTTCTGTGCTGTAACGTATCTTTCAATGTTGTAAGTCTTCCCCACTGCCTCCATAGAGTTCAGCTTTATTGATAATACGTCTATTTGATTTAAAGCCCAGAAGGATTGACAGAGGCCTTCATCTGCGGCGGGCTTCCTCCTCTTGTTAATGGTCCGGATACGGTATATTTGCGCACATATGGTATGTTGGGCTTGAGCTGGCGTGTCTGTTCTCATTCTAACTCAAAGTAGAGAAGGTCAAGGAGAGAAACAATGCATACTACAACAAGTTTCCTGAAGACGTTGATCGAGTCAGGAGACTCGTCCAGTACTTGAAAGAGAACAGCGTCACCGTGCCCTCTGGCACTCTGACACCAGAGCGTATCCAGCAACTTGGTATCATGTTCGGAATGCACGGTATGTGAACTTGATCGTCCTGATGAATAAACATTAAACACTAGTGGTTCTAACGACTTGCAGGCGGCCTTGATAGCGTTCATGGTGATACTCCATCGTATGGTTCAAATCGTATCTTTCACTAACTCCGAACTCGGCAGATCTGGTCCTACGCGCGTGTAACGACCTGGAGATCTTCGGGTTTCTCACACATCCAACCTTGACCGCCATCGACAGCTACGGTGGCTTCGACAACAATATCATTTACGCCATCCTTCATGAAGCGATCTACTGCCAAGGGTGAGAAAGGCTTTTTGCATTTAGCTTATCAGTGGGGGGTGAAATAATCACTGACTCCTTCCAGGCAAGCCTCAAATTGGTCCGCTGATCGGTTACGCTCAGCTGATGCGCAGTTTAACATTGACGATAAGCAGCCAAAGATATTGTTCACAGGAGAAATGGTAGGCTTTTCCTCCGGTAGATTCCCAGCAGCAACGGTTAACTTCGACTCGTCACCATAGATCTATAAGGACATGTTTGAGTCATACACCGAACTGCAGCAAGTCAAAGACGCTGCAGACATCATTGCCACGACGGCCGAGTGGCCTCAGCTTTATGATGAGGCTCGACTCGCGACCAACGAAGTCCCTGTCTATGCAGCGACGTACGTAGAGGACATGTATGTCCACCTCGACCTGGCGTCAAACACCGCGGCAAAGATCAAGGGTATCAAGCAATTCATCACAAACGTGATGTATCATAACGCCATCCGAAGCAAAGCAGACGAGGTCATGCAGCAGCTCTTTGCCCTACGGGACGACACGCTCGACTAGACCGTTGGCCGTTGGCTCGAGCTGTAACGTGCAATTACTAGATGAGACAGTCGAAAGCAATGTCTTCGTCTTTGTCCTTATATTCTGACTTAGGGACAGTTCGAGGCGCTTCAAGCACCACGACTTTGAGCTCTATCCATGTTGATAGGAGAGTCGTATGTGTTGCACATACGTGGCCTCGCTTTTCAGCAGAATACCTCGGTAGTTTGGATTTCAGAAGACCTTGAAAACAAGTCAGTATTAGCTAAAAAGTCCCTCTTGCGGATGACCTACAGCTCCACCAATTATAAACAACCGTTCTTCCTCCCGTTGTACCCACTGGACAATCTTACTTGCACTCTGTGCAAGCGCATTGCGATTAGCATTGGGGCTAGCAACACAGTAAAGTTCAAATATCGGGGTCACCCAAGCAAAAGAACTGGCTGACTGGGAGATACAATGGTGAACTTTCACATGAGCATGCTTAGCATGAATACTAGAGTGTAGGTTATTGTATGTTGACATCAATCTGAAAAAAGAAGCACCAAGGATTCATTAGTTCACGAATATAACAAGGGCTAAAAGGATGGCATAACGGAGTTGACAAACCTTCGACGCCGAGAAACCGATGTGAACTCAGGGTCGTAAGAGGACATGGTGAATTGGACGTTTGCCCGAGACTTATACAAGAAATGATGCAAGACGGTCCCGGGAACAATATCAGTAGTAGTCGGACGACCTTCATCAATAGCTTCTTTGATGATGTTGATACTATTATTCTTCTCCAGTTGCTGCCAGCGCCGGATCGAGTTAGTTTGTCCCGAACAAACCAGATTCTAGTGAGAGATTTGCATACCTCGACAAGTGAATTTCGCATCTCCTGCATTTCAAAAAACCCTTCCTTATTCGGGCTGATCAGGATGATCGCCACCGACTGCTCTGTTGTCGTCGTCTCGCTGGCAGCATTGCCTGAGTTTTCGCGGAGATCAAGGAAACTGACATACATATATAGATAACCGCTGCTGTTGAATCCCGGTAAACAGACTGGGACCCAGCTTTCCCCACCTCCTGCTTTGATGCCTTCTGCTTCAAAGATCATGTTGAAGAGAAGTTGTAAGTCACCAGGATGCAGCGAATGTTTTTTGGGTCTCACAACACTGACTAATCTACCGCCGGCAACCACCAGACCATACAGTAGGCTGCTGACCTTGGTTTTTAAAAGCGCATTGTTGATCGCTTGTCGATGTGACTTGCGGATTTTCAAGCATTCCAATGCGGAAAGGAAAGTGGACGGTGATCCCTTTGTGAAGCTGTCCGCCAGAGTAGAAAGTAACGTCTCGGACCCTTGCAACGGCCTTTTGAGATCGGTAGACGGTCGAACAGAGAAGAGATGTGTCAACGAGGGCAGTGTTAGGGTAGACAAAATCTGCATGTACAAGGCTTCTAGCTGTAATTTCAGCTGCGTATCGCTCTCCAAGAGTCGACTAATGGCTACCAAGTATAATGGACCCTTGGTAACAATCACGAACTTCGTATCCCCGGCGCAAAAACTGCTCAAACGATCATTCGCATCTTCGTAAAACGATATGATCGTCTGAATGACACCTATGTAGCCCGAGATCAGTCCCCCATCACCATGTCTGGTCCAAATGGGTTTCCCAGCAGCAGACAGGATGAGATAGTGCTTTCTTTTAGACTTCCATCTCTCAAGGAGCAGCTCTGCGATTTGGGCTGAAGTCAGCGAGATGATCACTACACAACCACAGATCGTCACTAACCCTCATTCCTGCCTTCATCATCCAGCTCCCCGATTGGCTCAAATTCACTCGTAAAGTCGTCTTCGACATCATCGGCCCGAAACTCAGGGAATTGAAGAAGTCCGCTGCTGTCCTGCTGAACGTCTCCGGACTCCTGTGCAAGAAAGTCGCTGAAAACGTTTTCCGCCTCCCCGAGCTCTGTGTTGGGTGCCGTGCTTCTAATACTCGCAGAATCCCCCGCATCACTGCCTCTCGACGCTGTAAGCTGAGTGAGGCTTGCTTTGGCTCTTAGTGCCCCAAAAGGAGGACCACGGGTAGGGTGGTTTTCTTTTGCGCCATCGTTCGATTGCAGGAGGCTAATATCCGGTATCGACACGGCTGTTGTAGCCTTGGCCTGCAAACTAGCTGATGATGACTGCCGGGTTGAGCGAGATGAAATGAACCCTTCATCTAATAAGCTCAAGGTGTTCGGACGCGGGGGGAGAGGTGGAGGCCTTTCTTCCAAGCTCGTGGAGGAGTCATCGCTACCGGTATTCGAGGGTTCTTTCGCGGAATATTCTGGAGTTCCGTAGTCATTCCTTCCAGCGCCGTCATCGCCCGGTGAGACCTGCGGTTGCTCAAGAGAGTTCGAGTTCATCGTACGCAGATCATGCGCATCGATAGCAGTTCTATGAGGAGGTCCTGCTTCATTTGTGAACAGTGATCATTAGAATAAGTCAAGGCGTTAGACATAATCATCATTGAGAAAGCAATAATCTCACGAAGATGCGACGGCAGGTCATCTGGGTTGCTCTCATCTGCTGAGCGCAGCTACATGAAGTAGATAGTAAGTGGAGCTAGGTTGACGTCGCTGGAAGGCCGGAGCTCCAAGGCGGACGGAGACCCAAAACATTTCCGCCTGGTCTATCTATTCAGGCTGCGTGTCTTCAGTTGTTCGCAACCATCCGCAAAATCATCCGATCATGCCAATCCTGATGAGCAAAATATGAAGCGCCGCGATCTGAAGCAATTCCGCCTACCGAATATCCACTACTGGCACCATGAGCCTTGATCCGAGCTCTTTTCCAAGGTCCAACTCCCCCGCAAGCTCCGACAGCTCCTTGACGCGCTCCCGCTTACGAGGGAAGGAGGGTACGTAAATTCCAGTTCAGATACGCAACTGAAGACAAATGCGATTATTCGGGACTATGCAACTCACTTATCTTCGCAAACAGAGCCCTTGAAGAAAGACAAGAATTACCGCCGCTATGCTTCCACTATCGAAAGAGCCCTGTCGTTGTTCGACACGGCGCTACAGGAATGGGCGGACTATATCTCATTCCTTAGTCGCCTGTTGAAGGTAATTTTAGGCCCCATGCGCCTAGCACAATAGGCAAATTGCTCACCTGGTTCAGGCTCTCCAATCGCATCCCACAGACTTACCAGTCGTCCCCCACAAGGTGCTTGTAGCCAAACGCCTCTCACAGTGCTTGAACCCTTCACTACCGTCGGGCGTACACCAGAAAGCGCTCGAAGTATATACCTATATATTCAATCTCATTAAGGTTCGACGTGACGGGAAAAGAAATTGAGTGTCCATCTGCTAATGCCTTTAATCGGCCAAATAGTCTGAAGGCTTGTCACACGACCTACCCTTGTACCTGCCAGGCATCGCGCCCACTCTTACCTTCGCCTCGCTCACAGTCCGTCCTCTGTTCTTATCCTTGGTAGAAACTCATATTTGCGGTCTCGAGCCATGGGCCATTCGTCCGGCCTTGAAGGCTATAATCTTGGCCCTTTTACCAGGCCTGGAAGAGGAAACCAGTGATGATTTCGATCACACGCTGCGACTCGTTAACAAATTCCGCGACATCGCAGCAACGAAGCTAGAGACGCAGAGATCCGGTGCGGATGCGGAATCAAGCGGTCAATATTTCTGGCAGTGTCTGTTCCTGGCATCCATAACCAGCCCTAGCAGACGTTCGGGTGTCTTAGCTTACCTGAACCGATATTTGCCAAAGTTAGGCATCACGGATCGCAGACCGAGTAAGGGTGATGGAAGTAACTTTGAGGACATGCCACATGATATCCGCGTGGCGGTGGACTCCGTTATCATGCCGGAGCCGGGCTTGCTTATTAGGTGTTTTGCGTCCGGTCTGGTGGATGAACAAATCCTCGTACAGCGGAATTTTCTTGACTTACTTGTGACTCACCTTCCACTCAGCTCGCCTATACTGCAGTCGCGAATCACGGATGACGACCTTCAGAGACTAATGATCGCGGCTGTTGGCGTTGTTGCCCGACGAGACATGAGCCTGAACAGGAGGCTGTGGGCGTGGTTCCTAGGTCCTGAAGCTGCGAGTGATCAGCCATCTTTTGAAGGCGAAGGGACAACCGGAGCATACGCTGTTGATGAAGAACGGTTATCGCAGTCAGAGTATTTCAGTCAATTTGGTCTAAAACCTCTTGTAAAAGGTCTGCTTCGGTTGAATGAGCAAGCCTCGAAATCTCCCTCGGAAAGGTCAAAGCCATTTCGGATCTCACTTTCATTGATGGACAGATGGGAAGTTGGCGGTCATATTGTTCCTGCAGTATTCCTACCCCTTATGCGCAACATCCAAGCCTTCGGAAAATCAGCTTCCAAGCATCAGTTCGACGAGGTTTTTCGCAGCGCCAGTGCCTTCTTCGATGGTGTCGAGAGCGGTGTGATCTTTTCGGAGCTTCTTGGCCTGATAGACTGGACAGCTGATGATCTTTGTAACAAGAAGAGGCAGGCTTTGAACGACTTGCAACTCGCTCAGTTCATTTTGGACAATTTCAATGTCCGCGAAGAGGACATGCTTCTTACCCACGTACCTCTGTCGGTGCTTACTATCCTCGTAAAATTGAGCGAGCTTTCATCATTTACAAAGGATTCTGGAATCGCCCCTGACGAGCTTCTTGAAATATCCAACGGGCTTATGAAAGTTATGAACTCCATGACAGCGCTACTCACAGAGAGAGCGTTCGCGAGAAAATTTGAATCGGCCAAAGCGATAGCGGATGACTCCATGGTCGACATCAGCGACATTGATATTATGAAAAGAATCCATAGCTTCTATGATCAAAGCAGAAGCAGTCTGGACCTTCCACCACTCCCTTTTCTCCCCAGACACTTGGGTGATCTCATAACGCGGAAAGCTCACGATCTTGCCACATCGGCCCTCGAAAAGCGCAATGGTAGTATACCTATTCAAGAGATCCTGAGTCTTCTGGTTGCCTTGCTGAAGCGACTTCCCAAATCACTTGTGTTCCATGACAGGCGCTTCTATCTGGCTATTTGCAGTCGCGTGAAGATTGACCAGGCAGAACAGTCTACATCTTCTTTCTCGGCTATATCTTCCATTGTCTCCGCAGTGACCAGCTTGTATTTCATACACGCCCCTGGGTACTATATCAGCTATGAGGATGTTGCAGAACTGATACCGACCCTCGTCCGACATCTTTGGCAGTTCCTCTCACCAGCAAGTCCAAAATTTCATGTAGAGGCGGTCCGCTGTCTCTGGCATCTACACTCGGTTTCTTGGTCAGATCATATTGTCGAGGCGTCCATAACATCTCTCATGGTTGGTTCAGCGCCAAGCTCTCATCATCTGTCTTCTGAGGAGCAGGCTGGAAAATATTTTGTTCTCTGGAATCATAGCCACCATGGCTCCTACGAACTTCCTCCAAAACAAGCGCACGATGCGAGAAAGGCCCAAACGGCTTACTACTCGTCAATGCTTGAGCGCCCACTTTTTCTCGTTTTGGATCTTCTGACTCAAGGGCCTAATGAGGCTTCACAGGTAGTTCAGCGATGGCTTCAAGATTTATCATCCATTCAAAAGTGAGTCAGGGCCTGAAGCTGAGGTTTGTACGATTTCTTATATCTCTTAGGGTGTTTCGCATCGTGATCTTGCGACTTGAGAACCTTCTCTTGCGAGAAACACAGTCAGAAAATGAGGGCGACAACGCCGTCATTTCCACTGACGACTATAAAGAGTGTAACTACCTTTTGCGGACAATCTACAATATCCTCTGCTCGCTGTCCCCCAATGGATGGATGTCTCTTCTTACTCAGACATTGAATCCAGTGGATAAACAAAAGGATGGTGCTTCTGAAGGTAAGCTCTGAGATCCTAGTTTTGACTGCTTGGCTTACCGTCAACGGACTTAGATGGTGCTGAGTTCCAATCTCTCCACTCTATTATTTTCCAGCTATCCTCAAAGGTAATCATTGGGAGAAGGCGAAATGCAGCATCACAGGCGGACTACGAAGAAGTGAAGCTCCAACAGACCTCCCTGCTGGTTGTAAGACAACTTCTTCAAGGACCCGGAGGTGAAGAGATTGCTGAGTCGGGAATTGACTCTTTCTTGGTTGATCAACTGTCTTCTGTCCTCGACGGAGGCAGCGTCGAATTGCAAGGGGCTATAATAGACACCCTACTCTCAGCGTTGAAAGTCCGATTCGCGCAAGCATACCTACCACCGCCCCCTCCCAGGCCAAAACATCAGCGAGCACAGTCTCGGGAGCGCCTCACAAGCCCGTCACTTCTTTCCTTTACCAGCGATAAGGCTGATAGAGGTCCTTCGCTTCCTGTTCCACCTCAACCTCCTTCCCACCTTCTAGAGTGCCTTCTTAAAGGCATTAGCTCTAAAAGTTCGAGAGATATCGTGGAGAAGTGGACTCTACTGCTTTGTGAAGTGCTTCCTCTATATTCAGGGTCCCTCTTCCAGATCCTGCTCATGTTAGTGGAGTGCTTCTGTAAGGAGATTCAATTATCATATACGAATCTTCAGCTCTCTTTTAGACAAACCGACGGTTGGCCAGAAGATCGCCCTGAACATGTTACCATTACCCTACTTACTGGACTTGAGACGTGCCTAGCGGCAGCTCACGAACGCCTTCTCGTGGAGGAAGCGAACGTACCGGCTGTCAAAAGCCCTGACCACGCCCATGGATTCTTTGGCAACATGGTGTCAGGAGTATTTGCGACAGATTCTAACCAGGGGCGCTCGACGGCAGCGAACAACAGATTAACTGTACTGTTGTGCTTCCAGGATGCCGTTCGACTGTGCTTTTCCATATGGTCCTGGGGTGCCGTCGAGCGAAAGGGCCCACCCCAAGATCCCGAGTCTCTCGCGTCCTTCCAATACACCTCTCTGCGGATGAGAAACAGGTCTCGTCGCATCCTTGAGCATCTTTTCACTGCAGAGGCCCTTGAATGTCTAGAGACGATGGTAGAGATGTGGTCAAGAGCAGACCCTGACACATCACCTCTGATTTTTAGTTTGCTGCACACTCTGGACGGATCTCGCCCAAAGATCACCATTCCAGCAATCTTCAATGCCATTTATACACGAACCAACCCTGCTGCGCTTGAGCCCCACCGTAAATCTGCCTTGACGTCAAGCCTCACTGAATCGGAGCTGGCAGGTTTTCTGGTTACTTATGCCAGATCTCTGGATGATGATGTACTTGACGAAATCTGGACAGACTGTACGACATTTTTACGTGACGTCTTGAGCAACCCCTTCCCCCACAGACAGATTCTTCCCCGGCTAGTGGAATTCGCTGCTATTCTTGGAGCCAAGATGGAGAATACAACCTTCGGCGAGGATCGACGGATGAGGAAGGAACTAGGGGTATGTCTTACCGCGGCATTAACCATGCAGTGCAGTTATTAACTTCATGCAGGATGTATTGCTTCGTCTGCTCACCGCCATCTTCACAAGCAAGCCTCTGGGATTATCTCAGGATTCAAGTATGCTGGGGAGGCCATCCCTGGATTATGACAACTCCGCTGTACCGCACGCTGGCCCTGACGATATGCTCAGTATTCTTGCACTCTCGATGCCATCTTTTACAGCACTGTTAGGTGATTCTGATCGCATCGTCTCCGCTGTGTCAGGCATATCCTCTCATGTGATCGGGCCTCTTCTGCGTTCGCGGCTATTTCCCAACAACATCAACGGCAGTGTGATGTCTCTCCTGCAACACATTGCGAAGGTTCCAGCTGCTGCAAAAATCTGGAAGAAGGACCTAGCCGATGCCTTCAACGATCCACGATTTTTTGGTTTCCAAGTTGATCTCGTGAGAAGCGGTTGGATGAAGCTACTCAGGCAATGGGCAATTGCCGACAAAGACCGCCTGACAGAGTTGATGTCTCGTCTTCCACCACCGAGCACAGCAGGACTCATGTTCGGTGTTGGTGCGTCTGCTGCTCGCTTGGAAGCTGACCGGAAAGCTCAGCTGAATCTGCGCAGGATATCACTGCTGATATTATCTGCAAATGAAGATTACTTCATTGGAGAACTACCAGAGCTGCTTCAGAAGCTGGAAGATCTCCTTGCGGCAACGAGCTCCTCATCTCCGTCGTCCACCACTAGGGCAGAGATATTCATGGTACTTCGGGCGCTTGCGCTCAAGAGTTCAACTACCACGCTTGCGCCATTTTGGCCATTGATCAATACGGAGCTTCAAGAAGCTATTTCTAGCATACCGCTTGGAGCGCAACAAGAAGTTTACAATGCATACTCGCTGTTGCAAGCGTGTAAGCTTCTGGATACACTACTTGTTCTCGCGCCAGATGATTTTCAGCTTCTTGAGTGGCTTTATGTCACCGACACGATTGATGCTGTTTACCCTCCTGGGCATCTAGAATCAAAGGCACTTGCAGACGAGATCTCGCAGACCTTGGGTGTACTTGGCTCGGCGCCACCACGTTCACCGCGCGAAGCTACCGAGTCTGGCGACGGAATGAAGCGACCTCAGCTGACATTGGATTGGATCCGTGAGACGGCAAAGGACGAGCTTATCGATCAGGTACTTCGGCCGTTTCTCGACCGACTTAGTATTCATGCTTTCGAAAGCACTTATAGTATGGGCAATCCGGACTTGAAGAGTTGCCAGGACGACTTATTGGCGGATTTGTTTAACGAGAGCACCATGGCCAATTGATGCGAGTGCGTTGTTGTTCTTGTGTCTTTTAGTTGATATCTCTCTGTACGATACCAATCAGCATTGATGTATGTCTGCTGCCCTCTCAATGGATAGAACCGCAACGTATGGTGTAGCAGGGTGCCATTCCTACCATTAGTCGCGCGTGGAAGCTGTTGTATATTATATATAATGAATACAGGCAGTTGTTCAATGCTGAAAAATTATGCAAAAAAAATAAACTCAGAAGCACCACCGTCAAATAATATTACTTGCTCTGTACGTTTAGCATGATGTGTCTGCGCCTCCAGCAGTTGGAAAATCGAAAGTAGTACAGACAAGAGTCGCCGGATGCAACCGCATATCGCAGGGCCAAAACAGGCAACACCGCCACCACGCGCTCGTGACACCCAAGCGCCCAACTTCATCTCCTGATTACAATGTGAGAAGATGATATTTCCTTCTCTACTTTGAGTCCAAAAGCATGCTTCTCGCTAACCGTAACATAGCTCTCCAGGCTCATGACCAAACATGATTGCAGGTAAAAACGCGATTTCCCTGTTGCGCTCTGGGGCGCCCAGGTTGGGACCCGTATCCGCCTGCGGCTTCTCGACATCCCGAACCCTCAGGAACACAGGTACAACATTGCCTGCAAGAAAGCCTGTGGGTGCATTCCGTGGAGGGTAAGTGCTTCGAACTCCTGTATTTGGTTGTTTTGTCGGGTATATTGGATGTTCTCCTGACGCCTGTGCTAGGTTGTTTGGGTTCCTCGCTGGAACTGCTGTTGCCGGTGCTGCGGTCTACTATTACATCTTGGGGGAGTACAGAGTCGCAAATCAAATGCTGAATGAAGATATCCATGTATGTCTCACTTTGTTTTCGTCTACAACGGGATCCTTGAGGATTCTCCCCCTATCCCGTCGTCCCTGTCCGCCCAGCTGCTATGATGCTATATCAGAGCATCCTGAGCGTGTACGGATGGATGCAATAAACTGGACGCCTCATTTGATAACTTGGCTCACGTTCCTGCTCATCCGCTCTTTGGACCATACTGATCGAGTTCGTTAGGCTCTACAAGCAGCCACAACACGACTGCAAACTTACGTCACGGAACTGGAGACAAAGATAGACCAGCTGCAAAAGAAGAAATGAAGGCAATTTGTCGGATCATCTTTAATCTCATGACTGTTTTGTTCTTACTCTCGAGTATCATATCTTGTTTTGGATTTCTACCAGCTTGAGCAGTGTATCATGCTTTAGGTGTTGTTTATACGGGCTCCATAAAGGTGACATACCTGGAGTCCTTTGAGTTCGCAGATTCTCTATAATGTATCTCTCTATACGTCGATAACACTCCAGTCAAGAGGACCAAATCCAGTGATCAATCAGTACTTAGCAAGTGACAAGGCTCATAGACATGCACCGTCAGCACGTGACACCATGCCTAGGTGGATCCTCTTGTAGTTGGATGATGCAAACACCACAAACACATATCCATGGCGCGGTATCTTTTGGCATATTAAGAGCTTCAGATCGTTCACGCCGGCAGACAAGCCATCGCGATGCAAGCATATTAGACCATATCAGTCACTTTTGTCGTTCTCATCATGTATCGTATTGAAGTCCTCCCCGGCACATCCTCCCATGTCACGCCCGGATGGACCTACGTCCCCGACCGCGGCTTCGACCCAGCGCAAGCAGCTATCACACCTACCATCGGCAGGAAACGAGGAATCCGCGATGGTGGTCGCACCGACTTATCTTCGCGCCAGAGCAATGCGATTATTCGCCACATAGCTGAGCTTGACCGGGAGAACCATCGAGACGTCCATATTCCGATTCCAGTGAAACAGAAGGATGCAGCCGGTAGAGGTATTGCAAGCATTGCGCAGAGATTCTATCAAAGCAACCCGACCATGGCTAACGTGTATTTATTACTGCTAGGGACACGGGGAAAGACGACTTCAAATGTGCGCCGTATCCTACAATCGCAAAAGACCTTCCGAAACTACCTCGATGACGAGGAGGCGGCCCTGGCCCAAGCCGCACAGTCAACTATACAACGGCCCTCAATCAGCAAGATAACGAAGCCCTCCCGACGAAGTCTAACTCCCGCTACTACCCCCAAGTCACACTCATCGAAAAGAAAACAATCCACCGTACCTCCATCAAGGGCCTCAACGATCCCGCCAGAGACCATCACAAGCGCGACCCCGACACAGACGAAGACAAGAAGCAGAGCGAGCCAGAAACCGAGAACCAGAATCGACTGATCAAATCGGAGCACGACAACGATCCTCTTCTCAAATCGTACATTCCTTCCGCACCCTCGGAGCGCATAATGCAGGCACTCCTGGCCGAACCGCCACTCACATACAACGCGGCTCGTGCTGGTCCATCCCTAACCGTCAAGGCACCACGGCACTTTTGCTGTATGTGCGGGTACTGGGGCAAGATTCGGTGCAAGAACTGCCATGTTCGGACCTGCGGATTGGCTTGTTACAAGGTTCACGAGGACTCGCGGTGCGGAGCGTTCTTTTGAGGTGTCTGGTGCTGGCCGGTTTGGCCGGTAATGCTTGACAACATACCTGTCAAAATACCAGCTTCATAGCTGTGAAGGGCCCTAGTCGAGTTGCAAGGCTTTGTGCGAAAGGCGCAGGAGTCTCATAACACGGTTTATCGCTGCAGGACGGCGGGCGTCATTATCCATCCCTGCGCTCAGAGTCCATCACGCATGCTTGACTCTTTACGGTCCCCCGATGACATAAATCGGTTAACGCGTCTCCTTCGTGATCGATGCAATGCCTCATCACAAATTCAATTCCAGACGAATCAAATGGATCCGGCAGCCTACCATCGCAGCTGGTGGAGGGTTCGTCTGCATGCAGTAGCAGCAGCCATGGCCAATGTGACTCGCATTGCCAGGAACTTCCAGTAGTCCATAATACCCGCTACGAGTGGACATCATGGTTCTCAATATCCAGCATAGACAGTTCTAATGATCGATGTCTATGTACATAACATCAATCCAGAGAAAGTTCAATATCCAAGGATCAACACTTCATCTTAATACCAGCGCGTAACTCCTCTTCCCGAATCTCGAACATGACCTGTACTCCCACAAACAGTGCGCCACAAGCGGCAACAAGGAAGCCAATGCCCGAGTAAGATCCGAGAATCTCCGATAGGAGACCCTTGAGCCCATCCAGTCCCAAGGCAAATCCAACAAGATTGGCAATCATCATCATAAGAACATTGCCAACGGCGCCAACACCGCAGAGAACACGGTATGCGGTTGGGCGCGAGCGCCACTTGCGCGCGGGAAACAGCAGAGTAGCGATGGTCTCGGGGAGAAAGAAGAGGGTGATGAGCCAGCCCCACATGAGCAAGCGAAGGTTAATGTCATGCCAGAGAGCGACGAACGTGAATACCACCAGGAAATTGAAGATCTGACGTGCTTTGGAGAGGAGGCCTGGCGAGGATTTGTTCGCGCCTCCCGATCGTGCTCCTCCGCCCAGGGGTATGTAGAGATAGCGGACGATCCAGCGGTTAAAGGATCGGTGCCAGCCGCGCCAGAAGGCAAAGACAGAGTAATTGTTCGACACGCAGCGGACCATATTCTCAGGGGGATCGATGCCGTCGACCAAGGCCCAGAGGCGGAAGAACCGCCAGGGAATGAGGAGTTTGAGCCAAATCATATGTAGATTGAAGAATGCGAGCATGCTAAGTTGTCCGGTTGAATACAGGGACCAATCGGGCGATGCCTGGGAAATCGCCAGGGCGTATATATAATGGAGGATCAATTCCATGCTGAGCAACGTCAAGAAGAATCGGATGCCGTATAGAAGAGTACGGGTCTTTGTGAGAGATGGTGGTGGATATCTCTGCTGAGCGATATAGTCGTTGAAGGTCAGGATAGGACCCGTCAAGTACAAAGGCGAGTAAAGGGCATAGGCGACGTAGTTGCGAGCATTGAACGCAGACTGTTCTGGCGGGATGCTCACACGATCACGCTCGGACAGCGCTGCTGGATCGAGCTGTTTCTTCTTATGGCTGTCAGTTATCGTTCGCAAGAGTCTGTGGTCTCAGAGCATACTTCAATTGCGCTCGCCGCTGGATAATCCAGGCTCCAGTAATAATCCATATTGAAACTGATCAAACGGAGGACCGTCAGGTTGAAGAGGATCTCCCAGCGGGGCATTAAGCCTCCAAAACCATCGATGTATTTGGCCCATTGCACCAAGGAAGTTTCTCCTTCACCACCTGCTGCGAAGAAAGTGGCCACGCGCTCAAGCGGGTACCCGGCACAAAGCTCGTTGGAGAATAAAGTGGAGATGTTGAATATCCAAGTGGCCGCGGGGATATATTTCCTAGGAAGAGAATTGGCAATCTTGTAGTTCAAGTACAGGATCACGAGGACCTTGATAGCCGACACCCCATGGAGCGCAGTTATGAACAGGAGAGCAAAGTAATAATCGAATCGCACCCGTCGATCCAGTCGAGCCTCTCCAGTAGTCGCCGCATCGGCACTTCGAGAAACAGAGCTGGCATCGGGCCGCAGTAGATAGCGCTCATAAACCCGACGAAGCAACGGATGAGCGACGAGAAGGATGAGAAGGTAGGGAATGTTATTACGAAAGTTTGAGAATTGGGCATCGGAGTTGTCCTATTCATTGTGGCAATCAGCATCATGGAAAACAGCAGATATGCAGCCCATACTCACCACCTTACGGCCAGGTATCCAGCCCGGCGATAGCAAATGCTCATAAGCAGAATAACCGGGATGACTCTCTAGAGCAACTGATCAGCACGGGTCTCCAAGCTCCCCGCAGACTCGCAACCACACGCCGTACCTTTCGAAGCATCAATGACAGTCTTGAACATCAGAGGTACCACGGTTAAGAAGACAAAATAATAAACAAAAAATTCAGGCGTTCGCCAGTTGGGAGGCGAAGCGCCATTGGCGATGGCATTTGCGCGAGCATCTTTCGCAGCCGGGGGTCGCGTGTCAGCAGCGGCCCTTAACGAGGTGGTCGCAGACGAAGTGAAACGAGTGTCGAGGGTATCAAGAGAGTAGAGTCTCCGAAACCAGGAAAGGATTGAAGTCATTTTAACAGAAGCATCGCGTGCCGGGGCCCATGGACAAAGCTGCGGAGAGAAGAGGATGATGGGTTGCGGAGAGCAGTACGGAGGACTCCGTAGATAGGTATCTTTAGGAGGGAAACGAGCTCAGGGGCGGAGAAGGCCAGATTACCTAGGCTCTTACAAGTAGTCCAGAATCACGAGGTTGACTATAACTATATCACCGAATATACTACGTAACAACCTTACAGACTGCAACTGCAATGCGACTCTTGACGTTTGATTCTCCAACATCACTGCAATTGCAAGCCAAACCTTCAGCTTTCTATCTGCGATCTTGACGATCCCCATTCCTGATGATGAGTAAGGTACTTGTCAAAGACCTCGATTATCATTGGTCAGTATGAGTGCCTGACCCCAAAGGCACTAGTGCTTGAGCTAGCCTAAAGTGGAACAGAATGCTAAATTTGGACGTCTCCCAGCAACTTTGACGCCTTGCAGCCTGAGGCATAAACGTAGCTAGAGCCCCACTTGATCGCCAGAATGAACGTCGACCGATAGCTACCTACCTAGGTATGGAGTATGATCAGACAAACACTCCAAAGATATCACAACAGCGAAACCCTGAACCGCAGAGTAAGAACCGGAGCCTTTGTCAACATGGCATCGCGGCGAGTACTTCTACCCCGACCCCTTCGAACCTCCCGGTCGCGTTTCGTCTTTTCCTATCTTGATACGTCATTTGAATTCATGGCACGTGACTGACATGTATCAGACTGCATTCAGAGTCCACGGCACTGTACAAGGCAAGTACTTCACTGCTGCTATTACATTAAATGGTTACTGATTTGTCTCCAGGTGTCGGATTCCGGTAGGGTGATGGATTCCGCATACAGAGAGGCATTCAGCATAGACACATTTCTAACTCCTATGTTCTGACTAGTGACTTCACTCAGAAGCGTGCAGTTGAGCACGGATTGAAAGGTTGGGTGAAGAACACTACCTGTGGAAGAGTCCGTCCCCAACCCTAAGGTTCCTGAGTTACCTACACATCTGCAGAAGCTAAGGTCATGGCAACAGGTTGAAGGAGAAGTCCAAGGTAACGACGAGACACTCCAGAAGTTCTTCAAAGACATCGACAAGGGACCACGTCTCGCACACGTAGTCAAGGTCGAGAAAAGGGATCTCAGTCCTGAAGAAGGGGAAGATCACTTCGCTGTCAGACGGACATCCGAGTCGGTCTTTGAAGCTGCTAAATGATTGGACTCAATATGTCTCGTTGAGGAGAGTTCCCAGTCTTTGTCTTTCAACCAAATGAAATTATCTAATGAGCTGCTTGTATCAGCGCTGAGGCAATTTGAACTCCATCGAGCAATAACTGTGAGAACATTAGAGGTATATAAGTGGATGTAATGGTCGATCTAGTTGCTCTTGTAGGTCGGCATGACGAGAATACTTCGGCCAACGGGATTCTCTCCAGCTCAAATCCATGAACGGCATTTCGCCGTTTCGGCTAGCTGGCATGCAACAACCACCTTGACCAATGCGTACATGGAGCGCCTTGAGTGACGCAATGGCTCACCGAGAATATCTAGCAGTAACCAAACGGGCTCGGAAAACAGAACACCGAACGCCGTTCAAACTTGCATCCCGATTTTTCTTCGGGCAGTAGCTCACTGTGTCTGAGATCGGGAGGGCTGAGTCATTCGCCGTCTGACAATCCCGATTTCCTCCGAGGTCACATGGCCCGATCCTGTATTTTATGAAGATACGATATCGTATCCAGATGACAGATACAAGATTATGCCAGTATCAGCTTCGCAAGTTCTTTTGCCATAGGGATAATGGGAAGCATGTATAATCTGCTTCTACTTCGTCTAGGGTCTGCTGCTGATGAAGTGGATACTTGATATTGTTTAAATTCCAATTTCCCGTCCTGATGGTGGTGTTATTGTCGGTATCAATGGGGGGGCTTCTCTGTAACTTCGACGTTCATTCTAGCTTCTATCAAAACTGGAACCAGCCCGCTGGTTCCTCAGGCCCCTCCATCAGTTTCCACCATCCATACCAATACGAATTGCGCTCATCTAAGCCTCGTTGAATTTGGTGTGGTGTGGCCTATCAGTTAGTTAATGTGCGCAATGATGACTGTAACTGTAGAGATTTTCTATGGTGGAAAATTTCTTGTTTCATTTCAGATGAGTGCCCATTGTATTTGTTAGGTTCCCCGTGGCTTCCGGTTTTTGCCATAGATGATACGGCTTTGCAAATATTATCTGGACGGTCGAGTATATAAGGATGTGACTGTAGAGACCATAAGCTGTAGTTATTATTCAGATATCCAAACCATCAAACAATACGAAGAAGTCATCATATCTATTATCTCCGAAGTCCAGACATCCTTACTTTACCGTCTGACAAGTGATAACTGCCTTCCATATGAGCTCGATAACAGCAACCATGCCCTTACGGGCTACTGCATTTCCCAAACCATATGTCCGGTTTACTATCCGGACCTACGCAAGCGCAGTGGTTGCACCACGATGCAGTCGCCCCCTGCTAGCAAGCAGCAACCACTTCCAGTCAATCACAAAGCGGCCCATCTCGTCAACGCCACAGACACAAATCAAAGACTACTTCCCTCCGCCGAAGGCTCCTCACATCAAGGAGGTTGAGACGGCCTGGGTTCATCCCATGTATGTGCACTCCGATTGATATCTACTTTCGACGCGCTCCCGCGCTAACAGCTACAAGTTACACCGAAGATCAGATGCGCGCCGTTCAGATAGCCCACCGAGAAGCCAAGAACTGGTCCGACTGGGTGGCGCTCGGGACAGTCCGAGTGCTCAGATGGGGTATGGACTTGGTGACCGGGTATCGACACCCCAAGCCGGGCCAGGAACACGACGCCAAATTCAAAATGACCGAGCAGAAGTGGCTTACTCGATTTGTTTTCCTCGAGAGCGTGGCTGGCGTGCCAGGCATGGTTGGAGGCATGCTGCGGCATCTGCGGAGCTTGAGACGAATGAAGAAGGACAACGGATGGTGAGTTCCCATTTTGGTAATCAACTTTCCGCAGTTCATGTTGTTGCTAACAATCAATCACCAGGATCGAAACTCTTCTTGAAGAGGCATACAATGAGCGCATGCATTTGCTTACCTTCCTCAAGCTTGCCGAGCCAGGATGGTTCATGCGGCTCATGGTTCTCGGAGCCCAGGGCGTCTTCTTCAACGGGTTCTTCGTTTCGTACCTGATCTCCCCACGCACCTGCCACCGGTTCGTCGGCTACCTTGAAGAAGAAGCCGTCATCACCTACACTCGGGCCATCAAAGACATTGAGGCAGGAAAGCTGCCCGATTGGGAGAAGTTGGATGCTCCCGAGATCGCCGTCCAGTACTGGAACATGCCTGAGGGCCAGCGCACAATGAAGGATTTGCTACTGTACGTGCGGGCGGACGAAGCCAAGCACCGCGAGGTCAACCATACACTAGGAAACCTTCAACATAATGTGGATCCGAACCCGTACGCAGCCAAGTACAAGGATCCCTCCAAGCCTCATCCGACAAAGGGAATTGAGAATTTGAAGTCGACCGGATGGGAGAGAGACGAGGTTATTTGATTCCTTCATTTTGAAATCTTTCCTTTGTGTCTGTTTTTCAGCATTTGAAGCCTGCATGTGATAGATGGCCTGTCTTTCCAATCGCTTCATTTTGTTACCGAGGAGCCTCAAGGGGGGTTCATTCGTTCTATTGGTCTGATCAGTGTTTTCCTCTTTTGTTTTATTCAAGGAGCACGGAGTTTAGTGATACCTAATCTAGGCTACATTCCAGCGCTTCTCCTCTCTCAACAATTTCTGAATATCATAGTGTCATGACTCGTGACAATCTTCTCCTCGATCCTTCTAGAATCAATGCACTTACCTAGGGTGCATGTGCTTACGATTACGATCCGCGCCGAACCTCTGGACGGGACGGAAAACTGTCGAATGCGGGGCAAAGGTACGGGGCGACACTAGACCTGTTTTGGCAAAGTACCAACAAAGGCACAAGGGTAGGGCGGGTGTGCCTGAGAGGATAAGACCACCAGCGATCGAAGTGAGACACAAGATAACGGACAAAAACCGTCGAGAAAAAGCAGAGACACAATGGAAGTTCCTGGTTGTGAGCCCTCTGTAGTGTACCAGTAATCAAAAGACATGAAATTGGGAGTTGCTATAAATACGTCGAATCGCCATGATAGTCGATGTGTTGGCTCTCGGACTATTCGACCCGCTCGCCCCTTTAGTGGAAAAAAAAGCCCCTTTTGAACCTCGAGCAAATTATTGAGTGTCTTGTCGATCCATAACCACGACCGGCACACCCTGACCAAGCAATAATAATCTGGCCAACGGCCGATATTAACGTCTGATTTCCAAAAAAAAAAAATACGGGGCCATTACCGCCTCGAGAACAAGCTGTCCTCTCCACGTCGTGTGATATCGCCTTACCGAACTGAGTCCGATCCGTTTCTATATTGATACATTCAAACCGAGGGAAGAAAACGGCTATCCAGAGTTCAGTATTGAGGAAAATATGGATGAGACTATTGATTCAGAATCCGTCCTCGCTCCTGTGAGGGCCTCATCGCCGTCCCCTTCCATCCCAGCAACGCCTGCGATCTCCTCGTGTCCATCCCCTGACCGTACGTTCTCCACCATTTCGTCCCTCTCAACCTCGTCCGCCACATCCGCCGATGCCAGATCATCGATTTCGGCCTCTTCGAGACGACATGGGTACATCCGGCCGCAGGGAGCCGAATTCGCCGAGTCGGCTAAGAATCGCGAAAGTGTGATGAGTCTGGGGAGCATTGCCCACCTGCAGTACTATTTCGCAAGAACCGGTCTGCTGGACGGCAAGGGGGGCCATGCGCGCGAATGGAAGAAAAAGAAAAAGCCCGAGGAGGAGCCTCGGCTACTATTGACGCCTAATGCTCGGTTCATCGATGATTTGACAGAGAGCCCGACAGACGAAGACTGTTCGGATATTGGTGAGGAGGATCTGGAAGATGAGATGATGCTCCCGCCGACGGTGAGCACGTACAGCGTTAAGACGCATCATATTCCGCCACCGCCGGATGTGCCGGCGCTGAGGAGGGATTTGCTAAATGCGGTGGACAAGGCCGAGAAGAACATTAAGGAACTGGAGACGCAGAAAGAGCCCCCGCCGGAGATGGTGCCGCCGCGGATCAGTGTATCTCGAGAAGATGCAGAAGTGATTTCGCGGCCAGGCACGGGCAATGGCCCGCCGGGATGGCATGAGATTCAGGGCATGCGCATTCTGGATGCGGTTACTCTTGCCATCCGAGCGGCCAAGTTTTACTATACGGCGCATGAGCGCCCCGAACGGTTGGCTTCAATCAAGCCCGAGCGAGAAATCCGGCAGGAACTGTTTCATGTTCTGGAGGTGCTGAAGCGGTGGGCCTCTCGCAATTTTGCGGGGGTCTCCGCGAGGACGAGCGATCGTCGATGATGGATTGGGTGTCAAATGTACGTCAGATGCTCGCCAGAGAGGAGAGCCTGGAGGCCTTGGAAGCGAAAGAGCGCGAAGGATGGGACTGGGCGAAAGGCGACTGGAGCGGGCGAGAACGGGAGCGAGAGGAATTGTTCCTGCGCAGCTTGCTAGAATCCGATACACCCTTGCCAACCTGGACGTCCACCGGTGAGGGGACATTGCCGACACCGATCCTTGAACGACTGCGGGACGGCCGAGACCTCGTCCGCATCCACAACCAGGCGGTCACGAAATCCAAGCGACCATTCGGCGAGATCAGGTCGTACCATCAAGACGTTGCCAAGCCATATCGACGTGCAGATAATCTTCGCTTCTGGCTAAAGGCCGCAGAAATCCGATGGGAGACGAAGCTGGAAATGGACGTGATGGGCGTTGTCAACGGTACCAGCGATGAGGCCTGGAGGCAATTCGACAGGGCTCTTTTGTCATGGTGCCAGGCAGTCCGTGAAGAATTGATACGAGACTGGCGTGAGCCACACACAGCACCGGTCGCTGCATGTACCCCGACTACTGATAGTCAGGGAGGTGGCGATCTTGCATGACATTACAGATACTGGCAGTCAGACTGCAGATTACATATACCGGCGCAGTGTTCCTGGGTTGAAAGGGAGGGGCAAGGGGCATGGGATGGAATGAGTGGTTGAGTGGTACCACGTATTGAGTTTCTCTGTTTGCTATCCATCATTTAGATACCCCTTACTTGTCGTCTTGAGCTTTTCCACAATTTCATTTCTGCATACGCACTTGCTATGTTCTACGAGTTTCAACTGCTGCTTGAAGCATATATCTCCCTATTGGTTGGCCAGCCATTTTAGAATCGGACTGGTTGCACGCTTGACTACCATGGCCGTCATCTCATCCTCTGCGACGCCGGTACTTTATGAGTTGGGCTAAAATCCAACCACCTTGTTTTACGTCATGGTTGACTGCTGGGTTGAGTTCCACGGTTGAATGGATTCTCTGACCGACCAAACTCTGCTCTGTTTATTTACTTCGGGTGGATTGGCTTTGGAGTCTGATAAGTAGATGGCCGGCAGCAAATATACATCTAGTACGTAGCATTATTGTCTAGTCCATGGTTGTTATACTCAAGCACTCAGTCTGAAAATAATAAGAATTATAAGGTTATCCTTGCCAGAAGAACTCCCAGGGTAGGATGACCCCCTAACGCAGAGAAACAGCTAGTTGCAATTATGATTGACGGCGGCGGGCGATCGACCGTTAAAACATCGTCATTAGTGAACTCAGGCCATGTAAGGTGAGCCTGAGGCAGGACAGACCGCGCGCCGTGTTTTATTCATATTAATTAATTCTGTCCGTATTTTAACTACTGTTTGTTGTCCGCTGAAACTATCTACCTATCACCTATCACCTTCACATCTAAGTATGATGTAGTCGCACCGCTCTTTTCTTTCCCTCCCCATTGACCTGTCTCAAACCAGAAACAAAATATTGCAAATCATTCAAGAACTCTGAAGCCGAATTCCACTTCAAATATCGGTTTTATCTGCGTCGCAGGGGGTGTCCGCTTCTCTCCCACGGCGAAAACAGAAAGGGGACGAAGGGAGGCCACCGCACCGCACAGCAGCAGGCCGGTGGACACCTTGAACAACTCAGGATTCCCGACAGCACTAGCTCCGTTCACCGCAGCCAAACAATCTACATTCCTCAGCCCACCACCTTCGTCTCTCCAGTACCTACATTCTACAGTAGTTCTTGCCACACCAGGCCAGGGCGGTCGCCTCGTGGATTAGTATCCATGCGCGCCTTATTCTCCAGTTCGACTGCCTCCACTGCTACCAGCCAGCTCGCAGATCCCACACCCAACCCCGATAGCAACGACAGCAACGACCCTTTCGCGTCGCAGGTATCTTCGCCGCCACCGCCGCCTCCTCCTCGTCCTGCAGTATCGGTCTCCTCGCCAGGGAACGAGCCCTTACCGCGTCGGATCAAGTCCAAGTCCTCCCTGCGAAGTATTCGGAGCCTCGGCAGTAGTCACCACGAAGACGAAGGCTACGACAGCCAGGACCAAAGCGGTCTCGATAAAAGTCTTGTCCGGCCCTCGATTCTACGTCGTTTGTCTCCTGGGTTGGCAGCGCGGGTGAAACTGTTGGACGGTAGTAGCAGGGTCTCGACACCATCTCGCAGCCCGGGCAACGTCGGTCGGATTCCGGAGGAACATATCAAGGAACTCGACAATCTTCATCAGAACAGGTCTATCAAGGTTGAAAAGAAGGGCCGGTCTTGGAATGCTTTGCAGATAGCTGGCAAGAAGCAAGACACACAGCAGACTCCTTCCGAAGCGTCGGAGATCCTGCAGCACGGTTCCGCCGAACAATCGGTAACGCCAACAGATCCGCAGCCAGCAGCACCAGTCATCGAGAACCCTGGATCGCATACCTCCGTACCGCTTGAGAATATTGACACTGAACATTTGCCCGCTGCGGCGGTAGCTTCCCCACAGGAAGATTCGCAGGAGGATTCGCAGAACGAAGAAGCGGTGGAACAGACACCAGCCATGTCTGCTGTGGAGCAGTCGCAGACGCCGCTGGCAATTGGGTCCGCGACAACGACAACATCCGAGACTCCCGATCAGACTGACTTTGAGAAATACATTCAGAGTACCAGCGACAACGAAGCGCAATCACCTCGCCCGTCACCGCCCCCGAAAGACTCTCCTCCGTTGTCCAGTTCCTCATCGAATGTGCAGTCGTACTTCAACCCAAAGGGCTTGCAACGCACTGAATCAATCTATTCGTTTTCGAGAGCGTCCTTTAGTAATCAGCTCTCGCAGCTAACCTCCATCACTCTTCCACAACCCTCGTCACTGGCGGCCAGTATCGCTGGGATCTCGAATGCACCCGCTGCTGTCAAGGCGTTGACAGGGGCTGCGGAGCAGATTCAGATATGGATCAGGAAGGCTTCTGATGTGTTGAGTGGCCTGGATGCGGAGGATGATGTGGAGTGGGCCGCAGCCGGCGGACGAGAAGGATTAGAAGGAGTGGACAAAGCCATCACCCGGTTCGAAAGCTTGGTTCACGTTTATGTCAATGCCATTGAACAGGTTCAACTGCGACAAGACATAGGCAACGTCGGCCCGGACAGTCTGAAGACGATCGTCGTCCAAATGGACTCTATCATACAGAGTTGGGCGCAGATCAAAGGGCGACTGAGAGGCGTTAAGGAGCAGGTAGAGTTAGCCATGGAGTGGGAAGAGCTATGGGCCAATGTCCTAGGCGATGTCGGCATGGAAATCGAGAATCTCAGCCGGTTGATCTTCGAGATGGAGGAGAAGCGACACTTCACCCTGGCGAATGAGCAGGAAGGGACCAGCAACGGGCTTGATATCAATGAACTTGAGACAATCGTTGAGGAGACGCCCTCGAATGGCGACATGGCAAGCAAACGCTTCAGCATGGAGCCCTTCTTCTCAGGGGCACAGCCCTTGGGTATGCCGATTGTCCAGACCCCTCAGGATGATTCCCACTCCAGCCTCATGGCTTTGTTTGCTCGGATGCAGCCATTGAAGGCCTCTCTAGATTTCCTGCCCATGAGATTGTCCATGTTCCAATCCCGGGCTGAGCGCATCTTCCCCAGTGCCTGCGAGGAGCTGGAAGACCGGCGAAATCAGCTGGTGAAGAGCTACAAAATGCTGGAGGCCGATGCGGAGGCTCTGCGGAAAGAGCTCAGCGAGGACCGCTGGATTCTGGTCTTCCGCAATGCTGGAGCACAAGCACACAAGATGTTTGAGTCGGTCGAGAGAAGCATTGCCAAGCTCCAGGAAGGGATCGAGACGGGCTTGCATGTGCACAATCCTGCTGGCTTAACGAAACGAATCGAGAGCTACGAAGCGAAGAAGGTCCATTATGTTCCTGCCATTGAGCGGGTGATCTCCATCATCGAAAAGGGCGTCAAGGATCGACTCACTGTGAATGGAGAGATCATGAGGCTTCTGTCAGACATGTCATCCAGGATCGACGCTCTGAAAGCAAGCATCAAGGTGATGGACTCTTCGTTGGACGATCTCAGTCTCTCCAAGTCTCAGCACTTGCGGGACTCGATATCCACCATCATCACAATGGACAGCCCCCTTGCGAGCAGTGTTGTCGACACCCCGGTAGCTCCCCTGCTTCGTCGGTAATCATGACTCCCGGGAATGGTCTCAAGGGCTCAACTACGCCACTGAACCCTTCAAGCAGGCGTGGTAGCTCCGTGGGCAGTTCTGCCACGCGGACTACTATGTCCAAGGTTCGACGATACTCCGGACTCCCGCAGGCAGCCTCGGCTCTAAAATCAGCCATCCCCAAGCCTACGTTCTCGGCTACGTCGCCTAGCAAGAAAGATACGGCCATCACTCCGACGCCGGCGACGCGGAAGGTTTCGCGCCTGCCACCACCGCCTTCACCGCTGAACAACCGTCCACGGTGGACCACCAGCACCAACACCAACGATCTGGACGTTGGTCACGTCTACAGGTCCAGCACGCCGTTCCGCAAATCCTCTGCTCCGGCTCGTACGTCGCGACCCTCGTCCACTCTGCCGATGCCGAGCCCGCACCGGCGAGACCAGTCTGCGTCTCCTGCTCCTCCGCCCTCCCGATCCGTCAGTCGTGTCTCTAGCAGACTCACCTCTCGCAGCCCGGCTCGGGGGGCATCCCCGTCCCCTGGACGCTCCATTCTCGATCCTCCTCCATACAGCAAGCTTCAGAAGCCGGGCCTAGCTGGCCTGACCAATACCCCTCGCAACCGACAGAGCTACGCTGGAATGTCGTTCAGCCGCAGTGTCTCACAGACGCACGATTCAGGGATGCTGAGTCCGACAAAGACAACTCGTCCTGGGACTTCGCTTGGCCATTCAGGAACAGGCAACCGGCGCGTCAGTCTGCTTCCTCTTCCCAAGCCGCGGTCTGGCGGAGATTCGCGCAGCAAGCTCAGTGAACGACCACCCTGGCGTTGATTAATTTCTCGCTCAAACATCTGCAACCTCTCCTCTTCTTGTTTCATTTTAGGGTCACATACATTTACGGCTCGCTGGTTCTTTGCGGTGTCATATACCAAATTGTTTTGAGGACAGACTGGGCTTTGCTTGATTCCCCATTCGCATTTGTTTTAGCGGCGGATTGTACTATTTTGTGCTTAGGGACTACAGATCATTCTTCGGTGTATGGTTATTGATTCAATACATTGTGATACCTTGCGGATACATTAGTTCTATTTACATCAAATTCTATATTCTGCATATGCATCTATTCCCCCAGCTTCCTTCCAAAGATCAATGCATCCACCAAGTCTTCGCTATTTTCTAACCGTGCAGCCCTGGGCACTCGCCCGATGACTTCAAAACCAAGTCTCTTCCAGATCTTGACGGAGGCGACATTATTCTCGAACACGAGGTTGAAGACCGAATATTTGTACCCCTGTGGATTTCTCAATTTCTGCCGCAACATACACAGCAAGCGCAGGGAACCTACCAGCTTGGGCGCATACTCCAGATATGCCTCTCCCATAACTATGCCTACCCCACGACCTCTCGCCGCACTGGTAGTCAAGAATCCCGCATTGCAGACATGCGAGCACCGGCCTGCTCCGTCAGCACTACATCCCCATTTCATCAAACTGTACGCACGGGAGTAAAATTACCAGGATAATTCGGCTTAATATAAAACGTCCCCAAACACTCCTTCTTCCAATCCCTCCCCTCCCTAATCTCCTCCTCCTCCCCCGTCAGGGCCACAACCGCAAACGTCCCAAACCAGTAGTCGGCGAACTTGTCCTCGCTCATCGGCTCCTCCATCGGATACGTGCACCCGCCCTCGACCTCCGCGCGGAATTCGTCAGCGAGCACCGCCACCAGGTCCGATGGGATGCTCGAGGCCCCGTGTGCAATCGGGTACAGTGTGACGGGTGTGCCGTCTTTTAGGACTCCGCGGCGGGGGCTCAGGGTTGGGGCTTTGGAGAGGGCTGATGCCGGAGGGGGGATTTTGGAGGAGGGGTTCTCCATTATACTTGTTTTGGATGGCATTTTGTTTTGTTTGCTTGGTTGGGCAGGGAAAGGGAATATAGTGTTTCTTCTGCAGGGGAATGGGTCAGTGTACATACTTATAGGTTCGGTTTATCTGGGGGCAGCAAAAGCCGAAGTATATTTTTCTTGGTCAAGGTGATTAGTCATTGCTTGTAGATGGTAGGGCGTGAGTTGCCTTGATCATTGATATACACAACGCTTGATATATAGGCACTACCGAGGCAATTGTGGTTGAATTGTGAACTGAAGTTAATTGAAGGACAATTGCATATTGATAATCACGCCAGTGCTTATAATCCCTGAGCCAGCCGCATGCATGAAATCTTATACCGCTGAACTAATGCAAGCTAAATAAATACATATACACGTCAACGCCGTGAAAATGAGACAAATGCCATCCACCCATAGCAAGCCATTTTGGCCAATGCATGATAATGTACATTGAGGATATTAGATCCTCATACTCCGTAGCTCGTTACCGATGTCCTCCACCTCAGACCTCGACCGATGCCGCTAGACAACCTTCCACCACTCTCCTGCATACCCTAGCCGGCGACATGGAGAAACAGGGTATATTCATCACTCCTTCCCCTCTCCATCCGGATTCTTGATCGCCTGCATAAGCTCATACAGCTGCCCGATCTGCTGATCTGCAGAAAACAGAAACAGAGACAATTAATATACCCCGGACCCAGAATAAGATTGTAGATGTTAGAACCCACCACTCATCTTCTCCAGCTTCGACTTATCCAGCTTCTCCCCAACCCACGCATCACCCTCCAGCTTCTGCGCATACAGCTGCCACTCCGTCAAGAAGCCGATCTGCCCCGCCTTAGCACTTCTCAACTTGACCTTGGGGAAAACGGGGAAACGTACAATATGCAGCGGATTCTCCACGTTCCTATGTGCGCGGAACTCGCTCTTGACGTAGGAGTCGCCCAGGATGCGCATCTCGGGATCGAGCTTCCGGCGGTGGACGCGGAGGATGCGGCGGTAGAGCTGGAGTGGGGGAGGAGGGCGAGGGCTTCGCTGAGGCTGGATTTGGAGCCCATTGTTGAGGGCGTGGCCATTAGTAATCTGGGAAAGAGACGCATGGTGTAGGTGGCTTGAGAGCGCTTGACGGATTGCTTGAGATGTAGATTGAGGGCTGTATGATGAACGATGGTGATACTGCCGCGGTTGGAGATGCATCCCGGAAGGCGGCGAGGAAATGGCGAATCATAGGGTCGGCATTCCACAGCGGTTACCGTTGAACCTTTCCATTGTGCATGCAGGTAAGTATTGCTCGAAAGGAGGACGGTGCTTCGAATTGAAGAGTGCACTGCTGACTGTGATCAGGTCGCTATATTAATTGATCTCGCGCTATATTCACGCATTGTACGACAGCGCGACACCGTTCAATTGACGACTGAAAGCTTCGAGCTCAAACACTTTCGGGCCGATAGCTTCACTAATTGATATCGATACTAACTGCAAAGCTGCAAAATGCTCCCCACCCCATCGACAGAGCACGTCTCCTTCGACACCATCTACGAACCCTCCGAAGACTCATACCTCTTCCTCGACACGCTCTCCTCCGTCTCCGAATCAGAATGGCTCTCCGCGCGCTTCAATAGCACCAGCACCAGCACCAACACCACCGCCCCGCTAGTCGTCGAAGTTGGCACCGGCTCCGGCGTCGTCCTCGCCTTCGTTGCCGCCAACTCCCATGAGATCTTCGGCCGCCGCGACATCCTCACCCTCGGCACAGACGTGAACCGTTACGCCTGCCTCTCCACCCGCACTACGGTAAAAACAGCCATTCAAGAGCGACAAGCAGCCGCAGCCCTGAAATCCACACATATCGCCTCGGTGCTAGGTGATCTCTGCAGCCCCCTGCGCCCGGGCTCCGTTGACGTCCTCCTCTTCAACCCGCCGTATGTGCCGACGGAGGAACTGCCGCGTCTGCCCCTGGTGACGGAGCAGGAGGCTGCGGCCGCAGCGGAGCCGCTGTCAAGATCGGCCAAGTTCGAGCGGGACTCGTATTATCTGTCATTGACGTATGCGGGGGCATGGATGGGATGGAGACTACGAATCGGTTGCTAGAGGCGGTTCCGGGTGTGTTGCATCCCGAGCGTGGGGTAGCGTATGTGCTGCTCTGTGCGCAGAACCGGCCGGAGGAGGTCAAGGAGAGGATACGCGGGTGGGGAGGGGGTGGAAGGCCGAGTCGGTTGGGAATAGTGGGACGCAGGCTGGGTGGGAGAAGTTGGTCATTGTGAGGATATGGAGGGATGATTCTCAATAGTGCTATATACCAAATTACGAACGTGCATACTGGGCTGGCTGTCCTTGATTTTGATTCAATGTCGATTGAATTGATGTAGGTACAGGTGTGAGGCACTGCTCGTACCTTCCCATGACATGCCGTAGCTATCTGGTCACCACACATCTTATTCGTCTGACCTGTGTCCGCTGACATCCTCGACCAGATTGGCCTCGTTGCCAAGTGCCCAGATGAGACTCTCGCCGGTCTTCACAGACATCCTATGTAACACCATTCACAAGAGCATAGCAGGAAGTCATCCTTGTCTATCTGCCCTCGGATCCACGGTCACCATTCTGCTTGCTGGGCCGTCTTCCCCACTCAACCAAGAAGCTCAACGGAAAAGTCGTAGATTATTGCTTTTCTTCGCCCATCATCAACAAGAGCATAAAGAAGAGAATATCACCCAAACATATCACGAACAAGAAAAGAAAACAAGTAAACTCCCGAAGCCATAGACGGAAAAGAACCTAGCCACAGTTGCCCGTCTAGAAACCGCGTCCCCGACCCGGCCCGTCCCCGGCCGCCTCTACCTCCCCGCGGACCACCACCGCCACGACCGCGGCCCCGATCCGTCTCCTTGCGCGCCTTGTTCTTGGGTTTCGGCTGGTCGTCCACGAGAAGGGTATCCAGGGGCAAGCTGTCGGGGAGAATGTAGTACCGGATCGTGGAGCCGCGGATGTTGATCGTGTCTAGGGAGATGGGATCGCGGCCCTTGGGTGTCATCTTGACGGTGCGCAGAGAGGTGTTCATCTGAGGAGAGACGGAGGTGATGGTGCCGTGGAGGATTGTGCCTGTTAATGCAGAGGTATGCGTCAGTCGCGCCAAATGTCAAGTCACCGGGCTGGGAGTGAACACCGGCTGGAGCCCAATCCGCCAGGTCACAAGGAGGACCGACCATTCTTCAGTTCAATTGTCACCGTTTCATTGGCGCATTTCATCAGAAACCTGGAAAGCCAACTGTCAGTTCCTCTTCTGGTAGCCAGTGTTGTCGTCGACACTCCGATTCGACTGCGATACTCACCGAACGAGCTTCATGTTGACGGATATTAATGTGCGAACACAATGATTCCTTTTGACTGAAATGTGTGAAGTAAGAAATGTAGCTGAAAAAGACGAGGTAAATGAAGAGTTGACCAGGAAGAGTGGCAGTTGTCTCCGCCAAGTCTCTTGCGAATTGATGTCCCAAAAGTGATCGCGGCTCAAAGCTGATCCTGCGAGGAATGGCGAAGCTCTAGAGCACGTGACCTCCATCCACAAACTATCCGTTTAGTGACCATGATCTTGTAGTTTACAGGCTTTACATGCATTTGTAGAATTGCTGGCATGTCACCCACAGAAAAGTGTGCTTTCATCATATTGATTTCGTCTCATCGCTAAATGGTATCACGTACAAGAAAAAAGGCCAGCCAGTCCAACGCCAACGTCAACATTCTCCGAAACAGCCCTACAGAACACCGTGTCGCGCTTTGAATATGGCTATTTTATCATCGTAGAACAAGATCTCTCTGAGCTTGAACGTTGTCCGGGATCGAGTACAGTCAGAGCTGGATTCGTCATCAGATGAAATCCCGTAGTCGGACAGCTCGGAGCCCGACTCCATGACGCCGTCCATCCCATCTTCATCCTCGCTCTCATTCATGTCCGACGCTGGCCACGGTCCGCCCCCTGGAACAAACCCTTCACTGTGGCTATCGTCTGTATCATCTAGGTCGTCTTCCTTGTCGCCGCGCTTACTCTCGACGATCTCATAGCACTTGGATTGAATTCCAATGTAGCCGATCCCAACCTCTGGTCGGATAGTCACGATATCCAAGATCTGCAACGCCAATTCTTTGGGGCTCCGGTGGACAGGATTGGCAATGTGCGGGATGTGAAGAGCACGCAGATGAGGAATGTACAGAAGTCGTTGAAGGAAATAATGCTAAAAGACTATCAGCGAACTGCTTTGAGCACCACGTGGATTGAAACTTACCCAGTCCTTGGAATTGATCGTCATGGACAGCTCACGCAGCTTTGGCATGCGTCCGCTGGTAATGAAGGAGATCATTTTACGTGTCAACATCCACTTGCGCCAACGACTGGTGCCCATCTCAGTTCCGTTGGGCGATCGCTCGGTGCTATCGAGCAAGATCTTTTTCAGACTTAGGCGGTGGGCTCGTATGATATTCCTGTAGATTGCCTCGATATGGACAATAGAGTCGTACAGGGGGGCCTCGTGCAGAAAGACGGTTTCCAGTGTGTTCCGGGCGATGGCGTCCTTGATGAAAAGCAGCAGGTAAGGGGAGACAGAGTCCGTATGAATGTGCTTTATCTTTAGAGGATACTCAGTCTGAGAAGCCTGGTCATCCTGATTCTTCGTATAATTTGGAGCATTTCGAAAAGCCGAAGGGGCGTATTGTCGGCGGAGCGCCCTCCAAAGCTTTTCATGCCCGTCACAGCGGAGAATAGTCAATGTGGTGACTCGTGTCCAGTCAATGACTTGTAGAAGCACAGGAATGCATAGGAAAACGCGCTCCAATTCAAGAATCTCTAGCCTCAGAATTCGGTCAGATCCCGTTCCTGGACGAGATGTGCTGTAGCAAGATGCGGAGGGCATCTTGTCCGACGTCTCAGAGACAGCCTGTACTGCAGTTGATGCAGCGACTTTATTCCCCGCCAGACGATTCGGTGATTGGGACTCTGAACTAGTACTATCACCATCAGAGATTGTTTCAGTCAACTCGTTGTGCGACATGACTTGCTCCCCCGTAGAAACGGGTGCCTCCTGCTCATTCCCTTTCTTAATCGGGGAAGGCTGTACAGGAAACTGCCCGTGACCGAGATAATCTTGCCACTTTCCTGAGAGAATTTCCAGCACACCACCGGGCTTAGGCCATTCATGCGGGCCCTCGTCGGATGCATCCCCCTGCGCAGAAACGGTGCTTCGAGGTTTCAACCAATCGCACTGGTATACTCTCGAGGATATACCAATTCGCAGCTCAGTCAGACGATCTCGACAGCGATCAATGAGCACGGCCATTTCTTCAAGATAAGATGGCTCATCGATGTCGAGCACACTGAGGCTTTTCAGGGGCGGCAGTATTGATAGAGAAGGATATTCAACATGTGAATATCGGACCAGAGGTGACATTGAGGCGGATGGAAGTAAACCTGACGCGGGGCGCATTGCATTCTCAGTGTTATCATGCCAGCGAACCCAGACGCGTTCCAGGCGGCAGTCACGCCCAGGGCGGTTAGCCAACGACGAAAGGGCCATCCATACATCTCTCAGGACACCCGTCGGCATATCCCAGATAAACGTTTCCAAGTTCACCATGCGAGCCACGGCGAGGGCAACCAGTGTCCCGAGCATCTTGCCTGTCTCTTTGGTCACAGCGTACTCCTGGACCCATGCCAACGGGCCATTTCCCACCGAGAACTTCCGAGTGTATTGAGCATAATAATTCCCCCGCCGCATATGCCGCATTGTACTTTGTTGTGTTGGTGCCTGCACAGATTTCCTCATGGTAATCGTTTCGGGTCTACTAGGCATCTGTCCATGCCGACCGTCGCAACCGCAATGCTGACAAGGCGAGTGGCCTGCGGACGGAGTCTCGTGGAACATGTCTTCTCCCATCACCAGCGTTGCGAGGCCGTATGAGAGAGCGTCAACTCCAGCAGGATGATCCGAAGACGATAGAGTGTCGGGCCATACGATATCGAATCGAGAGTACATTTGGGGAATCGCCAAAGCATGGAGGGCAGAACACGTCAGAGCGAGAGATGTTAGATCGTTCGTGTGAGTCACCTGTAGAGTGTAGGAGGATCTTGATCAATACGGGACTAAGAGACAATGATCAACCGGGTCGAAGGCTGCAGTGATCAGGACCCAACTGATCAAAAGCTAGCTTACCTCTTTTATGATGTCCTGGAGAACATCCATGGGCAAATCCAGTAAATGAAGCGGCTTCTTCGTGGTTGCCACCGAAACCTCCCCAGTAGAACGCTTCGCCGTCCTAACAGCATTTCCATCATGATTGACGTTCTCCGATGCCGCTTGTCCCAAGGTAACAAGCTGTGCAAGATTGTCAGCTAGCGACATGATGGCTTCGGAAGTCTCATCCTTTCCCTGGGAGTGGTATCCCGGTTGTACTGCGGCCAGGGATTCGGGTGTGAGGTCTGCTTCGTCTGACGGTCGTCCTATATCTTTATCCATTTTTATCTAGTGAGCCCTGCCCAGGCTCGTGGTATTAAACCGCGACCGTTCGCTTGCGCTAATGTAGATGGAGAATCCACCAGGCAGAGACCAGAAGTCCTGGAGTAACAAATAAGGCTATTGCGGGAACACGCAGGGTAAAGGAACCGTAGGACAACACGGGATTCGACCAGCCGCAGGGACTGGTGGCAGGTTGGTAGGGTAGTAGTGCGTTCGTTGTCAAGTTTCACTTGTTGGATAGGGGAGGAGACAGGAAAAGTCTCCCCACAAACAGAGAAGTGATGCGGTCCACATAAGGTTGCAAAGGAAGCTGTTCGAGTGGAGGAATAGCCAGAGAGCTAGGTTGTTTGGATGACGTGGAGTGCGAACAGGTGTACCAGAGTTGCTAAGCGCTAAGGCTGCCCCAGCCAGTCGTGACTTAGTGGGCCTTGGGCTTTACCCCGGGCCTGCACGTGACGGTGCTACGCTCCACAGCGAAGAATAGTCACCCCACTAATCCTATAACTATCCTAATGGACACTTACTAACGAAAGAAGGCTTTCGAGATCCGTGCTTCCATCAGATGCCAGGCATCTAATGTCATCCCATTTACGCAGAAGTTCATCGATCTTCTCCCCCTGCCCCGACGCCTGAAGAATCTCGGCGATCGCCGCATGCATCTTAAGGAGGTCTTTACTGGGCAATTCTGAGGCGCTGGCGCTGTTCTTGGTGAAGGTTATGGGCTTCGCATAGTATTGGCCAAAGAATGTCTGATGCCCTGGGTAAACCTTGATCCTATACGTATTCTCTTTGTCCTGGTCAAGTAAGCATATAATAATTTTATGATTTGGAGAAACACATACGGTTGGTGTGAAGGCAATCTGGAAACTGCCAAAATCTTGATGGACTGGCACGGCCATTGTCATCGCATTTGCCGGGGTATTGACCGTAGTTGGCATGATGATGTCCTTGATGCTGGGAAATAAAAGGTACAATGTTTCCCAGCATTGTGCGATTTCTTTCTCCTAAAGCACTTACTTAGAAAGTCCTTAACTGTGCTGGGGATAGAAACTAACCTTCCATTCGTTTTCCCAGTGTCCCATAGAAAATGGGATTATGTGCGCGAGCTGAGTACGGAGTGTCATCGCGCCTTGAATGTTAAAAGTCGAGACAGCTACAGGATCCCAAATCTTAGTGACAACACATTTGTAGTTGTCACGCTGAAGGCAGGCTGTCTTGAGCCGTCCCTGATCATTTCTAGAGCTTGATTGCGTCATTTCAGACGCCACAATTTCTCTTGTAATGTCTGTTGCCGAAAAGGGCAACGGGGTGACTTGTGGCGTCTTCCCCCCTTCTGCCTTCACTGTTAGACAGAAGAAAATATTAGCCACACTATACTAGACACGAGAACACTGCATAGTATAATCTGGAATAAAGATACATACTGGGGATGAGGACGGCAGTTCTGAGATGATAAGCCAGATCGAAAATGTTGTGATCGTCACTGATGTTGATGAACTTCATGATGACTTTTCTGCTCTCCAATGGCAGATTGTGAATAAAGCTCTCGAGTATTCTGACTGTCTCATCTTTGCTATCTTGAGGCTTATACTGTGCGAGCTTCTCAAATGCTGTTTTTTCATCAGAAACAGCGTCTCCCGCTTCTGGAGACTCTGAGAGCTGCCTTAAAGTGGACACAACCCTTGAAGTGGAATCAGCAGGATCTTCAGGGTTCGAAATGGCTGGAGAGAGAGAACTGTCAGAATCGACAGTGTTAACGTTCGACATTGTCAAAGCTCAAAATTGTATGATCGACAGAACTAAGATGATATGAAGAAAAACAGTATTGTCGTTACAGGGAGAGGATTTCCACAGCAGTTGTAGCGACTGTTCAAGTAGAGAAGGGAGTAAGAGAATTGAACTGAGAGGAGAGTTCAAGTAGAGGAGGGAGGAGAATTGCAGAAACACAACTGAGAGGAGAATGAAACACAACTGAGGAAAATGGCATCACAAATCATTCACAGTTCGAAGTACAGTGTCCAGGCGAGGAGCTAATCGTAACCGAGTGGCCTCAGGCAGTCAGGCTAGCGTAATACCCAAGACCAGCACGTGCCACTACTGACTTAACGCAGACGTCCATACCTGAAGACCCTATTGCGGTAAAGCAACAAGCTGAGAATTTAACTCTATGAAGGATAACTGACAAATTAAAGCAAACAAATACAACTCAAAAACAAAAAGAACAATTGGAATCTAGTCTTCCCGAGTATCATTTACTCTCCTATAGTTCCGAAGATACGACATTACAGACTCTGCCAACAAAGCCCCCAAGCCCTAAAGGTGGCACGGAGCCTTGCGCAGGCGACAACACTGTAGAAGTGCCAGGTACGACAAGCACACGAGAGCCGGCTTCCACCCATTCAACCGACGTAACAAACGAAAATGAGATTTTGACATCCCCCTGACTTGTATTCTTGGCCGAATTGACCACATTATTCACTTCTGATGCATGACCCTTCCCGCGATCAACAGCGTCGCTGTCAAAACTGAAGAAGTCTGGTTCTGTAGGCGATGGCGGAGACGATATAATCTCATCCTCCGCAAGAGTAACACAAGTGACCTTCACAGTAGCGCGAATATTGGAAACATAGGCAATAGCGTTGCCACCTAGCAGTAGAGGCGGAGACATGGACGACGTGAACTCGCTGGCGGGGAAGCTAGCAACAAATCCAGTGTGGAAAAGGGAGGGTTTTGCGGGCGAGGCGCTGGGCCCAAAGCCGGCTAGGATGGCCCCTTTTCGTACTTTTCCCAAACGCGGAGTGTGCTCGTTTTGGGTTGGAAGGAGCTCAATACCGATCGTGCCGACTTGATCTTGGATGAGAGTTCGCACCGGTAACCGCAGGTTCCGAACACTGACGACTCGCACACGCCGCCAGATTGCTTGAGCGGGGAAAGTAGCTTTTCCGGACAAGAATCCCTGTGAAAAAGACGCAGAAAACTCCTCAGACGGCGGTCTGCTCCGCCCCGATTGACTTCTTGGGCCTGACAAGAGATTCTCGGGCTCGGCCTGTGGATTGACCAGTAGCGGTCCAACCAAGAGTTCGTCTCCAACCGAGATAGACCCATAACGAACCAATCCGCATAGAACCACGCCCTGATTCTCCCTTGCGTTCTGCTCCATCGACGTAGAGTATACTTTGGATAGAGGAATGGTAAACACTTCGTCGATGTCGAACAATTTTGCGGGAACATGCGTATCTGACGGTGTCTCGCCTAGAACGATGCTCCTTAAGGACGGCTTTTGGGGGATAGGAAGGTATCGGAGAAAAGCATGCAACTTCCCTATGCCTGTACCGCTGACAGCGCTCGTGAGAACGATCGGAACAGTCGACGACCAGTCATTATTCGCTGCATCAATGACTTTCTTGACTTCATCTGCATCAGTCCGGCAGGTGTGTTGGAGGTCCAGGTCCTGTTCACCGTTAGCGGATTGCACCGGCAACATAGCAGGCTTTTTGCCCGCCAGCTTCAGCGCTGACAAGACTTTTGTGAGATTGCCCCGCAAGCCGGCCCGAGATGCAAGATCCATCTTGGTGATCACGACCACGGTGGGTATCCCCAACTTGATACAGAGATCCAAGTGTGACAGAGCCAGATTGATTTCTGCCATCTGTTCTGCAGCGCCACCGACAGGTTCCGGGACCATTTCTTCGTCACAATTGGCCGGGATACAGAGCAACACGTAGTGAGGTGCCCAGCTGATCAATCCTCTCAAGGTAGACTTGAGGTAGCGTACAGAGCCAGGGAGGTCTGACACAAATGCCAGACGACTATCCTTCGCCGTGGCATGGATGTCGTCCCAAGCTGCAACATTTCCAGACGCATAGTTGATCACCTCAACGGGACCATTAGTTGACTCTCCTGTCACATAGCCTATAAGTTCCTGGGCAACAGAGCTAGTGATTCCCGACGAAATCTCGTGGCGATGTTTGAGAAGGCTCAGCCGACTTGCCCCTCGCCCATTGTCGAGTATAGATGAAGTCAGAGTACCCAACAGAGACGACTTGCCGGCTGCACTCGGGCCAGTAATTGAGATCCGAATCTGTTCGGTCGTGGAATGGTTGTTCTTGCGGATAGACTTTGTTTGGGTGCCGCGCGAGGGAGTCTGCCCATCAGAATCGTCACGATGCGATATTAAGCCGTAGTACTCCAAATCCGGACTGACCAGGGCCTCAGCGACCCAGAGGCTTTCTGTGTGGAATCTGCCAGTATCGGCTGCTTCAGCACTTGTGTCTTCCGGCCAGTCAGCCCATTCACATTTGCCGACGATGACTCTGCGAAGAATTTCGACCTTGCAACCCAAACTGGCCGCCATGATCTGCAGATTGGTCAAGCTCTCGTCTAGCTCATCTTGCGTTAGACCAACAAAGGTCCCATCATCGGCCACGCCAATCTCGTACAAAGCCCCCTGACTCTCCTCCAAGCCAGGAATTAAACGAGCTGGTTTCTGCGGGGTGCCAAGCTGAGGGGTTGCTTCCGGTAGAACGGGCAACACAAGGTTGGCAGTTGTGGACGAATGAAACGGTGACGACTGTTGCAGGCGCCACAACAATTGAGTTGTTAGCTGCTGCAGGCGTTGCTGACGGCTCTGCGTTGAGCGCACCTGAGCCGATCTCAAGTTCGACTCGTAGCTGGACGGGGTCGGTCCTGAGGTGGACAAGCTTGCACGAGAATGGTACGAACCGCCAACCACATGACCAGTAGTCATAGAATTGTAGAGGCGACGAGGCCGCAGAAGTAGATGCAGCTTGTACTCAGTGGGTCCCTCTTGTGGTTCCGGCTCCAGTTTCGTGATCCCATAGTCAGAAAGAAAGTCTGGATCCGCACGGTCCAATTCCGTGCCAGAACGCGTCCGGATCGTCTGGCCACGATTCCCACTCGCCGTATGCTGGGGAGTAGACGACCCCGACGTCGACCAAGGCGACGAAACCCTCGGAGGGTCAGGGTCATAGGTGAAAATAGATGCCATGATTTACACACTTTATTTGACCCTCGTTGAGTGAGCGCAACAGAGAAAGAGATAACTCTCTCCGAAAGATTTGGCCTTGAACAACAAAAAAAGAAAAGGAGCCTTATATTCGTATCAGCAGTCGAAGTTGCAATATGCGCACATTCAAAATGGTAACTATATGTCGATGAGCGAAGTGTTTTTCACATATGCCGAGTTTCTGTATTGATAAAGTCATCTTGCGAATTCAAGAATAATGCGATCGAGACAATAAAACCGTAGGCTCAAAACAGCCACGAGGATGAAGACACAGGAGTTCTTCTGGTGAGCAGCTGGGAAGAATCCAAATCAATCGTAATTTGAGAATTGAGCTACAAAGCGGACGACATCGTGATGGCACAGAATGAGTCATGAGTGCTTGACATGCTGATAGTCCGCCTAGTCATGATTCCATCCAATATGTACACTTATGACACGGAGAGATCAGGTGATTGGTGAGGTAAGCACCGCTGCACCACGTGCATCGAGCTTGCATTCCTGGGCTAAGAACATACAGTATAGAGTATAGACTACTACTGACTAGTCTGTCCTCTTGGAGTTTCTGGAAATGATCTATCCAGGATGAAGTTCTTTTGAAATATGACCTGTCAATTATCGCTGGTTGTTTTCAACAGCTATTCTAAACCAGTCTGTGGACCGAGTACTCTTCTTCAATGTGGTGATAGAGGCTCATCGCTAAACCAAATTCCCAAATTCCCAAATGAAATTTCCCTAAATTCAAGTTGATGAATGATGCTCATGAACTTTCACACTCCCTGCGCCTGAGACTCCGAGTTATCTGGCGTGATGTAAAGAAAAAGGAGAACTTTGAATGCCTCAGTCATCTGATCTTCGATGCGCTAGGACTTGATTTTGAGGTCACGATGCGGTCGGCTGTGGGGATTGCTTGGTATTATAAATATAAAGAGGTACTAAACGCTGGGCCATGACATATCGATCAATATCAATCTGTTGATGACTCCCTTCCACTTTTGCACTTTCCCTGCGCTACATGGATGTTGCGGGCTGTTGTGCGAGTAAAAACAGCACCGCAGCTCGGGCATTCTGCCTTTGCAACCACCCCCGATTTCTCTCGTTGATGACGGAGTAGGTTGCTGAATGTTGAGAACTCACGACCATTGCATCCATGGTCCCAACATTGTGGCTTTGGCCGAGAGCTGATTACTCGTACTTGGCGGTCCACGTCTGAGGATGCAGGGACGGATTCGGGAGATGAATATAACGACTCTGCGGGCCCCACAATGTGCGCTGGAGGACTGACGGACAATGGGTTCGGATGTGGCCTGCAATAGACAGTTCAGTCAGCTGACGGCCAGTTGAAAGCTTATATTTGTTGAAGGTTACGTACGGAAGTAAGGGACTTTGGCTCAGCATGTAATTTGATTGCTGGGGCATGTATGATGGACTAACAAGATCGGTAAACCATTCAACCACTTGCAATTCCTCAGAGCAACTTACGATGAAGCATATCCATGATCTGGAAGCGCTGGAGGGCTCCCCGAAAGGGAAGGGAAGGTGTGTGGTAGAGCAGAACTATGAGCATGGTTAGCCTTTCATGCCTAAACTAGAACACGGATAGATAGGGTCAGCTTGCCTTCTAGGCCAGTGTCGATCATGTGGAAGATTCGGTTGTGAGAGATATTGCGAAGAGGATGCTGGGTGATAGTAGCTTTGCGAGCTCTGTTGGGGGTTGTAGCCGACTGCAAAACCAGCCGGCGGAAGCGTCGGCGGAGGCGAGTATAGCTGCTGATCAGCTCCTATTGAAGGCGACTGCAAAGGGTGTGATGACCGGTTGTGCCAGCCATAGCCTGTCATGGATTAGACTGGAAAATTACGAAACGGATGGCCTGGGACGGGGCGTACTCTGCGTGTTTTGTGCCATACTTGGATCGAGCCTGAACTGCGCCAGGCGAGAAACAGTAGGCCGAGGCTCTTCCCAAGAAGATTCTTAGCAATAGGCTGATAGTAAAACAGGCTTTGTACTGTTCTACTTGCTTGGAAGGTCAAGCTGACTTCCCAGCAATCAGAGACAAATTGACAGCAATTTTAGCTGAATACACAGCAAGTAGTGCAAGATGGTGTCGTCGGTGTATGACACAGTGCGACAGAGGCAACCCGAAACGTGATGGGTGATCAATCGCTTAATCGTGGCTTGGTGTGAGAGAGGCTTGCACGTTCGTATTGCCGAGGAGCCGCTGTATGACTGTCGTGTTGATAAGCGCTGTTGGTGAGGGGACTGTATACGATATCCTTCTTTTCAGATACCAGAGAAACAGTGCAGCGAGATGTAGTCGAGCCAGAGGGTTTTGAAAAGAAGAGAAGCAAGTCGGCGAGAAAACTAGCACGGAGAAACTGTGGAAATATATAGAGCATGGACCAAGTAAGAGGGACGAAGGTAAAGAAACCGAAGTCGGAGTGTACGGTGAGTCTCAAGTCAGCAAGAGTTGCAGGTACATATGAACACAGAAAGAATAAGCTGGCGAAGTGGCTCCGGTAATGTTCCTAAGCTTATGCTGCTCAAGGCATGGAAAATAGGGTGAGGAAGTAGGTATTTAAGAGTCCTGGGGGGTGTGGATTAAATGTATGTTAAACAGATATGGAATTAAGCGCAATGGAACAGGGAGACCTGGACGGGAGATGGAGACTCAGCTTCTGATTAGGTTGAATCCTCAATCTTAGTGCTAGAATCATCACTACTCCGGTATCTGTCTAGTACGTGGTCACTGCCCTTCCAGTGCAAAGTAAGCATCCCAGGTTCACTCCCACGGCTTCCGTCATGCGCTCTTCTACCCGAACAGCTCAACCAACATCATCCGTACTCTTTTGACTGGTTTCTTGCTTCCTGGTCGTCAATAGCATTGCCTGAGCAAGTCAGTCTGCGTAACATGTCGTCTGTTCTCTACTAGATTCTGTATTTTCTTCCTGTTTGACTATACACCTGTTAACGGCGACGTGAACCGCTTCTCAACCAGACTGAACAGTGCTAGGTGCGATGTCGATCCGTTCTTTCTATGCCACGAGCAGATCCCCGTCGCGATGATCTGCTCGAAGCCTGGACCTACGCCGTTGCCCTCAGCCTCTGTTTACTTGAAAGAGTCGGGAAACCCTCCGGAAAAGCCTCCAGAGACCCACAACAACCACTACGACGACATCAGGTGTACATCGGGTGTACAGATAGCTTCTCAACCATTGAAGTGAAACAAGCTCCTGGAAAAAGATGAACCAGGAGTAAGCGCTTTCCTTCCGGATGGAATGAGAATAATTTCAGCCCCAAGAGGCTAACGAGCGCCACGATTTGGATGGTGTTCGAATTCATTTTCATTGCACGATTCCCACAGCTTTCCACTTTTAGACGTCTGCGATTGGTTGCTGATGGTTGGTTTTGGGGCCAGGATGAATATACTGCATCTCGTGTCTGTTTCTTCGATCCAAATAGAGACGGGTTATGGAACCAAGCTGGTAGTAGTACAATTCTACTTGTCAAAAATAAGTCAGCCACGAGGATGGCCTCGCGGGTGGAAATAGATTAATCTTACAGGGTGTTGACGATCCAAACCACATGGCGATAGGACCAGGTTCGTTATTGCCTGACTACGGGGAGAGCCCGTCCAATCCATGCCGTCCGAAGAGCGCCTGGAATGGTATCCATACTGACAGATTCCCAAGCTGATGTAGCACCCAAATCGTTAGACGATGATCATGTGTATGAATGGCTTCTTTTTTTCTGACGGGTAGATTAACATTGCCAATTTCGGTCTGTAATTTCTTTTTTCTTTTTTCTTTTTTCAATCTTTAAATGCTGCCCATATGCAGAGAAACTTTTCTCAGTTCTATTTTGGCCCCCAAAAAGTTAGCTGTAGCCAGCCACTAAGCAATTTTGCCGTGAAGATACGCAATGATTCAAGAAAACGGTTCCAGATGTGTTATTACTCTCCCACCCTGTTCTTGATTATCCTTTTCAGATTCAATTTCTCCGGACAAAATGGCGTTTCAACGGATAGTCAAATAGAGAAAAGTGGCTGCTAGCTGTCTTTCCGTAACCTTCCCCAGTTCCCTGAGCAGCCCATCACTGTGGGAGCCTTAACGTTCCACCGTTTGAGCATCACGATAGTCATCGATACGGCACTCATACTCATAGACCGGACGATACCGGCGGCGATGATGATAACGAAGGTAGGTTGCAAAGGTACTCGTGATTACTGATTAGGTATAAAGTAAGGTGGTAACTAAACTTTCCTATGTGGCTAAGGCCGTTCTTGGTAATTCCGGTGAAGATCTAAAAAGGCTCTTTACTGGGGCATTGCTTGAAGCGAGTGTTTGCCATGATCATTCCATGGAATTATTGAGTCCTTTTTGGCTCGGACAAAGTCAATAATGACATGTCCTATCCACGACGACCAACATCGAAGCATTGGCGGGAAATGTCGATCGAAGCGCCCTGGGCGGAAAACGGTCCTCCCTCCGAGAAAGTAGCGAATCGCTTCCGGAAGCAGTCAAGGGTCAGTCCAGTTCAGATCCCGAGTCCAATCAACACTCTCTAGACTATTACCCCTTTACGGAATAATACGTACTGAGTAGATACTATCTGTTTTTCTGCTCGGGCAGTACGGCGGAATCCGCGGAGAGAGTATCTCCCCACCCACCAAGTCGTCAGAAGTCTCAGGTATACAATACACTTCTCGATTACCAAGCACATAAGGTAAACATTCAAATATTACCAAGCAGTGGAAGTCTCGAATCGTGGAAAGTTTGGTGTCGGAACATGGCTAGCTATCTGCTTTCGTCCGAAGTTAATCCGACTACTCCGTAGCAATCATGCGACCCTTAACGTCGGGATATATGAATTCCCAAAGCGGAAATCATCAAAAAGCTTGCTAACGATTCTCATTTAAATGCGGTCTGCAGAAAGTTTAAGGAGGAGAAAAACGCTCAAACATCTGCCATTCTTCTCCGGGCCTCCGTCACCCCCCTCAACGGACCTGGTTCGTCCGCATCTTCAATGGAGATAGAAACGGGGCTTTCGGCGGACCCCATCCGAAAATGCAACCTGATTGGCTCGTGCACTATGGAATAGAATTCCAGTCTTCATGTTTCGTGGATACCTGTGGACTACTGCTGGTCAAAGGGACCCGCTGGTTGCTCCAGAATCGCTTCCCAGACTTTTTACAAGACTAGCGGAAGTTTGCACAGCCATGGCTTGGGAATTACCAATCAGCAGCTTGGCCTTTCAAGACACGGCTGGCAGGGAACTCTGTTCAAGACTCCGTCCCGTCACTACTGAGGATTCAGGATCAGGCGATCGATGGACCTCCACATGCCGTTGCACTTTTATCGATCCTGAGTGCCTGTCTGGACTCTGGTTTTGGCTTTCTTCGAATGCGTTTCCAGAGATGAACCATTATTGGGCCGATTGGGGAGTAGTCGTACTCTCTCATGTCGAAGGCGCAGCAATGGTTCAGTCACCACCAGATTCAGATAAACCGGATGATAAATATCATTATTTTGATTTCATCATCATTGACCAGCGACTGTGGTCATAAGGTATCACACTGCCTCATTTGGCCAAGGACTGATCAGCAGGAGGCGATCATCACCAGTCTGCCCAATGTCGAAAGTTTAATTAAACTGGGGGGTGTGGATGGTCAATCCAGATTAACCTGTCTTCACGGCCGAATTCTGGTCGCCTTGCCCACCGTATCTACACTGCCACATGGTCTGATAGTGCATCCAGAAAGCGTTTCACCAGCTCTGCTGAATATGTATCTACCCGCGTGGTACACTGGCTCAGACTAGCCCACGTTGCGAAGCAACCGTAGTCTTGGAATACACGGATTAACGTCCGTAGTCGAATTGGCAATCGCCAGGCGACGAATCGTCGTCTAGCAGTCAAACTAACATCGCCAAAGCTACAGGTGAATCCATGGTTGGGCCGGGAAAGGTCCAAATGGAATCGTGCCTGAATAACGGCCCCCTTTTTAGCCGGTGGATCCCGACGACAACAGTGGAGGATCCAGGAGCCCAGACTCATAGCATATGCTCATTAAGCAAACCGGACTCTAAAACACGTTTTATTCAGATGACCGACCTCACTGGCTATACTCGTCCGGAAATGAATGGTGCCGTCCCCGTGCATACAGGCCCAACCATTCTTAGCCGAGATCTCGTCATCGAACTAAACTAGTGGCAAAAACTCTCTATATCAAGGACCGCCTCACTTGGTAATTGGTATTCCCTGTCTAATGTCGATCCATAGGTTCGCTTACTATACATTCAGAACTCTCCTGATCCTGGTCCCAACCATGCCATAGCCTGTCTGCGTCTGGAACTTGACCATACTAAACCACAGCCTGGAAAAACAAACGTTAAAGTCAAAGTCGACGAGGCTGTGAATCCCTCAAGGGTCAAACTGATAGGCCGGAAGGAATGGGACAAAGCCCTAAGGACATCTTCCTCGTCGACACCAAGGTCCACTGGGATAGCACCCTGGGGGTGAAACTCTTCAGCTGCGGACCGAAGCCTGTAGAGGACAGAAAACGACTGAGGAGACTAGACCCCAGGGGAGGGATGACTAAATGCAGGTGTCTAGGCTGCAGGGATTCCAGGACAGACGAATCTGTTTTACTAATATCTGCGGAGTCGAGGTAAGGAACGGTCTGCACGACAGATGCATCCCTGAAATCATGAGACAGAATTCCTGAAGAAATACGGAGTCCGGATCTCCCCCCTTCCATGCAGCCAGCCCTTCGTCATCATTCAACGTTCTGGATCTGCAGAAGTCTAGCATTCTACGCAAGCAGCCAGCCAGCAAACGGGGTGGTGATCCTGAGGGTCTGATTTGGCAGGATACTTATGGTTTCTGCAACTTGGCCATCCGTCCATACACATTGTGTACGGAGTTTAAACAAACAAATCCTTATCACCCGTGCGTCCTTTCAGGTCCACCTTCCTCCTTCAAGAAGCCATAAGTTTCGGTAAAACTCAACTCGCTGGCTTGCGCAGCCCGGCCAACCATTGTTCCATTACCCCGGCCTATCAGATAGCACAGCGGCCATTTCAGCTGCTTCTCAGTTCTCACCGCCTGAGATAGGGGGTCGATTGAATGTCCTTGTTCCATTCGTTCAACACGGAGTAGTACCACAATGGCGATGAATTTACGGGGCGAACCTTGACTACGCCGTAGATCCAGCGTGTTCGTCATGCTAAGGATGCATCGAGGATCACTACTCTTTTGTAGGAAGCTTTACATATCCACAGCCACGTTCTTCCTGATTCCTCCCTTCAACCCAACCCTTCCTGCCGCAGTTGCTTGGGAGGTTGGGAAGTGTTAGCGGTTCTAATCGAGGTCTCCGGCTAACCATCTTGTGGATGGGTACGGCACTGCCGTGATTGAGAGGAGCAGAGTATAATTCCTTTTCTGCAGGCAGTTACGACTGCATGAATATGGCGGGGGATAGACATCGGAAATGCCGATCAGCTCCAAACATCTACCTTTATAATCGACTATCAGGGACCAATGATCATACAGAATCTACTCTAGTAGAGACACGTCTGCTATATCCATAGTCTTCGCATTATTGCACTGAGAATCTGAGACCTCTGATCTGCCTAGCACCAGTCTGGAAAGCAAGATTGGCCGGATTTTCACCGATCTTTCCACATACATGCGTCTAGTGCATGCATGCGCGTTGCGTACTACAGGGGCAGTGATAACCCGCCCAGACTGGGCAGGTTAGAACTACACAGAAACAAAAGAGGCGGGACGATCAGCTCAGGACGAGCTTCCGAGATGATTTGCACAGCTGAAAGCCTGAAACTAATTACTCGGTACAGGCCATTCTGGAGCGAGAGAATTTACTACTCGATACTCCGCACGGAGTACTGGAGTACCGAAACTTCTCAGCCCAGCACGGCAGCAGTTGTCGCCCAACTGCCGGTGTCCAAAATTCTCCGCGCATCAAAGTTTACTCTCTAGCTCGCAGAGGCATCTGCTGATCCTGTCCTATATCGAAGAGCTATATCCAAGACGGCGCTCTTCTCTGTCTAACCATATGTCCTTGTGTATCAGACTTGCATGACTGCCTGCGTGCACCGTGATAGTCTGCCCTGCCTCTAGTTTCACAATATGAGGCATTAATGCTATTAAGTGCTTGGCTGTTCGAGCTTCGGCCGGTGTCGTCTGCCGGTCCAGGATGAACACTACAGAGAGATCCTTGGCTGTTTGGCAATCATTCGAGGAATGAGTGTCGTCCTGCCTCGTCTGCGCGTCCAAGATCAACACTCGTGGAGCAATTACTAGGTTCGAATGTATCCTGGGCGCGGCTTTCCCATTGTAACGAGGCCTGTAGACAAAGAAGGGCACACTCTTCTTACCCAGTCTCTTCACTCTGCCAGGCTGCGCTTCATAGTTTCAGCCACGAGTCTCCGTCATTGGACTTCAGATACATATTGACATTGCTCATTAAGGTATACCAGATACCGCTTTCTTTATAAACAGATCAATCAAAGACAACATTATGTACCGTCATTACTTTCGTAAATTTCCCTGGTCCCGGCGATGATAATAAGCATCCCGCATCGAAGTCGTGACCTCTTGCTGCTGAAACGGCTTGTATTCTCGTCAGTTATATGAATTGTCAGGATTTTAGGATTGTTATACATGTGAAACAAATTGCCCACTCGCTGGCGGAGGCCGCGCCTGTGGCCGAGTATAGTAGAAGCCTCGTTGCTGAGCCACTTGGCCTAGTTTATTCTCAGTGGCCGTAGCCACTTGCATGCCCATCGGCGCGCCTTGAGGTGTTGTCGAAGGAATATTTAAACCATCACGTCGATGATGATGAAACTCGGGCTGGTTCTTGTAGCAGTGGTACTCGTTCTGCGTCGCTACAGGCGCATTTCGCTCCGCTGCCGGAGGCGTATCACGGCTGTGATAGAAATTGGGATTGGTTCGGTAGTGATGGTACTCATCCTGCCGAGTTGAATTCGCCGACTCCTGCGTGGCCATCGGTCGGGAATAATAGTATTCGCTTTGCTTGGAGGTCTGGAGACTCTGCGCGGCCATCGGTCGGGAATAATAGTATTCGCTTTGCTTGGAGGTCTGGAGACTCTGCATCTGCACTGGCATGAAATACGGATCACGAGGAGTGTATTGAGGCGGAGGATGTGAGTAATTAGAAGATGAGGGGCCGTTCACTGCTGAGAGGAAGTCTTCAGCATAGCGATTGTAGCCTGGGGGTTTGACGGAAGAATCCATAGCGTTTGATTGCAATGTGTACCCCTCTTTGAAGCAGAAAATGAAATCTTGTCGTGTTCGCTTTCTAAATGGGAATTGGGCGATATTTATACCCGCCAACACGAAGACTCAGCCTCGCTCATGCTCAGCCTCGTTGGTTTTTAGCTCGTACCCCACCATATATCCTCAACATGAACCTGCAACTTCATAAATGTTCATGGATCTATGGACCCGTTATCGCTCACAGCAAATCTCGCTGCCGTCATCGGCCTCATCGACACAATATGTCGCATCGGCAAGGAAACATACCAGCTCATTGCGGCCGTGAAGAATGTCCCCGCAGAAATCCAACAGCTGCAGGTGGAGATGCACGAGGTGGAATTCCTCCTCGAAAATGTCCATCGCTACTGTGATGAGTACCAGGACAGATTGTCCTCAATGAGCTTGCACAAAACCTCGCCGGTTATGCATATCTACTCAACTCTCAAATCCCTGGAGAAAGAGTACGATAATATCGCCGCCATTGTGGCCAAGAACCTCGATGTTGAGTCGAGTCGTACAAAGCAGAAGCTGAAGATGATGGGCGGAAGGGTCAAATTGGTGCTTGGAGGGAAGTTGGAGCGTTCATTTCGGAATCTGGATAGGTGCAAGAGGCAGTTGAGCATGAATCTGCAGGTATTGGGAAGGTGGGAGTTGTCTATCGATTTGAAAGCTTCGGTCCAAGGCTGACGGTGACTAGCTTCAATGACCTTGCTGTTCAGAATCGGTTGGATAGTATTCATGATACTGTGTCGACTATCAGAGACAGTAGTCAGATACCTCCTCTGTCGAATATCGACGACAGATCTGCTGCTTGGTCAGAGAAAGGTCAAGACCGGTCTGACTTTTCTCAGTCACTCGAGGCTATCGACTCGCTCATGGCACAGCTTGCAGCCATGAAAATACGCATCGAAAAGCAGGACGACAATACAGAAATTTCCATGGACAGCTGGGACAACTTTGAAGATGTCAAACGCGCTTCTCTGCCTCTGATGTTGCTCCAAGCCAAGGTCCGAGAAGCATTACAGTTGCTGTCGACTCCCCAACCGGGACACGAGAAGCTGGCCAATATAGATGTGCAGTGGGTTCAAACTGAGCTGGAGAGTCTGCTTGCGAGTAGCCACGAGAAAGCTGCAGCCGTCATCAAGACGAATTCGCAGAAGAGGGCCAATGTCACCCGTGATTGTCGACGACGTATCGCAAGCAGTACCCTTAACAAACAAAGAAACCGATTGCAACCGACTCAACAGATCGTATCATCGCAGGTTGTGCTTCAAGATTCTCCCGCGGGCAAAGTCTCCATCCGGGTCCAGTGGACCAAAGATGCTGACTCGAAATCCGCCCGCGCATCCGATATTCTTCTTCTCCTGGCGCCCAATCCACAGGTGGCCGAAGATGGTCTTCTTATTTCGCTTTCGAGGCTTCATGACGGGTTGAGCAAGCCCACAATCACGCGGCATGTCTCAGCCTACGCGATCGTCGAGACGACATCGCCTATATTTACATGTATCGAGGCCAATGACATACATTCACTACGGCTACTTTTGAAGAGCAGGGATTTTTCTCCCACCGTGCGAAACACGGAAAATGAGAGTCTCTTATCTGTAGGTTTTCCAATCTCCAGCGTCGTTCAATCTGACCGATTAGTTCGCTGCACGACTCCTCCGCTTCGAGATGTGTGACCTCCTTCTCAATGAAGGGGCGGACCCCAACCATTGCCGCAGGTAGGTCCATTCCGGAAGTCTGAACCGGAGCAGCATCTGAAAAGACTAGTGATGGAGCAAACGCGATCTACGACGTACGAAATGCCTTCTGGTACCGAGCAACCAATTATACCATCCATAAAGCAACCCTTTACCGTATCCTCCGCCTATTCATCTCCGCCGGCTGCGACATCAACTCCGTCGCTCTCGGCGGCAGCCCCCTGCATTTCACCGTCAGCCATACCCTTCCCGGCTCGGAGCTCATCAACGAGGAAGAGATCGTCGCCTTAATCAATCTCCTAGTCGGCAGTGGATGTGACATCGAGCACGAGAACGCCGACGGCCTCACCCCACTCTTGTACAACGCCTGCATTCCACGATGGCACGGGGTTGTGGTGCTCCGCGAGCTTCTCCAATGGGGAGCGAACCCGCACGCAACGTCCCACCTCGGCGAGGGCGCGCTACACCTGGCTATGGCATTTTCAGGCCCCGGATCTGTGCACGGCCAGTTAGAGGGGGATTCGTTGGAGACAAGGCTCGGCATCCTGCTGCAGACGGGGTGCAATCCGAATCTACAAGACGGATACGGACACACTCCGTCGGATTTTGCGCTGAGTTCTCCACGAATTTGGTTCCAGTGGTGTTTAGCCGTGGAAAGGGTTGGGCTGTCTATGGAAGATGTTTTGAGGACGGAGGGCGTTTCCGAGGACACCCGGCCGGTGCAAGACTCTGCATCCGCGGATTCAGATTGGGAGTCCTGCAGCGGCAGTGACGACGAGGATGGAAGTCAGGAGAGCACGACCTCCGGTACGTGCTCGGACCCGGAGCACATCTTCCTATGCTGGAACGGGTTCTTCCCATGGAGTGTTCCACCGTGCTGTGCCGACTGTGGTCTGCTCTGCGAATTGGAGGACATCAAGCGGAGAAAATGGGACGCCTGGATGGTCTTTCAGGAATTGAGAACAAAATTCATGACGAACAGCCTTAATTAGCCTCTTGCATGATACCCAGCATATCCAAGCGGACCAAGCCTTTCAACTCTACACCAACTACATCCCTCCCCTTCCAAGAACAATCCAATAGAATGCTAGACCATCTCCTCCTCCTCCTCCTCACCGCACTGCACACTCCCAACCTCCCCCACAGCCCCCACAGGAATCTCAGTCTCAGGCGAATAATCCGTTCCATTCCCGGCGCAGTCCATCTCGCTGCAATAGATCCATCAGTACAGCACGCATGCAACAATGCCCTCAGGCAGGCAGGCAGCACTCACTCATAAAACCGACAAGGCGTGTTAATCTGGACTGTTTCCACAGGTCTACGCGTCATTAGCTCAGCACTCGCACTTCTTTTTGTCATGTGTAGACGCACTGATCCACCGAATAGGTGATACAATTCCCTGGTAAGCCGCTAAGGACCGAGAGCCCGTTTCGCATTTGCAGTATGACCTGAACTACATTAGTTCCCTGAAACGGAGAGTGTTAGATTGGAGGACGTACAGTTGGGACTGTTTCCCCTGCTGCGGTGAGCGCGACGAGGGCGGTTAGGGCAATGGCTCTGAGGTACATTTTGCTTTTGCTCTTGAGTTCTTGAAATTGATTTTGAGTATAAGGATGTTTCTGCTTGTGTGGTGAAGTCCAGTTAGTGTAAGACATTTATACCTGCGCGTCAAGCAAGGGGTGTTTGTTTAGGCTTTGGCGTGCATTCCGGGTGAGGTATGTGGCATGCTATGCGCGTCAGGAATTCTCCGAGATTCAGACAGGAAAAGAATTCCGGGTTCGAATCGAATTACTAGCTACTAGCTACTATCTGACTGAATCGATAAATAGATACAATCATATCACCAAGCTCATATCAACATTCCTCCTCACAAAATCAGATTATAAGTAGACATTAATATCCTTTCCTTTCCTTTCCTTTCATTTCTCATACTCGTGTCCATCTCGTTCTATGATCGACTAGATCATTTACAGCAACAGCGCAATTGCAGCAATAGCCATGGCCTTGCCAAGAGAGGAGCCCAGTTTGCTGGCTGCGCCGGTGGAGAGTCCTCCAGGAGGAGCGACAGTCGTAGGGGTGGAGGGACTGGGCTGGGGAACCACAACGGGAGGAGTGGGCTGCTCACCACCACCACCGCAAGTCGTGCACGCAGGGGCGGTGGTCAGGGTGGTCAGGGTGGTGGGGCCAGGTGGGTTGGGGACGCTGGTGGTGCCCTCACACTCGTGGCAGGGGGTCGTCTCGGTAGCGGTGGTGGTGGCCGAGTTGGTGGAGGTCTTGGTCTCGGTGGCAGTGGAGGTGGAGGTCACTGGGGGAACAGGGACACTGGTGGTAGTCTCACATGGAGTGGTAGTGGTAGTTTCAGGAGGCGGAGGGGTAGTAGTGGTAGTAGTGGTCTCACAGGGAGTAGAGGTCTCAGGAGGTGGAGGGGTAGTAGTGGTAGTAGTCTCGCAGGGAGTAGAGGTCTCAGGAGGTGGAGGGGTAGTAGTGGTAGTAGTCTCGCAGGGAGTGGAGGACTCAGGAGGCGGAGGGGTAGTAGTGGTGGTGGTCTCACAGGGAGTAGAGGTCTCAGGCGGAGGGGTAGTAGTGGTGGTAGTCTCACAGGGCGTGGAGGTCTCATGAGGAGGAGGAGTAGTAGTAGTGGTGGTAGTCTCACAGGGCGTGGAGGTCTCAGGAGGAGGAGTAGTAGTAGTGGTAGTAGTCTCGCAGGGCGTGGAGGTCTCAGGAGGAGGAGTAGTAGTAGTGGTAGTAGTCTCGCAGGGCGTGGAGGTCTCAGGAGGAGGAGTAGTAGTGGTAGTAGTCTCGCAGGGCGTGGAGGTCTCAGGAGGAGGAGTAGTAGTGGTAGTAGTCTCGCAGGGCGTGGAGGTCTCAGGAGGAGGAGTAGTAGTGGTAGTAGTCTCACAGGGCGTGGAGGTCTCGGGAGGAGGAGTAGTAGTGGTAGTGGTCTCACATGGCGTGGAGGTCTCGGTAGGAGTGGTGGTAGTCTCACACGGAGTGGAGGTAGTTGTAGGGGTAGTTGTAGGGGTAGTTGTAGGGGTAGTCGTAGGGGTAGTCGTAGGAGGTGTGGAAGTCGGCGAAGGAGTAGTGGTCGGGGGGTGCCCACATCCTTGTAGGCATCGATACCCGTCTGGATGGCCGAGGTGATTCCCGCGGACAGCTCTTGAGCGACTTGCTTGAGAGCCTCCGGCACCTTGCTAGACAGGGTCGTAGCCAAGTTCGAGGAGGCCGTGTATTGGGCCAACAACTGGTTATAGGTGGTAGGACCCGCGCCGGCCTCGACGATCAGACTCTTCTTGGAGATGAGGTCGTTGATGGTGGTCTTGACCTTGCTGGTCAGAGCCAAGATGGGATTCACCAGATTCAGAGCGTCAGTTTGGCTCAGAGCTGGCTGGGCCGCCACCACGGAAGTGCCATCGTTGATGGTTGAGATGAGGTCTGCAGAAGCGCCCACAATGGCGGACGTATCGCCTCCAGTGTAGGCCTTGATGTTTGCATCCAGAGCATCGACCTTGGACGAAATGGCAGCGACAACACTGGTGACCGCGGCAAAGTCACGCTCCACCAGCGAGGGTGCCCGGGAGACCTTGGTGGGTGTCGCGAGGACGCCGGTGAAGGCTCCCAAGGCGAGGAGGGAAGTCAACGCAGAGAACCGCATTGAGGCAACCAAACAGTATCAGATGATAAACGACTGTGATGGATGTAAACAAAGGTCAAGCGAGAGACGATTGATTACTACTGTAGCGAACGACGGACTTACAGCAGGTGAGGAAATATCAACCCGGATAGATACCTCGAGGTACCGTCACAGGACTATTTAATCTCATCCTGGAGGCTGGTGTCAAGTCACATGTGTCATCACCCTGCATCGGGAGGATTGCCTCGCTTTGACTTCGATAATGAGACTCATTTCCGTCCGATCCGGGGTATGCCAGTTCGTGCATAGACATTGGTGTAGACCCTGGACCAGCGGCCAAGGGAAATCCTCTTCCGAGGTTAGTGCACGCCTTGTCTCATGGAACTAGCTGAGCAAATTATCGAACATGAGCTAAAGCATTACGACGTTGGACCGTTCATTAGGTCAAGCCAGTGGCAAGACCGTCGAGGATTGTCTGATTGGGTGCAATATATTGCTGGAATAAAGAGGTTGGTGCTGGCAACGGGGTGGTAACTGGACAGGTGTCTGTCAGTACAACTGTATCCAATAAGGAACGGACAGAGTCAGAGCTAGGATGCAGAGTTTCTCTCAGACGTTTTCCTTTCCATCAATCTCATATGTCATACTGAGTAATAGATGATGAAATTGCCAGAAAAACAAGAAAGTCTCTGGGGACGAGTGAGACACGCAGAGTGATAGACCATCACCCTGGTCCGAGTCCAACACTAACAAAGCGTAGACAGACGACAGAACACACTCAAATTCCAGTAGCTTCTCCACTGATGTTGTCAAGCTTGCGTTGTCCCCTTGTTCCTGATAGGCCCTGACTCAGAATCTTTCCTAGAAACAGGTTATGTTGCGAAAAAGGAAATTAGATTAGTCTTTTTTCGCTTAGTCTTCTTGAATGGCTTCCCCCCGCAAGATTTGACCCGTCACCGTTGCCGTAGGAGACTTCCAGCATGTTTAGCGGTCTAGCGTCGAACTAGCGACTTGGCTTCCCAATGGCAATGTAACCTGGCCATGATTTAGTGTCAGTGATGTTGATGGCGATGCGGGGTTGTAAGACATGTATCCCCGGAGAAGTCAGCCGGATCACCGTTCAGATTCAAGTCAATGGAGAGTTTGACTTTAGAAGACCCTGCAGATGAAATCTTGCCTCGTATTCTTTTCTTCTTTGTGTGGATGTGTCGTTCGCGGATGAATCAGAATGATGAGGTGGTTGGGAAGAGTGCAGTTAAGAGAAATTAAACAGGTCAAAGATGCAACCTGCCGAAGTCTTCGCTGCGCTTCTTACTAGCGGCCTGAGGCAGTAATATAACAATGCATGCATTCAATGTCACATCACATCCTCGAGTATAAACGAGTTCAGTCTTTGGTAGGATCCTCAATTTCCAGCCTATTACTGTATTGGTCTCAGTGTCTGACCCTCTGGAAAGCTACTACTAGATCAAAGCCACGTCCAAAGAACTAACGGGCCCTACTCGATGCTATAAATATTACAGTCACTAACAAACTCTGAATCTCGCTAACATCCCACTCAATGTCCTTCTTGAGAAAGTTGTAAGACAAAACGATAGCCGTATGACTCGGATAACCATTAGCCCTGTATCAAAGCTTAGAAAGTGTCCTGCTTGATAATATCCGCCGCCTTCTCCGCCACCGCAAACACCGTGGCCTGGATATTCCCCCGGGGCTCCAGTGGAAACACACTTGCATCCACCACCCGCACATTTGCCGTGCCATATACTTTAAGCTTCGGGCCCACCACTCCACCGTCATCGCGTGGCATCATTGCACATGACCCACTGGTGTGCCACTCGGACAGTACGAGTTCCTTACACAGTTCTTTGGCCCTCTCCACGTCTGTCAGTCGCTCGCGTGTGTGCAGCCTCGCTCCTTTCTTCTTAAGTAGCGACGCCATTGGCTCGGTTTCGGCCAATGTCTCGGTCCAGATACTGTGACGTGCATGGAGCTCGAGGTCTGCGGGGTGACGCAGAGTGCCATGGTCGATGGCCGGCGCTGCTTTGGTGTCTGCGGACTGGAGGTGTACAGAACCCCGAGACAGCGGGTAGCTCAGTGCGGAGGCAATGGTGATGAAGCATCCCGGATGACTCATTGAGAAGAGGCCCTTGGGACTGTTGCCCTCGCGGGGCAGAACCTGGAACGGGGCCAGGATATACTGCGCTGTGGGCTCATCGGGATCCTCGAGCAGCTTTCGAAGTACCGGATACTGCTTCTGCTGCGCGCGCGGCAAATTACCAGAGGCGATGGACGCGTCGATTGTTGCGAGCAACTGGTGACGTTCTGTTGTAGAGAGGTTCATGCAAGGCATAAATGCCGACACCAATGGGACCATGCCCAATGGTCCGGAGCCGTCTTTCTTATACGCTTCCATGGCAGCCGCAGCCACTGCTGGGTCTCTTGCCACGTCGCCGGAGGGTATTCCGTCTGCTACTTCGTACCCGAAACATACTAATCCGTGATCTTGAAGGTTCTCCCCAACATTTGGATTATCGACGATAGGAATGATACCATGCGAGCGGAGGAGGTCTGCGCTACCAATGCCAGAGAGCTCTAGGATCTGTGGAGTCTGCGTGGCTCCCGCGGCGAGGATAACTTCCTTGGTTGCTGGAACCGTGTACTTTCGGTCCCCCTTGCAGAACTGGACGCCGGTGGCGACAACAGAAGCCTCGCGGACGTCCAGAACGATCCTATCCACCAGCGCGCCCGTCACCACTCGCAGGTTCGGACGGCGCTGTACATCTGCATCGAAATAAGCAGACCCAGCATGGCTGCGCGTATGGGTGACAGGATCCACCGCACCAGGGCTGACAAACGGTCCTGTTCCTGCGCCTCGAATGGGGTCTTCTACCTGCGGATACCCCAGGTTCCTGAAAGTCTCCATCCATGCTCCGTGGAACGGCATGTATTGGTCTCCGAAAGACACCCGGACTGGCCCAGTACTGCCCTGATCTTCCTGGTCGTATTTCATCCCCATGAAGAACTCACGGATTGCGTTGGACGGCGGACTCGCCTGGTGGAATTTGCGGAGGTAGGGTTCAACGCCATCCCATCCCCAGCCCGGATTTCCGAGCGCCTCCCATGCATTCATCCCCGACCGCGATGGGTAGATGACCAAGCCGAGGTTGATCGCTGATGATCCTCCCAGGGTACGCCCTTTGGAAGCGAGCAGTTGACGGCCATTGAGTTGTTGCTGTCGAAAAAGCATGTCAGCCCGTGGGATAGTCATCGTTGCTGCTTGCGCATACCTGAGGGGTAGATCGAAAGTCCCAGTCCAAATCCGGATCTCCGTACGCCGTAGGCGCCAGTCCTGGCACCAAGATGCGCGGGTCAGTCAAACGGTTCGTTCCTGCTTCTAGGACAAGCACGCGAGTGTTCGGATCTTCCGTCAATCTGTTGGCGACAACTAAGCCGGACGTGCCACCTCCCACAATGATAAAATCAAAGACTGCGGCGTCTAGCCCGGCAGCCGAACTGGTGTCGATGACAGTCATTTTTGGTCACAATTTACCGAGATCCGGTCAGTAACAAGAGCAATCTGTAGGTGTCTCAGCTAACCGTCAGCATTGCAACCCAGCTATTTATGTGATAAAAGTCGTATGAAGGAGGGGTACCTCTGTCAGCTTATTGTCTGATGCGGGGCAATGCTAGCCTGCATGTGTTGTGTTTCTATGGTGATCGTTATTGTGCTTATGTTGGTCCAGGTCACTGCTTGAGTGAGCAGCCTGATCGACAGGTCCGAACATTGTGTAGAGAACCAAAGGCACCACATGAGACAACACTTAAGGTTGCGGCCGCCGTGAATTGATTGCTTTTAGACTCGAGTTGTTCCCTTTCGAAATCGAATCAGTCGCCCCGGTTGCGAAGTTATTCTTGAAGTATCCTGTTCGTCTTGGGGAGACCACAAGTCCATTGTCGAATCGAATTCTGTCGCCGTCGGGGGACCAATTGTAATTAGACAAACACTCGTGAGTCTGGCAAGGCCGCCAAATGGCTTGTGTTGCCAGAGGTAGACAGTGAATGTCATTCAATGATCAAGGGAAATCTCACTTCCGTGGAGAAAACCCAGTCTGTTGCTTTGAGAGTTCGAAACAGTGCCTTCCCTTGTCTAGACGAGCGCACGATCTAGGTCCCTTTCAATTGCCTTCTGGTGAAGATATTCTCGGTGGAGTGTACCCCTGCTGGCATCAAGCAGGGACATGAGCTCACAGCGGTCCTCGAGCAGAATTCGGTTCTGTAATGGGAGTACTCATGTCGGTTCTATATACTCTGGGATGTTGAGTCAACACGGTCGCAATGGGCCACTATCGCGCACCAGACAAAGACTGCCGAATGCCATCGTAACTGCTATGTGCGTGGAAGCGTATTAGCAACGTCCAATACGCTGTGGGTCTAGATTGTTGACGCCTGCATGATGTTAGGATTGTATGCCTGGCTTCTTGACGTGTACGCCTGATACTGAACATCGAAGGTTGAGTGATACGTTATTACGTCAACGTAGGCGTTGTCAAGGTAAACGGTCGTCGTCGTGGCACTCCGTTGGTGATGTTCGTTCCGCTCTTGCGCCATGGACTCTACAGACATCTCACAGAACAAGAGAAGCTGTATCGCTGCAGATAACAGTATGAATACCGCACGCGCATGATGTTTCAGCCTGACACGTATGAAGCATGGCGTTACCAAGTGCAGACTATCAGGGAGGCTAAGCAGAAGTGTAGATAGAGCAGACAAACTGGATAGAAGACGAGGACAGACTGAGTTGGAGGTGAGATCAAGACACCGCAAGGGACTCTGGGGAGTAGAGACAAAAACACTTCGCTACAAAGGCTGTGTCTCGAGAGCGAAAGTGGTGCAGCAGGGGAGAGCCACCTCTGACCAGTTCTCAACCACAAAACGTGCAATACCACAAACGCAAAGAAACTGGATAGTACACAGAATCAAAATAAAAAAGAGTTAACATAGAGATATGTAGCCATCTCGAGAAATAAAACGGATCAGAGAGGAAGTCGTACAGGTCCCTCTCTGATCCGCCCAAGCCCCAACCGCTCCCTCTTCGGTAAATTTATACCAGAGAAGCGACCAGGGCCTGTCTCGAACCAGAACCCAGCAGTGCAGCTGGGTTGGGGCTTAACCCACTGCACCACCGGGTCCTGGCTTGTTGACGATACAACATAACTGGGGTTCATCTGTTGCTCATGTGTTTGCCTAAACGGGAAATAAATGGGGCCCTGAAAAGCGAGAACAACAAGGAGCAGTTTGAGTTGTAGAAATGAGAATCTACCTTAGATTAGCACTACAAAGGCATTGCTGGAGGCCATTTCTTCTAAATGACTCTTATAGTACACATCAAAGCTATCTTGCTGCAATGAGTATGCTCCTCAGGCTATCCCTGCTACCTATGTGTATAATCCAGGGGAAATGTGGAGCAGTATCTCCCTCTGAAGACATTTTATTCGCATTTGCACTGCGTCTAGGATCTATAACTTAAGATCTTTTCAGAATCACGTTCTATGGAGGGGTATTTGCTGTGGTTTGTAAAATGTCTGGTGGCAAACAATAACTTGAGGGCCTATGGCTTCTCTATATCTGCGTGGACCATTCCAAACATTTTAGCAGTCTAACACTGCATGAATGTCAAATAATTGTTGATAATTATATCTCTTTAGACTGTCCGTTATAGAGATAGGGGTGTACTTTCTGGTTGAAGGTTGAACGTTGACTGCCTGAAGTGGACTTAGGGCTTCAGTACGGGGAAGTTGTCCGGCTCGGGTGGACGACCAATCGATGATATGCAGTGTGCTGATTGTCAAGGCTAATAACAATGGCCGGAGCACCTCAGAAATGCAATCTCGTGCTCTTCGGTATCACCTGTAATCCATATTCCAAAAGAATTGCAATGGTCATCTTCTGAGGAACGGGACATAAACCTTGTTGGAATGGTACTGATTGTCCCGAGTATACGAGTCTGCTCCTCTTCCAGGTAAGTCTAAGGAATGTCCTGTAGTAGAATGCCTCAGAGGTTATTGCTGACTCCCAAGGCTGTTTCTTAGCGTCCATGAACAACATTCAGAGAGTTGTCAGGACGCTCTGTTCGATAGAATGGCCTGGTCAATTGTACGTGGTCAAACTGTTTCCCCGGTTCGGCCGTTCTCCGATTATTTTCGGACTGGTTCTCGATCATCAAGTCGGCTAATCAATTTATCTCCGGGAGATCAGCTTATCGCATGCTTCCTGTTGCATGTAATGAAATTGAGTATGTCCGTCGCAGCGTCATAGACACTGCTGTCCGTCTACGTATAAGACTGCCGACTCCGCCGACTGCTAATACGCCCCGAGTCAATGCAGTGAAACCACTGCTACTGGGACTTATGTCACTTCTACTTCTGGTGCATGATAGGCCCCTCATAAACGGGTTATTGATACCTGCTCTTGGAAAAGGTTTGCATACACGAGCTTGGATTTCAGTGGAAGTACACGACGATGCTGTTTCGTGGAGGTACAAGTCGATGTATATATGAGTTCCATGGGATTGATCTATATCTGTTACCATATTACTCGATCAAAAGGAAAATACCGAAACGGATAACTAGATGTCCTTCTATCCTTAATACCTTTACACCTCCGACTTCGGATGTGCCATCGGATTGAGTTTGACGACGCCCTGAGTATCCAACGGGACTTACACCTTATTTACATTTCGTGCCTTGGCGATAACTCTGGATTTGGACAACGTGACGAGTCAAGGCTATCATGAATTGACAGTGCTACAAACAAAAGACTGATAGGCTGTTAAATCCTACCACTGCGTGCGATGACCTCGATCGAGAAATATCACACACGCATCAACACAGCCTCATTGATACTTCACACCATTTGATTTGATCAGTTCAAAGTTTAAAAGGCTTTAGATTGCCTTCAGCCCGCTGACGACCCGGTTGATGCTTGTCTACTACTCGTCTACCCCTCTCGAGACGCCAAGGGATAAGACGAGCCGCCACTGCAGGATTGTGTCTAACTCTGCTGGCTAGGATCCAACAGGGCCCAACTCAAGCCACTATTCCTATTAATAACTAGCTAGATACTTATCATGCCCAGACCACCGCCGCCCGGTCATCTTCTCCCCCAGATTGTTCTTATCTTCTCCGCATCTCAATTTGATGCTAAACGATGACATATTTCCATTGTTGTTCAGTCTTAGCACTGATAGTTTTGGTATTACCATGTAAGGCTGCTTACTTTCAACAAGACCTATAAATCTGACATGATCAGTTGTCGCTGCGACAACGTGCGAGCGGAGCCATAATCCCAGCGACCGAAACACACCGGCAGCATTCGATTTCTCCTCCCCAGATGACCTGAACTGGTTCTCCACGCATAACTGCACCATAATTGATGATGATATTACTCTGCTGGAAAGCTTCAACGGATCATTCTCTCTCCTCAATGTTACCAGTATTAGTGGGGTCATTACCTATACCGCCCCTACTGAGACGTTTAAACTCTCGTCGATCTCGCTGCCGGACGTGCTGTACCTGGGAGGTATCAAGGTTGATCTCCCTAATAGTCAAGACATAATAGATGTATCCGCCCCCAAAGCGACTGCCGTTGGCTCGATCGATGTGGCCGTACCGTTGACCGCCGCGGTAGACTTTCGGTCGTTGAAACAAGCGACGAGTATCTCGCTGGCGGGGAACTACTCGAGGTATTGATTCCGTTCCTGCAGTGTCTAGCAGATACCGGACTAACAAGCTTAGTGTGAGACTTGACTCTTTAGAGCAAGTCAATAGCAACCTCAGCATACGGGGGTCTGATATCATCGCCGCGAATTACCTCGATGATGTGGCCTACGGTCAACTCCCGCTCAGCTTTCCTGCCCTGAAATTTGCAACTTTTATCCGGTTCTCGGGAGTGATTACGGAGTGCGTCATCAGCATATGCATACACATGTCCCGTCTCCGAACTGACGATGGCTAGGTTCTCGATGCCTGTCCTCGAAACGGCCAACATCCAGACAAGAAAATATTTTGGCCCATCAGGAGTCTCCATTCATAACTACGGTGCGCCTGTAGACCTGGATCTACCAAAGCTACGCTCAGTGGGCGATATGCTCGATCTCCAGGGTGCACTATCCAGGTATGTCCATCATAGGTACACCTTGTGTATTGTACGGTGTGTGCTAACGAGATAGTCTCTCTCTGGATTCCCTACAATCAATCCAGGGCAACATCACAGTCAACTCCTCATCCTTCCTAGATGTCAATTTCACAAGCTTATATTCCGCGGAGACCATCCAGCTCAGTGGAAACATCACAAGGTACGATCCATCATACACCATCCTGACCTAAAACTCACTCGCTGTAGCGCTGGATTTCCCTCCCTCACCGGGGTCAACCGGATCACGATCGACACCACCAACACCATTGACTGCAGTTCCTTCCAGCGCACCATCCAGAGAGCAGCCCCGTCTTCCAACTCCACCTGCAACGGGACAGGAGTGACAGGAGTGACAGGAGTGACAGGAGAGACAGGCCCAAGCGGGCGAGGGTTGAGCACTCGCGCAAAGGTGGGGATAGCAATTGGGGTGAGTATCGCCGGAATCATCATTGTGGGGTTGATCATCTGGTATGAGCAGAGGATGGCGAGGAATTATAAAGAGCGCGCAGGGTTCCACTGGGGCCCGCAGATTCCGCTGCAGGACAGGTCGAGGAGGAGAAGTGCGCCGGAGGATGACCCGCCGCCGCCCTATTCGTTGCATCCGCCTCCTAATTGATACCATGTCTGTAATCAGATGTTATATAGATGATGTTCTATCAGACGATCGGATCACTTGATCTCCCATTTGTCTGCAGACAGCGCAATCGGCAACATGAGCAGTGAATATGCTGCTGCGATTACTGCTTACCGTTAGGTGTTGGCTATGTTCAGTAAACGAACGCAAAAGAAAGCAACCAGCTGAGACGACTCCAGATAACTCCCCCTCACAACCCTCTGCACACCAGCCAACAATCACTTCGCAGATCTCGCGTTATACCTTTCCAGTAGACTACCTCCATCAGCCCCCTCACAGATATAGATCTGATCTGATACAAGGGAAAGGACAAACCTTCTCCTCCCACCTTCTATGCCAGAAAACCCGCTGCATAACCACCACCCTAGCTGTAGGACTCAACCTCGTCAGGCTTTGACTCGTTATCCTATACATTGGACTTAGCTAGCCATAATACAATCGATCCCCTTTATTGCCTATTCTGAGGATATCACCATCTCCCTCTCCCTCAACCTACAAGACGCAAGAGACGAGTCCTCCACACTCATCAACCTCGCAGACGCCTCCGGCCGCATTCGCCAGCAAGCAGAGAGCTATACTTTGGAGTAGTACCTTCCTGGTTGGTGACAAGTCCTTTGAGCGTCCGATCAGCTAGATGGTGGAGCGCTTCACCCACCTGCTGAGTCCAAGGAATGTTGTGAGTCAGCTCGCGATCACTGTCAAGGCAGATATCCGGCAGAATGTGATCCATACCTACAGAGTGTGAGAGTGGAGGGTAAAATGAGTGGTCGTCAGCGTCAGAGACTCCAGCGGCACAGCTTCCAGTGGCGCAGCTCATCTAATGATGATACAACAACGCCTGCTCATAGCAAGAGGCTGGAGACATACTGCTCCCGACTTTGTTCCAACACAAGGAATTGTTTGGCTGTGAATGTCTTAAAATAATTCTTTGTGCTCACAGCTGCCGCAGTGCAAGGCGCCCTCAGCCCAGAATATCAGACCTGTTGTGCTCTGCATGTATAAATAAACTGAGCTCGTCACCTTTCACTTCTTCTCGCACTCTATCTTGCTTCTGTTTTCGTTCTTTTGCCTATCACTCTGCTCTCATAGCTACGTTCCCATAAAGACGATCTGACTTCCAATCTAACAGATCAAAGCCTAACCACCCAGAACTTCTTCATTCTGCGCTCCTATCTTAGGCGTCGAGCAGTGCCCTTGGAGAATTTCACCTAGCGAGACACGTCGACTGTAAACATGGCAAGACCCAAGTACGTCGCTCGGACTAGTCTAATACTGGGAACACAGTACTAACAGTCTTCAGGATTTGCAGGGACTTTGCCAGAAGGGGAACGTGTTCCTTCAAAAACTGCAAGTTCCAACACGTAAATGACCCCGGAAGGCGAGATGACGATCGACCAAAACGAGACACGAGACCCAAAAGACCAGAACTGTCAGATTCAGAGAAACAATTTCGATCCTGGAAGGATACCATAACCACAGACATTCGTGCATCTCGACCAGGTCGCGCGAAGTTGGATAACTTCTTCCGAGATGCTCGACAGTTTATCGAAGTTGACGCTGGTCTTATGCAAGGAGTGATACGTGAACTAGCTGAGGAGACGGGATTGGAACATATTCGAGATCTTGTGGAGAATAAATTCCCCACAGCTGAGTCGAAGGCAAAGGAAGCAGTCTTCCGGTCACAGGTCCTTCCTCTGCTGGAAACCGTCTCGCACCCTAAGGTTTTATCGTCGCTGATCTTGGAACAAGCAGTGGGAACTATTTTCAATGTGCTGTATGGTATCAACGGTCGCAGGGCAGCGCTATTCCTAAGCTCAATATGCGATGTGCTATCAAAAACCAGCGAGGAGGAAACAGCCGTGGAGTGGTTGGAGATTTCACTCCTCGTGTTTGCAAAAATTGTCGATCTAAACTCCACCGCATTCGTTCAAGATGCACTCAAAGATCAAGCAAACAGGTTTCAGCAGCTTTTTCTCCAGATGACCGAGGGTGGCCTGGCGAGCTCTCTCCACCACTCGCGCAATCTTCTCGATCACCTTCTACGCCGATTGGAAATTGGCAGCTTCCTACCATCTGCACCTGCGAACGATAAGCTCAAATGTGAACCGAAGTCTGCTGCAGCATTTACGGTACATCGCGAACCGCCCGGTGGCAGACATGACAATGACCATGCCGATATTGTGAACATCGCTATCATGCCAACCCTAGATGAGATTCAGAGTTCGCGTATCGAATACCTGCCGGTCAATGATCCTGGTCAGTGGCATGTGGGTGGTCTGGACGGTTTGTTAGATCGAAATTTCCGTCTACTAAGGGAAGATACGATCGGTCAGCTGCGAGATGCTATTCACCAGGAGCTCAAGGGGTCACAGGGACCAGGCGGACGGATTTCCCAGGTTCGGACACACGTCTATCCTCGTGCGAAGATCGGACAGATCTACTTTGACAAATTCCTTGGCTTTCAATTCAAGGTTCAATTCCCTCAACCGCCACATGTCAGTGAGATGTCGGCCAAGGACCGGGAAAACTGGTGGCAGTTGTCGAAGCGTTTGCAACCCGGTGCTCTTGTGTGTCTCATCATGAATGGACGCAATGGAAGGACGGTTGTCTTCTGTACCACCGTGGACGAGCAAGTCAGGTCTCCCGAAAAGCAAACAGTCAATGCCAATAAGGAAAGCGAGAATGCAGCATCCCTGTGGGGAGATGCGAAGGAAGCGTCAGTCAAGATGACTCTGGTCGATACGAAACCCGGCATGGTCCGCACAATATTGAACAAGGCCCTGAATAAACGGGATTTTTCTGTTGTCGAATTCCCAGGCATTCTACTGGCTGGCTTCGAACCAACCTTGCGAGCACTGAAGAAGATCAAGGAGAACAGGGAGCTACCATTCCTAGAGATTCTGGTCCCGAACGGCGATGTAGGTCCAGTCGAAGTTCCTCCTCCCCTCTATGCGTTGAGACCCGGATTTCGCTTCAACCTTCGTTGCTTGATGAATAACAAGGCCGAACTATACATCCAAGCCGATAAACCGGTTGATATAGAATACTTGCAACGCAACTCGACCCTCGACGGGGCCCAGGCGAGGGCCTTGGTCAATAGCCTCCAACACCGAATTGGCTTGATTCAAGGGCCTCCTGGTACGGGTAAGAGCTACACAGGTGTTGCGCTTATCCGAGTCCTCCTAGCAAATAAGAAGCAAGGAAAGACAAATCTTGGTCCTGTGTTATGTGTTACTTATACGAACCATGCTCTGGACCAGTTGCTGGAAGCTCTCATCGACAAAGGAGTAACGTCCCAGATTATACGGATCGGTTCGCAGTCCAAGTCTGACCAGCTGAGGTCGCTCAATCTACGACATATTGCAAAGGATGCCGAGAAAACCAAGAGGGAGCGACAAGATCAATATCGCCTTCATTGCGAAACAGAGGCGTGCGAGGACAAGTTCTCCACCCTGAACATCAACCAGGGCTTGTTAGCCACTCATCTCATCCCTCACCTTCAAAAACTATATCCGCGCTATTATTCTGCTCTGTTCGGTAAGGACGAGGACGGTTGGGAGAGGGTTGGGCACGGCAAGCCCAGTGACGTGATCAGGCGTTGGGTCCAGGCTGGGGGACCAGGAGATGAGATACGATCTTTCGACGTGCTCATGTCACTAAATCCGTCACAACTGTCGCAAAAAGAAAGAGAGGAACTGCGCCAGATATGGGCGAAAGAAGTCATTAAGCTGGTGCATGATAAAGTCACGCAGCTCTGCTCGGCACACCGTATAGCCAAAGCCAATCTCGACAACGTTCGAGACGAAGTGGATCTCCGCTGTCTGGCAGATGCCGATGTCATCGGAGTCACCACGTCCGGTCTGGCTCGAAATTTGAACATGCTGCGAAAGCTACAATCCAAAGTCGTGATGTGTGAAGAAGCCGGCGAGGTTCTGGAAGCACACCTTCTCACTGCTCTGCTGCCCTCGGTCGAACACGCCATCCTTATTGGTGATCACCTACAACTCCGTCCACAGGTTCAGAATTACGAGCTCTCGCGCGAGAATCCTAGAGGTGGCGAAAAGTACTCTCTGGACGTTTCGTTGTTTGAGCGACTCGTCGAATCGCAGAGTGCCATGGGTCTGGGTCTTCCGTTCAGCACACTCGAAACGCAACGCAGGATGCACCCTTCCATCGCCCAACTAGTTCGGAATACTCTATATCCTCAGCTAGAAGACGCAGAATCAGTGTCAAGCTATCCTGAAGTTGTGGGTATGCGCCGGAGACTGTTCTGGCTGGACCATCGCGAGCCGGAGGCGGACGCAGCCAATACGAGTCTGCTGGCGACCTCGCACTGGAACGAGTACGAAATTCAGATGACAATGGCTGTGGTCAACCACCTCGTGCGACAGGGCAAATACCATAGCGGCGATATTGCTGTCATTACTCCATACCTGGGTCAACTCCATCGCCTACGTCAGCTGTTCTCGCAACACTTCACCGTCACACTTGGAGAAAGAGATGCTGATCAGCTCGAGAGTGCTGGCTTTGAAGCTGGTGAAACTGATGTCAAGACCACGGCGAGAGCTACTCTACTGCAGACTTTGAGGGTAGCGACCATAGACAATTTCCAAGGTGAAGAGGCCAAAGTTGTCGTTATATCGCTGGTGCGGAGTAACTCTCGGAATCGCTGCGGATTCTTGCGTACATCCAACAGAATAAACGTCCTCCTATCACGAGCTCAGCATGGAATGTACATTATTGGCAATTCCGAGACTTGTACTTATGTCCCGATGTGGGCGCAGGTCATTGACATCCTTCGGCAGTCGGGCAATATAGGATCACAGCTGGAGTTGCAGTGTCCCCGTCACCCTGATACACCACTCCTTGTCTCTACGCCTCACCATTTTTTGCAGCTATCCCCAGAGGGGGTTGTAGTCTGCGCTGCATCAATCGTCTTCCCTGTGGCCATGCTTGTGAGCAAAAGTGCCATTCGGAACTGCTTCACAACGCCGCGTATTGCCCACAGCCGTGCCCTCGTCCGCGCAAAGGGTGTACTCATCCGTGCGTCAAGCGGTGCGGTGATCCTTGTCCTGACAGGTGTATGGTGAAGGTGTATAAGGAGGATAGGAAGCTTGAATGCGGCCATTCGATGCCGACTTTGCCCTGCTGGCAAGATCAGGACTTGTCTACTGTCCGCTGCAAGGTGGCTGTTGCCAAGACGGTCGAACGTTGCAAGCACGAGATTACGGTGGAATGCCATCAAGATGTGAAATTGGCTACTTTTAAATGTACCGCTCAGTGTAATGCTCTCTTGACTTGCGGACACACATGCAAGCGGCCATGCCACCATTGCGTACAGCTTCTTGATTGGGAGGATGTCCGCATTGACCATGGCAGATGTCAGCAAAAGTGCGGCCGCAAGCACTCGACTTGCGCTCACTTTTGCAGTGCGGTCTGCCATGGCGACGAGCCTTGTCCCCCGTGTGGAGAACCATGCGACGTGCAGTGCGGTCACTCCAAATGTACCAAGAAATGCCGGGAGCCATGCACCCCATGTGCCGAAGAGCGATGCTTCTCCAGATGTCCACACAGCGCGTGCACAATGCCTTGCGCGGCCCCGTGCAACCACATTCCGTGCTCCAAACGGTGCGACCAGAAGCTGCAGTGTGGTCATCAGTGTCCGTCGTTATGTGGTGAGAGATGTCCGTCCGACAAATACTGCCAAACGTGTGCAAGCAAAGGAATCAAACACCAGGTTGTGGACTTTATCCTGGGTGAGACATACGAGAACATCAACCTGGATGAAAATCCGTGCATCTTCCCTCGGTGTGGCCATTTCTTGACCATGGAAAGCATGGACGGGCAAATGGCCTTGCAAGAGCACTACGAACTCGACGAACAAGGAAGACCCATGTCCATCAAGGATTCAACGCGCCCGTTCTCCATGGATGATATCAAGACGTGTGCCACCTGTCGTGGGTCACTCAGAGATCTTTCCAGATACGGTCGACTTGTGCGTCGAGCGCTACTGGACGAATCCACCAAGAAGTTCATCCTTTATTTGAACCGGGAATACGTTCCTCTAGAGGAGGAGCTCGCCCGGCAGGTGAAACTAATGCAGGAAAAAACAGAGGGCGCAAATAGAAAAGGGCCAGTCTGGCCCGACCATCTGCAGCTCGAGGGCTCAATCCAGCAAAACGTCAAGACAATGACGGAAGTAGTTCACCACACGTCCCCTGGCCGGTGGAAAGATATAACCAAGCTTCGCGACAAGGTCGTCGCCTACCGCAAACGAGTAGCCTTGGACGAACAGCCCTACGACCGAGTCCGCAGCATGGTTGAAAGCACCAAACGAAGGAAGAAGACCGACGGAGACTTTGAGTTTGACAACACCATCCTCCAGTCAAAGGGCGTCCTCCTCGCTACCGCCCTGAACCTCCGTTTCGACATCGCCCTGCTAACCGATTTCCTCGCCGTCAAGGACCGCGCCTCCTCGCAAACGGGCAACATCACCATCTCCTTCAACTTACAAGACGCACGAGACGAGTGCGCTACACTCATCAACCTCGCAGATACCTCCGGCCGCATCCGCCAGCAAGCAGAGGGCTACACTTTCCTTGCACACCTCCACGCCCTCGAACGATCCCAGACCCTTTCTCCACAAGCCGCGGAGACACACCTTGGAGAAGGGCGGGAGGCGGCCGCTCACGCGCGTTCCCTCTGCGCGCAGCACCCAACCCAGACGAGAGGTCTCCTGCCTGATATCGAGACCGTTGATAGAATGCTCCGCGACTCGACGTTTTATGCCGTTGTGACGAACGAAGAGCGCATGGCGGTGGTGGCGGCCATGGCGCGCGAGTTCCATGGCACGGGGCACTGGTATTACTGCCGGAACGGACACCCGTTCACCATTGGGGAGTGTGGGGGTGCGATGGAGCAGACGGCGTGTCCCGAGTGCGGGGAGCCGGTTGGGGGAGGGAGCACCGCGTAGCGGAGGGGGTGATGAGGGCGGATGATTTGGAGGCGTCGTTTGAGGGGATGCATCTGTGAGAGAATTCCTTCGGTAAGGAGGCGCTGTATGATCTTAACAGAAGTCTATCAAGTCGATGAAGACAACCATTCCTTGATGATTATTTGTGATAAGGACAGGTGAGGTAGTCGTAATCATCGTTATATGCTAGCTAGTCATTTATGTGATGTACACAATCAGAAGATAAAAGCAAAAGTCCACCCGTGGACTTGTCTTTTGTCACAAACCCCGTTAACAGAAATCAAGGCGCAGCATCCGCATACGCATTCTGATACTCGTATTCGGCACGCAACAGCTCCGCCTCAATAGCGTGTCGGCGCGCTTTCTCCGCTTCACTGGAATTATCCTTGAAGACATGGTCCATCTGCTCGAGCGTGCGGCCCTTGGTCTCAGGGATGAAGAAAAAGGTCCAGACGAGTGCGAGGAGACAGAAGACGGCGAAGAAAACGTAGGCGCCGTAGCCGGTGTTTTCGACCAGAGGCGGGGTGATGAGGCCCTATCGTTCGTTAGCTTTTATGGGGTTGGCGGGGTGAATGAGAGGGAGCTTACGATGATAAAGTTGTTTAGCCAGTTTGAGCAGGTGGAGAGGGCGACGCCCTTGGCACGGAGGGAGGAGGGGAAGATCTCTGTTGTTTGTCAGTTTTATTTCAGGATTAGGGTGAGAATGAGCTAGGAGAAACATACCAGACGGAAGAGCCCAGGGGACAGGACCCCAAGAAGCACCAAAGCTGAGCATGTAGAAGAAGAGGAAGGCGACGCTGACCCAGCCTTGGGGGCGGTGGGCGGGCCAGTTATTGGAGAAGAGGCCAACGAGGACGGCAATGATGACGTGGGAGATTGTCATGAACAATGCACCCCAGAGGAGGAGGACGCGGCGGCCGAGGCTATCCATTGTCCAGACGCTGGTCATGACGCCGACGAGCTGGGTTACGTTGAGGACACCGGACATGAGGAGTTGCATGTCGTAGTCTAGGCCCATGGTCTCGAAGAGGGTGGGAGAGTAGTAGATGAGGGCGTTGATGCCGACAAACTACGATATGTCAGTGGGGTTCGAGGGGTTTTTCGAGGGGAGGAAGGATGAGAAAAACTCACCTGCTGGAAGAACATGAGGCCCATGCCCACGTGAGTTCGTCGCCAGCATCCTTTCTTGAAGCAGTCCGCCCAGGAAGCCATTTCCAGCAAGAGTGATTTCCGAGTACCGCCTCCTTGGAGGGTAGGATGCTTTTCCGCGTTCAATTCCTGGTGAAAGCGGACCTCGGCTTGGATGTCGAGGTACTCCTGCCGGACCCGCTTGTCGGATGGAGGCAGCCGACGCAGCTTTGACAGACTCTGGAGGGCTTCTTCGTTGCGTCCCTTGGATGCGAGCCATCGAGGAGAGAAGGGCAAGGCAAGGACACCGCCAGCGAGGACAAAGCCGGGAATCATCTGCAGGAGGAAGGGAAGTCTCCAGGACCATTCGCCCGCCATGAATCGGGTGCCGTATGTGATCCAGTATGCGATGACGATGCCGAGGACAATACAAAACTCTTCCAGCACCAGCAACGTACCACGGCACTCCGGAGGACCTGGCAAACTGTCAACGCTGTCCCGACTTAGAAGGATCGGGGCCACTTACTGATCTCGGAAATGTACAACGGAGCAACCATCGACAGCATACCGATCCCCACCCCTCCAATAAATCGAGCCACAGTCAACATGGGATAGTCGATCGCGGCAGTCTGCAGGATAGAACCAATCGTGAAGATGATGACGGCAACAATAATCGAGTACCGTCGAGAGATCTTGTCGGCGATCCATCCCTGGTTGAGCGCACCAAGGAGAGCCCCCAATTCAATCATGGCAGTCATGAGACCTTTCCAGAAACCAGCACCAGATGCATTAGGAGCTACCTCTGGAAAGCGTTCCAGAAATTGGTCCATCACCAGAATGACCGACACCACACCTTGATCGTAGCCAAAGACTAGACCACCGAGCGTCGAACATGCGGCACAGAGAAAGACAAACGGGTTCGAGATTAGACCACGAAGACCGGGAGGCCCATAGGGCTCCCGGTCAGTCATAATGTCCTCTGCATGATGGCTGAATCCTACCCGACCATCTGGGGAGACGTCCTTGGCGAGGTCAGGATGTTTGTTTGCCATACCTGGCTTGTATAGGGAGAAAGAGAGAAGGGGGAAGTGTACAATATAAGGTTGTGGCGGAGGACAAGACTTGTGGCTAGTCGGATGGAAGAGGACAGGGAAAAGCTACAGAGCCGAAGCCTGATTTATATAGGTCTAAGCAGGGCCCGTCCATTGTGATTGAGACTTGGACAGGTGCAAAGGCCGAGCAAGATCCCTGATTCGTAGACATTCGGGGTAGGACGGTCGTGTCGGATACTACCCGAGCCATGATTCTGAGGCGGGGGAAGCACAGAAGAGCAAAGAAGAAACCAGCCCTAATAGTCTGGTAACAATTACTGGGCGAAGCTGGGATCAAGGAGATGTAGATCCGCAGAGAGACTGTCGAATAGCAGCGAGGCCGTTTGCAGCAGACGGCTATTGGAAGTGAGAGGACACTCTTAACCCAAAGAGGAAATAACCGAGTGGGTATCGGATCGGGGTTGGAGCTCTAAACGGGGCGTTTTAGACGGGTGGATTCATGGGACAAGCTGAAGTAAAACCAGGGCTGTTGATGCTCGAATTTACTAGAACCAAGGTGTCTGCCATAGAACAAGAGAGAATATGTTTGTTCTTCAGATCAGATTGATAGCTGACTGCTTAGTCTCTGGTCTGTACTGCTCACATTCAAGTATCTGATAATGAAGGGATCCCGTGATACTTAGAGGGCGGACGGCACGTGCTGATCACACGAGATGAGCGATGATGACGCCCTTGTCCCAGATGCTACTCCGTACAGTGGTCGGCCCGACGGCAAGGATATTGTGGAGGAGCTCAGGGCGAAAACCGATCGGAAAATGATTTGAGGATAGGTAACACAATCGAGCTGATGATTATCCCGTGCTAGTTGCTGTGATAAATCCAACCTGATCTGCCTCATTCCTTTGCGTGTTGCCTGTCACCCGCAGTAGTCATGAAGACTGTACGGAGAGCTTACCGGGCAGGATATATACTCCGGAGTCTTTCGGTGTTAAGGACGAGAAGTAATTGTATCTTCTGCAGTCTATTGATAAATTAATATATCTAGATAGATGTCTACCTGACGCTGTCTCTAAATGCCTAATCTGCTTAAAATGTGCTAGCGCCAGTTGCAACTGATGCCCCTCTTTGCATGTCTCAACATCTTCATCCGCTGTTTACTCTGTATGTCTACAAAGTCCTCCTCCCTACGATATATCGCAACCTATCCATATTCCTAGCCTCCATCTGAACTATCCCCACGGGTAGATAGACAGTTACTGAATCAACCAAAATCTCCCCCTGATTCCTCGCAAATCCTGGGGCTTACTCCAGTCGTCCTCTTGTCTATTCCCCACTTGATCATCACCAGTCAAACGCCGACCGTCATTCTCGGTCATCCGCCGACTTTCTGAAGTTGCAAGCCACCACTTCTCAGTTTTGCATTAACTTCTCTTCTTCGAAAATCCCATAACTGCAAGCTTGACTGCAGTCCTCCCTTTCCACGAGGCGTAATCCTAGTTTGTGACCCCTCTTTTACTGCAGATCTATTCCAAGAGCATAGAGTATCACTAATGTTGTCATGCAGTAACCTTTCTGACCCTGCAGGTTCGACGGATTTCAGTTTCCGACTATCAACGTCATTGCTTCTTGACCCTGTCCAACAAACCGAGTTTTACCATCAACCCCGCAAGAAAACCCTTGAGCCTGATCCACCCACCTTGCCCTTGTCAGTTGCCGTAATCAAACATGGGATCATTTGTGGAGGACCTCTGGTCGAGCATCTTTACCCCGGGACCCACCCCGTCGCTCCTGATCGCGACCAATGTCACCTTCGCCGCGCTGCAACTCCTCCTGCTCGCGCTCCTCCTCGCCACCTACAGCATTCACTTCGTCGTGCTTTCCATCCTTTCCGCGGCGCTCTGGTGGTCGATCAACTGGTTTGCTCATGAGTTGAGCCAGGTACAGGCACAGGAGGCGCCCAAGGAGACACACGAGGATAAGGAGCGGAGGAGTGGTAGCACGAAGCCACTGGGGGCCCTGGAAAGCAGCGACAGTGATACCGAGACTGAGGTTGTGAAGGAGAAGAGCAAGGTCGCAGCTGCCACAGCTGCCACAGGCGTTTCCACGAGCGCTGCACCTACTACTGCCTCTACGTCGGCTACTCTCCATCCCCCAGCTGAATCGCAGTCGCGAAAGCGACTCAGCGTGAGTGGTGATAGCTCAGGATACCATAGCACGGATAGTGAGTGGGAGAAGGTGGATGATAACAATGGTTCTTAGCCAGTTATTGATCCTGTTACATCAACAACACTGTCCGGAGTTGATATGAGCTCTGTGATACATCTCTGTTGATCTACGAGTACTCCGACCATATACATTCGATCTCCTCAGTTGATACCCATAGATAACGATCGGTGGCGAGATTACTTGCATATTTCATACATTTTGTCATTATAGCCTATACATTTGAGTCGATTTGACTAATCTTGAACAATAACCTTTCTCTTGGTAGCTGTAATCTGCTCTCTATATGGATAAAGATCACGTGATAGCGCGATTCCTTGGCACCCACGCGACTACATCGATAACGATAGAGGTGCGAGATGCACGACCTCACGGCTCGCACGAGAAGCCACAATATAGCCCTGTACGACGTACAAGGGCGGTGATTTACGATCGTCGCCCCACGATGCGTCCGGATTGATCTCTCGTCTTCATTGCCATGCCTTCGACCATATCTGCCAGCCGCAAGCGCGTCTTCGGCTCCGTCTTCCCACCCGCGTATTTCACCACCGCGCCGGCGTCTCGGTTAGCCAGCGCCAAAAGTCCGCGCCATTCCGAGTCTGCTGAGACAATTGATGATCAGGAACAAAATGACAAGGAAACTCGGGATCGTGCGTGGCGTGTAGCCACTGCGTTTCTGCAATTACCGAGCGAAGGGCTTGCGGATTTAACGCAGGCAGAGGATGGTGAGGAGTTTCTCCAGCGGTGGAGGGGTCATAAGAGCTTCACGAAAGAGGTCAAGGATGCATTGGACTATTTGATTTTACCGTTGGCCAGGGGAGAAGGTCTCGCGACGGAGCAGCAGAGTATACTCGAGTGGTACCGCTTGGAGATACGGGTGCATTTCCTGCGCAACTTTCATGCGGTTCTGACAAAGGTATTTGACCTTGATGAACGATGAATGATGATGATAGTTCTGATTATACTAGGTGTTGGACTCGGAGGATAAAGGGCAGTTACAGGCTATTGTACGAATCCTAGGACTTGCACGGCGGTTGTACTTTGCTCCGTTCGTGGAGTACCTTCTACCGCTCCTGAACCATGCCGACCAGGAACGCGAGCTTCGTGCAATGGCGTATACGTTCCAAATGGTGGTGGCGTATGCCCTGCCTTGGACACGAGTATCAGAGTTGCTCTTCCGAGAGCTCACAAAAGACTCGCTCATTATCCTGGGGATTGACGCGTTGGATGAGGAAGCAAACTTTGAGGACAGTGTCAGTGTGGATAATATGGAGGTCGACCGGCAGTACTCGGTCTCCTACCAGGATTGGCGGGAAGAGCCGTCCGCGGAGGTTCGAATGCAGATGATGGCAGAGTACGAGGATGTGCGAGTCGTTGCGACGCGCGAACGCCTGCTGTCACTACTGAGGAGCTTGCAGCTCGTCGGCTTAGGAGGGGACAAGGCCCAAAAAGTTTTTGCCAGCGTGATGGACATGATGTTGACGGTGTTTATTGAATCTGCATATGCCAACCAGTGGGAGGGGCCATCGTTGGTCAGCCAGCACCTGCGACAGTGGATTGAAAATGTGTTTGCTCGGCTGGTTGTGCAGGTTCTGGCGATCATCAACCACGATGAGACAGGATCGACCGCCTCTGGACGTCTGGATGTGAGTTTGGCCGATGTGGAGAAGTGGCAGGAAATGGGTGTCTCTCGTCTGGGCTCACTCCGAACCCGGGAGCTGTTTGATATTATTGTCGAGTGGCCCGCGAGTAGCGGTGCGATTGAGGACCTGCGACACTTTTTGACCCATCCGGCCGCCAGGTACTGTCTGACTCAGGCGTTCATCAAGGTGCTCAACCAACGTTTGTTGCATCCCGGGGCGTCGACCATTGACATCTTACGAGTGTACATTTCAATTATCCGCGCATTCAACCTACTAGACCCCAAGGGTGTTTTGCTGGACCGAGTTGCGCGGCCCATTCGCAGGTACCTACGCGATCGCGATGATACTGTCAAGGTCATTGTGGGTGGGCTTCTGGCGGATCCTGCTGACACGGACGAGCCCAATCTGCCGTCTACCGGAGAGACTCTTTCGGAGCTGTCTGCCGAGCTAGCCAAAGCACACCAGAACTCACTGCGGGCCGACTCTGGCGAGCTTGATTGGGATGATATGAACTGGATGCCGGACCCAGTGGACGCAGCGCCGGACTACAGGAAATCGAAGAGCTCCGACGTCATTGGCAGTCTGATCAGTCTTTTCGAGTCCAAAGAGACGTTTGTCAGGGAAATGCAGAACATGCTGGCGGAGCGTCTGCTCCAGAAACGCGCCGAGTTCGAGCAGGAGACGTCCGTCTTGGAGCTGCTCAAGGTGCGCTTCGGGGACAATGCACTGCAAGCATGCGAGGTCATGTTACGGGACATCTTTGACTCTCGCCGGGTTGATGCCGTCGTCCGCAACGACCAAGGGCTTGTCCAGCAGGAAGACGACACCAAGCCGGAGCTGCATGCGAAGATCCTCTCACACTTCTTTTGGCCGGAATTTCCGCCGCAGGAATTCAAGGTCCCCCCGAAATTGCCACCCTGCAGGAGCGCTACGCGACAGGATTCGGATCGCTCAAACAGTCCCGGAAACTCACCTGGCTCAACGGGATGGGACAGGTCACCGTCGAGCTGGATCTCGAGGACCGAGTGTTTGTGGACGAGGTGACGACCTGGCAGGCCACCGTGATCTACGCCTTTGGCTCTGGGGAAGGGGCCACCACCAAAACGGTGGATGAGTTGTCGGCTGAACTCGGCATGTCGACGGCGCTCGTGCGCAGTGCGTGTCTCTTCTGGGTCAGCAAACGCATCCTCAGCGAAGTGCAGCGCAATACTTTCCGCGTCCTAGAGGTCCTACCCAATGACGATGACAAGGAAGCCGTCGGCGCCGCTGGCGTATCAGCGATGATGGAGTCTGGTCAGGCCCACGCGGCGGCAGCAGCAGCCGATGCAGCAGCGGCGGCGGCGGCCAAGGAGACGGCCGAGGCGGCGGCGATGGAGAAGATGAACCTGTACTGGCAATTTATCGTCGGCATGTTGACCAATCAAGGCGCGATGCCCCTGCAGCGCATCGTGATGATGCTCAAGATCGCGGTGCCGGGGGTTTTCCATTCAGCAACGAGGAGCTGCGCGAGTTCCTTGCGGGGATGGTCGCCAAGGGCAAGTTGGAGATTATCAGTGGAGGGAACTACAAAATAGTGCAGTAGTAGTTTGCATCCCATCGTACGACTAACAATCACATACATTGAAAGTATCATACAGACTAGAAAGCTACTCTACTCCGCATCCAACGGCGCCACCGGCGGCTGATCATCCACCTGAATCCCCCCTCGCTTCTTCTCATTACTATCCCAAAACGGCAACCTCCAACCGCCCTCATCCTCCGGCGTCGCCAACCACAACCGCATCAGATGCCGCCTCGGCGCCGGCGGCGCATGGTCCCTGTACGCCGTCCGCGCATGCAGCACATGCGAGTTAGCCAGGAACTGAATATCGCCGACCTCCAGAACCATATGCAGCGCGTTTTGGAGGCAGGTGTCCTCGAGCACCTGGATGGCTTCAAGCTGCGCCGCAGACAGCGGGGGATGATTCCCGCGTCGGAGAAGCGGGTCAGCGAGCGGACGTAGTATGGATCCCACCTGTCACACAACAACCCATCAATAAAAAAACCCCTAATCATTGCAAAAAGCAAGGGCAGACACGGGGGGAGGGACGTACTTGGTATACACGCGCGGGTTGTCTCCGCGCTCAAGATACACCACACTCGTCCGAATATACTCCTCCTGACCCTTGGAGGTCTCGCCCTTGCGATCAAAATACCAGATCGGCTGCGTTAGCGTCTTGAGCACGTCGGGCCGCTCCCTCGCCAGGATGTTATACACGGTATGTGAGGAGACGATGTCCGATTCGCCGCCTTCGAGGGCGCGCGCGATACACAGGAGGCCGACGATATCCGCGTCGTCGGCGTGGAAGAATTGTCTAGTTACTCGTCAGCCTGGCCTGGCCTATCTTTCACGGCTGTGAGGCAGTGGGGGGGGGGGGGAAAGGGGGAGGCTACCTAGCATTGGTACGATAGATGCGTACCTTGTCGATCTGCGTTGGATCCTCGCCTAGATCCTTGACGTGGCCGAGGACATGGCCGCGGCTGTTCTGGCTGACGAAGTAGCCCAGGTACGTCCCGAGACCCATGTACACGACGGCGGATTTGTGGTTTCCCCACTGGGTGACGGGGAGACCCTTGAAGAGGATGAAGCCCCGGCCGTTGAGGAGGTCGTTGCGGAGGGAGTGCAGGTGGGTGCTTAGGTTTGGGAGCGGGAAGTTTTTCTATCGTAGGCGTCAATCATGTTTTTGAATATGTGGTAAGGAGAGGGGTGAGGAAGGTGGGGGTACCTTTGAAATCCCCGTCAAGGGAATCTTGTTGTTGATAAACTCATCCCCTGCGCGACTCAGCTCGTCCAATTCCTCTGGGGTAAACCGGTGCGTCCATTTCTCGGGGTGATCGCGGTACTCGGCTGCTGTCCAGACCGTAGGGCCTGTGATTTCCTTGGGGAAGCGTTCGAAGGGCTGGAGATGGTCGTAGAGAGGGGGTGTTGGCCTGTTGTCTTTAGGCCGTCGGGGAACTGGGAGGGGGAGATGCGACTTGTGTGACGGCCATATCCTGTCAATTGTCGTATACTTGCGTTGTCCTACTTGTCTTGACACTTTGTATGGCATCTTGCGGTCGTGAGGGGTATATATATATACATGCTATAGTCTACACGGCAAGTATGAATGATTGGTCAATAGCGGAGATGATGGCGTGCCAGGCTGTCTTTGTTTTTATAGGCTCGTGGCGCCGGCTGGAGATGATACAGTGCTGGGAGTGGTGATGCGGAATGATGGCGCAATCAGATGGGGATGTGACAGCATCAATCAAGTACTCCGCAATACATTATATAAAGATGTAACGCTATCAACAGGTGAAGTTCTTCGGTAACTTCTGTATATTTTCCATGTCGAGTCTAAGCCAAGGCTATGCAGGCTGAAGGTGAATACTTCAGCCCTACATATGTGACAGTCATTATCATGAACTACTCCACCTTTTATACCTGCTCTACACTGTGTATATACGCTTCCATCAGCTATAGTTCTAGTGAGCAAACTAACTTACAAATATAACTTAATATATATATATATATATATATATATATATCCTCTAGTATAACTATCACATCTATCAATCTCTCTACATAATCTACAGATCAACTGGCTTCGCAAAACACCAACAGGAAAACCTCTCCCAATCCGGTAACTAGTTCCGAAGACTATAAGACTAACCACAAGACCAACACACCTTCTTATCCCAACAACTCCTCATAAAAAAGCATTGGATACACTCGTGGCTCAACCGGCAAAGAAACGAGGCAGAGAAAAAAAAAATGCACCTCCACATCGCCATCTTGGACCTCGACGTCCCCGTCCCAACCGTCTACGCCGCGCGAGGCCTCTACAGCTCGCAACTCACCAATCTCCTCATCTCCGCCGCAGCACGTCTCTCCCAGTCGCAAGCCTTGCCCCCCGGTAAAGAAATAACATTAAGCACATCGTCTTACGATGTCATCGGGGGTATCTTCCCCCCGGCACATCTCCTACGAGAGAGGGGTGGTTCTGGTATAGACGGCATCCTCCTAACCGGCTCCTCCACCTCAGCCTACCGCTCCGACCAACACCCCTGGATTCCCTCTTTGCAGACTTTCCTGGCAGATGTCTATGTGAGCCACCCGCATATCAAATTCTTCGGCTCGTGTTTCGGGCATCAGATGCTCGCGCGGACGCTAGTGCCGGGGTGTGAGGTTGAGGCTTGTCCGGCGGGTTATGAGATTGGTGTGCATGCTATTTCGCTAAAGGAGGAGTTTGTGGAGAGGATTGGGCTTCCTTTTCTGCCACCAGCAGCAGCAGGGGAGGGTAAGAAGGAGATGAAGCTGCAGTTTATCCATGGGGATTGGGTTGTATGTGAGACAGGGCTACCGGATGACTGGGTGAATGTTGGCTCGACGCCGCGGTGTCCTATCCAGGGATTATATCGTCCCGGACGGGTGTTGACTTTCCAGGGGCATTTTGAGTTTGATGTGTTTGTGAATAGCGAGACATGCCTGGAGTTTGGGAGGAGGTGGGGTGGGATGGGGAAATAGTAGAAAGGTATGTGAGGGCGATTGAGGCGCGTGATGGGGAGGATGATGCGGAGGTTGCGGCGGAGATGGTGGTCTGGTTCTTTGCGGGGGAGGATATGAGAGCTGCTGAGGTGAAGATGATGGAGGGAGGGCTGTTGACGCCTCCGTTGGAGTAGCCAGTGTTCGCGACTTGAGGTTTAACCCTGGCAAGTCCCAGAACTGAGGTAGCAGTGATTGCATGAAAGCATAACAGCAATCTAATGGACCGCTAAATCCCAAAGCTGAACAGTAGTTCAAGGCTGGGTGAAGTTCAAAACAAATTGAACGATCTACCAGTTGCTGCTCTTGTCCTCTCCATCAGTACGTACTTTTGTCCTTCGCATCCCAATTCAAAGCTACATCATCTGCCAATGTGCCCCAAGTGTCTTGTTGCATCGTAGCGAAAGTAGTGTTGTCTCAACCTTCTCATCTTGCAAAACGTCCTTCAGTAAAGGTTGCGTTGAGCCTCATAAGGCGTTATAATCCTGATCTCTTCGCCTTTGTAACCTCCATACATATGGTTGGCCAGGATCATGGCCAATACACCTTCGATATGAGCAGAATTGTACTTTGTAGCCTTGACGGCTCAATCATGCACGCAGATTCCTTCAGACTGAGCACGAAATGCCCAGTATCAAAGGCTGATTGACCAGGTTGAAAGGCATCCCGTATCATCTTGTCCCAGTCAGGATTAACCCCAAGCGAGTTGGTCACAGGGTGAGCTGTGCGAAAGTTGGTCGGAAACGGCGTTGCTCCATCAAGTTTTACGACGGGATGGTTCACCCCAGTCAGCCGGACGACAAGAACAATGGACGTTTCCATCCGGTAACTAAACTCTTTCCATCCCGGTTGTTCTTTCGCTGTAAGAACCGTGGGCTGGAGTTGCCATGTCGTGGCAGCAATTTTCGGAGACTCTTTGCACGTTTTGAGAGGGTTCCAACCATTGACTTTGAGCTCTTTAGGGTCCTCGTCTCGGATGAGGAGCACGGCTTTCGCCTCTGACCCAAAATGCTGGGAACAGACGTTTTGAGGCCAGGTTGTTGTTTGTCAAAACGGGGGATCTGCCCTTCTCTGGCGACGTACTGGCAGACTTGACTTAAAAGCGATGACCGCACAAGTTTTCTCCTCTGGTTACATGGGTGCTGATTTGGTGGAAGCTGCGGAGCAATGTTGAAATCAACACCTGTATGTTGCTTCAACCACCAAATCTTCACCGTGATCCACTTGCCTTCTGGATCTTCCTCAACAGGCTCAAGGGCAAAGTATCCGCTGGTGTGCAGCTCATGGGCGTAGGGGGAGAGAAGTGTGAAGTTTGCTGCCCTTTCAATCCCGGGGACATGTCCATAAATGGGCTTATGCCATGCTTCCACCTTTTCAGCAGAACTAAACTGCCTCAGAGCGCTAAAAAATTGTTTGACACCATCAGTATTTGGGTCAGTCATCCAGTAGGGGTATAAATGGCACGCTGGCATATGTCCTTTCCGAACTTCGTCAGAATGCAGGCCAGATCGCGCAAACGACAGTAGGGAATCACATGCTTAGTGCTAATGCAGTTACAATAGATTCTGGCCGGAAGGCATAGCCTACGTCGCGCTTGGCTGGTTCACTTCTAGGCGGCCTTCCCCAGGGCTGGCTCGGCGGTTCCCCTTTTCCTTTCCATTCACTCAGTGGCACATTCCTCATGCGTTGCATGCCACTTAGGGTCGACGGAAATGCCTACCGCGGGTCCCTTCAATTCGGAGACATCTTCAAGGGGCGATCAGGCCCTGGCAGAGAGCCTTTTGCTCTTCAGATGAGTAGTTTCCAGTCAGTGTACGCGCCTTTTGTTCGGCCGCTTCGATCTGGCGGAGTACTTGGTAAGCACTCGAGAGATGGCTGCAGGAGGCCATAACACGCGTTATAAATCTGCTGCACCAATTTTTCGCGATTCGCAGCATACGTAGCTGAGCTTCAATCGATACTCGGCCTATACGTCAGCACCAGGTCGACGCTCGGGCTTGCTAGGAGGAGCGGTGGTTGCTGAGAGATCATACTTTAGTGCCTCTGCGACGTCGTTACAGCGTCCACTGACGGGCAACTCACGTCGATCACAGTAGCAAGAAACAGCAACGATATGAGGATGGATTTCCAACTTTCCTCTACGAGATTGCGCCTAATGGCAGTCTCGACTGCTTTGCTAATGGCAGCCGCCAAAGAAGAATGGGGCTCCATCAGTGGTTTATGAGGGAGGAATTGAGATGGTAGGAAGGGAAGCAGGATGTGGGAGGCAGATGAAGCTATTTATTTACAATGAAAGCTTCGGATGCTCTCTGTCTTTTTGTAGCGAATGCATCTTTATTAGAGAAGTGAATGCTTAAGTCTGCGACTTAGGTCTTCTCAGTAAGTGAAGAAGGAAGAAAGGATAGTTAAGAGGAAGAAAGTGAACTAATAGGCTATATATAGGTTACATATATCCAATGCTACTTCATTACATACAGAAAAGATATCTAGACCCTAGCTCAGTTAATAAGATAATCAAGTAAAGAAGATATAAGTCTTCATTTCAATGAGTTCAAGCTATTCATAGCTTGCCAAACAATAGGGATGAATGCCTTCATTAATAAGCTTGTTCTTGGAACTCTAGGCACTGCAGTAGACGTTTGAAACGAGTATCTAACAGTAGTCCAAAAGCAAGTAGGGAAGCAGGAGGGATGGTCTATAAGAGGAAGGCAAGCACACAAAGTGTTGATTCTATGGGGTTTGGACACCCATTGCGCGTCATCCAAACAATTAGTTCTTCTGAGCATTCCCTTCGACAAACCACTCCAAATAGCTTCCTGTCCTGCATCTACAATTCTTCATCATGCCTTACCTAGAATCCCCTACCTAGAAATCCTTCACCGAAGCTGGAATAAGTTGTTCTGGGGTTATTTTTCACGCTAGAAACTTGCTTCTTCCTGAGGAAGGACCTACAAACATCAACTAAGCACGTATCAACGTCATACTGAGCATTGTTCTCATCAAACTCATTCAAACCGAGATATTGTAAAAAGCAGCAGTAGAGTATAGCCGAACTCAAAGCAAGTAGCCAGGAACTGAATCTACTCTTGTATAGATATACTCCGCAGTCTAGTCTAAACCATACGCGATGCCAAGCCTCTCAACATACATGCTTTACCCGAATAGGAACGCTATTTGTGTCCAGGGGTATGGAGGTTATCCGGACCCCGTAAGGATAACCATTTCTGGTGCGGGGAAAAGGGTAAGACACTGCAACATCATCAACATGAGACATCTACAGTAGGATCTAATGATTCGATTAAACTCTGCCCGAATACGCTGTATCCCACGTTCTTGGCATCCCCCACACTTACATAGTCATAGTCCAAAACATGAAGAAACATGCAGATCCATGCCAACCCAACTACCACTCCCACGCCAGCCACCTGCTCCGCTTATCCTGCATGAAGACAACAACAATGTTACCTTCGCGCCTTCATTTCCGTCCGGGATTTCTCCCGCCCGTCCCGAGTATATAATTTGTAACTACCCCCGTAAATTGACAATCTTTTCAGTCTTTATACTCCACTGGACAAAATGCTAGGCTATCTCCCCCTGTTCGCGTCGCTGGCTTCCGCCGCGACCCTGTATGCCACCCACTACAGTGGCTCTGTTTACACCCTCTCCCTCACCCAGCGCAATGGCAAGTACGATCTGTCGCTCGCGTCGGACATGACCACCTGCGGCGGCATGCCGAGCTGGTTGACCCTGGATTGCGAAGCGAGCACCCTGTACTGCACAGGGCGCACTCTCTACTGCTCCGACGAGACCGGTGACGCGACGACCAATGGCACTTTGACCTCTTACGCCGTCGGCAAAGATGGATCGCTCAGGCAGCTCGCAAAGGTGGTGGACGTCGGCGGTGGCGTCCACAGCGTCGTGTACGAAGGAGACGACGGCGCAAAGTACATCGCCATTGCGCACTAGTAAGTCGATTCCCAAAATAATGTGTAACAAAATCTGACAGCAGACGAAGCACCGGTTCGGCGGTATCGACCTTTGCCCTTCCCTCGAATCCGGCGACGAGCCCCTGCAGATCCTGCGGTATCAGACACCACCAGGCCCCCTTCCGCAGCAGGACTCATCCCACCCCCACCAGATCATCCTCGACCCTACAGGCTCGTTCATCCTCGTCCCTGACCTAGGCACTGATCAGGTTCGCGTATACGCCATCGACAAGCAATCGGGCCAACTAATCACCTGCCCCAGCCTCAACTACACGCCCGGCAGTGGACCGCGACATGGCCTCTTCTGGTCTGCTCACCACTCGCATCGCGATGGTCTGCGCATCCGGAAAAATGCCGCCAAAACCGCGCCGCAGACAATGCTGTACACGGTCAGTGAATTGAGCCGCCACTTTCACGCTTTCGCCGTCTCGTACCTCCCCTCTGGCTGTCTCGGCTTCCGCGAGACTCAGGACTTCGTGCCGTACCCGGGCGGTGGAGTCCCCGAGGGCGCGTCGCTGGCCGAGCTGCAGCAAGCCGGATCAAACCTGTATGCCTCGATCCGCAGCGACCATGCCTTCTCCGGCAATGATTCATTGGCCACCCTCTCCCGCTCTCAGAACGGCACCGTGACCTTCCAGGAACTCACCTCCTCCTATGGTCTGGTTCCCCGTACCTTTGTCATCAACAAGGCCGGAACCCTGGTCGCTATCGGAGACCAGTCCTCTTCCAACGTTGCCATTGTCGCCCGGGATCCAGCGAGTGGAAAGCTGGGTGACTTGGTCGCCAACATTCAGGTCGGGGAGCCCGGGAAGCCTGGGACTTCAACAGGCCTGAGCAGCGTCATCTGGGCAGAGTAATTTGAAATTTGTCATATCTCAATATCTTGCTGGATTCACAGTGTGAAGCGATAGCCTAGACGCACACCAAATGAAATCTTCATGCATTGCTGCCAAAAGACTAATAAGATGCAATTCTGAACCATACCCGTCCAAACCAGTATAACCAGTGTATCTTAATCCAAAAACAAAAGAGAAAAACCAAAATGCCCCGTACAAATATATCCGTCCAACATAATCATGAAATAAATGACAAAAGCCCAGCTTTTTAGTTTCATCCACGTTTTCAACATTTATAAAATCGAGTCTCATCAACCATATGTTGCCAGTACATACCAGAAGAGTAGCGGACTGATTGATGGGAGTATCTCGTTGGCAGGTCATACCTTGCCAAATTTCATGTATAGCCAAGGCATTGAAGTCATGAACCCCTTTACAGTTGATAACGCCCTGTGTCTGCACATTTCAGTCATGTCGCGCGTCATTTCAATGATCATGATCCCAAAACATTAATCGTCATCCATTAGACAGAGTAAAGTTGCGGCCAAATGAGTGTAATCGTCCGAGTCGGACGGGAGCGAGCCTTTTTTCTTCACCTGATTTCGATTTGGAATGCTTTCCATTTGCCCCCGACAGTCCGACACCGTGGACATCCACGCGGGCTCGGGTAGCTGGTAGGGCCGTACCCCGCGCTGTTGCTAGTCACTGCGCTGCCCGGACTGGAAGTCACGTTCTTGAACGAGACAGGGGGACTGCTAACGAACATTCCCACACACTCCCGGCATACGCCGCAGATGCATTCAGTGCACGCATAACATTCGTTCAGGGGCCATGGCCGCTTGCAGCTCGCGCAGTATATCTGAATTTCCTTGTTTCGGAATGATGCGGGGGTCGGGTTCGAGAACCGGTGGTGCTGACGCTGCGACGCAGAAGACGGGAACAGATTCAGAACTGGACTGGAGTCTGAATTCGCAGAGGTGCCCAGGTTTCTTCCGAAACTGTAATTTTTACCCGATGTGGTGGACGCAGAATCGATAGAGGATTCAATGGAGGGGAAAGGCTCGAGATCACCATCCCGACTGCGAGTCTCGAAAGGCGGCGGAGTGAGGGATTTGTGTAAAGGCGATGCCGCGTAAGAGTGAGGCGGGAATGGGCGATGCGATGCAGGCGGGGGCAGACTTCCAGACTGAAAAGCAGGTGGCAACGACGAACGATTCTGAGCGGGAGCCGACGTTATGTTAGAAATCAGAGGGGAATGGTGGGCGAACGACCAATCTAATCCAGTCAGCCATGAGCTACGTCCGTGATGAACAGCCAAAAAGTGCATGACTCACATCCGAGTTTTGCTCATCATCTGCTTCAGTGGCCGAGGTGGCCGCTTCAATCAGGTCCTCCCACCGCTTGCCTTGCGCCCAGGCTGCCGTTTGAGGCTCAGCCGAAAGTGCCTTGCGATCCCCTAGGCTAGGACGTCGTCCATATTCTTTCGACCTTGTCCGGTCGTGTTTTAGCTTGCGAGAGATAGACGACTTGCGTGGACGAGGCAGCTTGTCTCGTCGCTGGATAGGAGGTAGTGTCGATGAGCGACCGGGGGGAGAGTGGTTGAGAATAGAAGGAAGCAGTTCTCGTGGACGGGGCGACGAAAATGGATGTAGCGATTCTTGCTTGAAGTGGTCCCGCAGGGATGGCAATTCAATCGATGATCGCATGCGGTCGCCACCAATGTCGTTATCCGAGTGAATCTCCTGTGACTTGTCAGCCAAAATCACACTATCTTGATGTGCTATCCATACCATATCAGTATCCCAGTCCGACGCTAAACGATGATGGTGCAATTGAGCCAGTGCGACAGCGGCTGTTGCAGCTGCAGGATGAGCTTCATCGATACCACGGGGGGTTGCAGGCGAGCTGGCATCCGCAACGTAAATATCTCGGTCTGCTGTGGCTCAGAGTCAGAGCTGGCGCTCTTTGAATCTAGCTGGTCAAACAACTGAATGAACCCACCATTATGTCTTCGAGACGGAGCTTGGTTCGGAGGGGATATATGAGCACGCTGCTCCGGAGGCGTGGTGACCATCAAGAGAAAGCTTTCTTCGGTAGCCGGGAGCTTCGGAATGTAGTGGTTGGGATGGGCTCGTCGGATATGCTCTTGCATGGAGCGATACCGTTTCTCCTATACACATAATGTCAGACATTTATCTTACAGTCATTGCTTTTGACTAAATATTCTCTCTCGAATTGTTGTTGAAGGATCTGGATAACCGCTGAAAGTGGGGCTCCAGACTGATAGCTAGACGGGCGGGGGAAGAAGGAGCAGGGTAGTCGAAGAAACCACCAAGACGAACTCACACCCAGGCATCTTTTGCGGCAATTGGAGCCATCATTATTCTTCAATGGACAGACGACCTCATTATTGGCGTCAGTGACAGAGAAGGAGCTGGTCAGGGACGCTCGGGGCGGCATTGTCTGCATGAAACCGTGATGGCGGCGGGGTTGGAGGTAGATGCAAGCCAGCCAGCAAACAAGCAAGCCGTTCGATGTCAATCAGTCAATCAAGCAACGCAAAAGAGGTCCAAGCTAAAAGATTCGAACGTCGCAATACATGCTCCGATAAAGGCTGAAGATTTCTTAGAATGATTCCAGGTAAAAAGCCCATGCGACTGATTGAGCGGATGTCAAAGAATCGAAAGTGGAAAGGCAATTGAGGCGAAAGGGTTGAAAGTGTGGTAAATGAATACGTGAGCAGGTGATATGGAAGAACAATGAACCACGATTAGCTAGCTTGTAAGTACTCAAATGGGATAGCTAGCAAATAAGAATAGTAATAGGAGCTCTGTCGTGGTCGGTATATAGATAGCAGTTAAGAGCAGCGGTAGATGGTGGTAAATGTGGTTAGTCCGGGAAGATAAGTATGATAGAAAGGTAAGGTAAGGGGGGGTCAGCAAGAGTAGGTAGGAAAGTGTATGGATAAAGCTGCAAGGTATCGTAAATGAAATACACAGCCAGACAGGTCCGGTACAGATGGAGAATGCCAATAGCAAGCAGAATATCGGCGGGTTGTTCCAGAGGTCAAGAGGAGACGAAAGAAAGCCGGTAGAGCTGCGGAGGGGAAAAGGGTGGGTGGAATGGAACGAAAAACTGGATAAATCCCTAGGTTTTTAGGTAGTATTATTGTGAAAGTGTAATGATGATGATTGGGGCCGAAGAAGCCCGGAAGAGGCAGCGTGTGGGCTTCAAGCTCAAGGTCGAGAGCAATATACCAACGATGATAATAATGTCCCTCTCTATCGCTCGTGCAGACAATGATGATAGTGACGATGTTGATGATAATCGATAACGATAACAGACATGTAGTCTTCAGGTAGATTGGGGAACCTCAGGAATCTTTCTTTGAGATGAATCCAGTGGCACGGTGTCCAGGTCTAATGGTCCAAGGATGGCAAATCGTTCCGTGGGACCTCGAGATCATTACACAAGCCATTCCCTACCTTAGGATCCGATATGGTTATCATTGAGAGGGCAGACATTTTACACATGGTAGTACCAAAAGAGGTAGCTACAAGCTACCACTGTGGCACTTACAGCAGTTCCTACCTTATGCCGGAGCTGACCAGCTCCTCCACTTGTAGGGACTGTAAATTTTTTGGGGAGGGGAGGGAAAAAAAATCACTAGTGTAGAAAGTAAATTGTATTCAAGTGTCACACAAATGACAGCCAATGGCATTCGATCGATCAGGCAAGCTAATGCCCGAGTTCGAGGGTTAAGGAAGGCCTCTCCGTGATGCCGAATTAACATGGTGCCTATCGATAAAGGAAACGTGGGACAGCGCGATACCCGCATCGCAGACATGGATGTCCTCATTACACAACAGCATTTTCGGCTGAACCGAAAGACTTAAGGGGGATCAGAATTTCAAAGACCGATATCAGCTTGAGAGGAATTCAGAAGTATGAAGATATATGCCGATTTCTATCGTCAGACAGAATGTACCCCTTACAGCAGGTAGCATTACTATCAGTGGAGTGTCCAGTGACCATCCAAATGGATAAAGCATTACCGTACTGTATGGTAAACAAAGGAGGGGTTCTGGCAGACTGGGTATCCGACTCCAACACAGGTTTGTTTACGGAAAGTTTAAGGTTTTCTTTTTTTTTTTTCCTTTCTTGCTAACACTTCAGGTACCTTTTATCAAGATGAACTTCTGAATAAAAATATGTTTAAATGAAGTGCCTAATGCTGTACTGTCTTGACTGATTCGTCAGTCTGTTGGGGGCTGTTGGAACGTTGAGGTCAAAGAGCTGGTATTTCCAATACGTGTACTGCCGCAAACCATCCAAATTTCAAAGTCGAATGACCAGCACTTCGGGACACCCGGTGGAACCCCGCCCCTCTTGAGATTTGGGACAGCTGCGCAGCACAAATTTCAGCTGGGCCTTGACCTTTCAGAAGAGCTGGGTTCTAAGGTGAGATCAACTCCCTCTCCTTTTATGCCTTGAGAGTATGGAAGATGCCCCATTTATCCGGAGATCAGGTACCAGAACACAAAGAATGGAACGTTATATGAGTAGGCCTCATGCGACCTGTCCAAAATCTTTGTTACTTTTCTAAGCACCTCCTCCTTTGAGACTCCATAAGTGCATAGCTCTCCCCAGCTCCGGGTTGGAGCTTTCAATTCCAGAGCTCCAGCTCCAGTCCAGCTGCCTCTAATCTTACCTTAGTAAGCGTCTATTTGAGCAGCTAAGCCTGACCAGGCTAGTCGATGGCAAAATTTCAGTCTTAGTGCTACGCCACTCCAGTCTTTATTCCGTTCCAAGGTGGGGCACCGGCCTTTTCGACGCAGGCGATGTGAGATACAGAAAATTAGATACAGAAAATTTTGTTCAGCACAGTGGCAACTGGAAGCAAAATCTGAGCATGCGGCTGATCTCCTATGTAAGGAACAAGAATAGGAAAAACATGCACTTGAAAAAACGGGGGCTTCTCGCTCTGTATGGCTGTTTTCGAGCGAACCTCGGAAGCATCGCTTCTCCAGTCTCGTGGCTGGTGTGGACTGGAGAGGGGCGTCGATGCCCAATTCGTCCTTGAGCGAAATTCCAGTTGCCGTATGTTCCCGTTACTTCCTTGGTCCTTCGTACACCGTAGGCTATGGTTTACTTTTCGGTGGTTTACGAATTACGACGGAGGAGTACTTCGCTTAGGGAACCAGGCTCGTTCACAGTTTTAATATTAATCTAGAAGAACGTGTGCAGTTTCTAGTTCCAATCAGGTGCATATGTACCCCTCAGCAAGGATGTGTTCTATTGTTCTTTGTTCCAGCCAACTACCTATTTAGATGGAGGACTGGAGGTACCTTACTCCATAGTGTGGTGCACAATAAAAGTTGAGGTAGACTGATATCTACCTAAACCTAGGAAACCAGGTCAGCAACAATGTGACAAGAAATTCTAAATAGAAAGTGAAGGGAAAAGATACGATATAATCTACAGGTGTATATCCGATACAAGCCATGTCGAATCACCAGGGACCAGGACGAAGATGGGCCGGTTATCCGATACCTAGCAATACTGCCGCAGAGCAAAGGCAGGTGACACAGTTATGCAGCCTGAAGCTCTTTCTAGCTTGCCTACCTAGCTTGTCAGTCTCAAGTTCTATCCCCAACTCTCAACAATACGTGAGCAGATGATGATCTCTGTAAACTCTGTTAGACTAGACATCGCTCTTTCAACCTTGAGATTAACCTCTCTCAGGCTGTTCCTAAGTACTTCGCTCAATCCAACTCCAGCTCCAGGTCCCAGAGTTCTCAACTCCTGACCATGCGTAAAAATAATTACTGCGCGACACCTGCCGCCTTTGGCCAGTACTTACTGCCTGGGTACCTCACACTAAGATAAGACTGGAACTAGTCCAATTGCCGCTTTTGATGAGATGCAGCAAGACAAAGTATTGTCATTGGATCACATTTGTTTTCTGATTTCTGAGGACGGCCGGAGTTTACCCAATCTTGCAGCTTTCCGGTCAGCATAAGGAGAAAGCCTTAACCAGATCATGATGATCAAGCAGCAGGTCCCAGTAGTAGCAGCTGGATTGAAGGAAGCTGTGCTAGATGGCAACCTTGAACCTGTTGAATGTGTTTATAGTTCTCCACAGTCCACATGTCTATATACGCACGGGCCTCGCTGCAATCTTCTGCGCTTGAGGTCGTCGACGTCTTCTGAAGGTATTGTTTCTCTTAATAGCTCTGTGTCTTTGAGGAAATTATCTTAGGGAGTCTATCAAATAGGCCATATATACCTACGGAGAAGACGTACAATGCCACCGGAACCGTTCGGCCTCTAGGCTATACAATGGTCGGATACGGTCCAAATCCAATGCACAATGGCGCAGTATACACCAAAATGTACGAACTGATGAAGTCCATTCAGACTCGACTGAATACTTTGTGATGCGATATCTGAATACAGAAGTAGTAATCGGCTAGTGTCATTGTCAACCATCAGTCCATCAATCTCAAAGCGACAATCCTGAACCCACTTCGGATGTCGCAAATCCCCCGGATCTCCAGATACAACCAGACATGACAACATGACCATAATCGGCATTCGTTGAAAGATAGTAATGATACTGAAGCTTAAATCTTTTCCCCGCCGGAGTGTGACTCGAAGCGATGCCGAATAAGTTGCACTCCTCTACGCACTTACCGAGCCCACTGTTGGAACGAAAGGAGGATGTCCGATGCCCCATGGGGTGGTGGGTCCCCTTATCCGATGGGGCCTGAGGTCTAGCCGATACGCCTCCTCTATATCCGACTCACCAGTCCACGCAATTCAAAACACCCTTAAAGCCGTGAAGGGCCAGCGTTGAATGATCTGCTCATGGTTGAAATGGGCTGCCACGCGTGTAGTCACTCCTCTCCTTAGAGCGACATCTCTGACTGATCCTCGCCATCTCACATAATATTTTGATCAGGTGCTCGCCATTCGGATAAGACGCGGAAATGACCCCTAAGAAGAACTTCCACGTTGCCGTTGTCGGCGGTGGGATCGCAGGCGTGACTCTAGCCATCGCACTCTACCACCGTCAAATCCGAGTCACGATCTACGAGCAAGCCCCTGCATTCGGCGAGGTAGGCGCAGGCGTCTCCTTCAGTCCGAATGCAGTGGAGGCCATGAAAGTCAGCCACCGGGGCATTTACGAGGCTTTCGAGAAAGTCTGCACGCGGAACCTATGGCCCTCAAAACAGAAAGTCTGGTTCGACTACCTGGACGGTTACAACAAAGGCACTTCGACCACTGCGAAGAACTCGAGCCGACAGGAAATCGCCTTCACAATCTCCAATAGCCTCGGTCAGACCGGTGTCCATCGCGCGCATTTCCTGGACGAGTTGATCAAGCTGGTCCCGCGTGAGATCTCGCGGTTCAACAAGCGCTTAGAGCAGATCACCGAGCGTGCGGATGGCAAGCTCGTCATGAAGTTCGCGGATGGATCCGAGGATGTGACCGATGTGGTAATCGGCTGCGATGGGATCAAATCCCAGGTGCGGCGCATTATCGTGGGCGATGATCATCCGTCCGCGAACCCGTCGTATACGCACAAGTATGCGTATCGGGGTCTGGTGCCAATGGAAAAAGCCATTGAGGCTATTGGGGAAGAATTGGCCTCTAACTCGTGCATGCATGTTCGTAGTTCGTCCTCTGTTCTTGTCTGCTGACTGACCGTTTCCAGATGGGCCCCGGCGGCCATGTGTTGACATTCCCGGTCAACCAAGGCAAGACTCTCAACATCGTGGCCTTCCACACCTCGCCTGACGAATGGACCGACTACCCCCGATTGACGAGGCAGGGCACTCGCGACGAAGCTCTCCGGGACTTTGCAGGCTACGGGCCGAACGTCATCAATCTTTTGAAACTGACCGAGGAGCAGCTCAGTGTGGTATGTTGACCTTACTGGAATTTCATCGCAGTGCTAACCCAGACAGTGGGCAATCTTCGATCTAGGCGACCACCCCGTCCCTACCTTCTACAAAGGCCGCGTCTGTATCTCCGGTGACGCTGCACACGCAACATCGCCGCACCACGGTGCTGGAGCCGGATTCTGCATTGAGGATACCGCCGTGCTGGCTACACTGCTGGAGGACGAACGGGTGCAGTCTCACAAGGACCTCGAGGCTGTCCTTGCTGCTTATGATACTAGCCGCCGTGAGCGGTCGCAGTGGCTGGTGCAGAGCAGCAGGTTTATTGGGAACAGCTACGAGTGGTTGGCTGAGGGCGTTGGCGATGACTTTAAGAAGATCGAAGCGGCGATCAACTACCGGAATGGTATCATTGCCAACGTAGATATCCCCAAGATGTGCCAGGAGGCGAGGGAGCAATTGGGCAAGAGATTGTCCAAGTCGCGGAGGGGTGTCTTGTAGTTTACTAGTGGGGTATCATTGGCGCTTTTGTATATCTCAGCGGCATCACCATGAGACATTTGCTGGTCAGAATATGATTCATGAAGTCATGAGTATATACAATGTGTATAGTTGGATCTCCTTCGGTCCTTGCTGACTCCCCGGTTCTTAGTGAGGCTACGGTGCCTCATTATCCCTTTCTCCTCTCCCATATACTATGTGCGGTTGAATAAGTCCTTGCTGACTCGCTGGTTTCACTTGAGGCTATGCGCCTCTTCATCTCCTCTTTTCGTCTTCCGAGTTTAATTCATGTAGGGGATAGACCGAGTTGGTCCTTCTATCCCTGACAGAAGCATCGTGGAGAATGGCGCATTATCTGCGTCAACAGTATCAGTCTCATTCCCTTGATAGCCAGTCAAACCTGACATCCCACCGGAAACATACCATCGCTCCGGGCATCGGCCTCCATCAAGACTTATTTTTTATCCCCTGACCAAGACTCAGACACAGCCGTATCTGTCTCGCACGGCATGACTGACCCAACCCCATCCCTCATCCAAAACGACGTAATCCACGACCAAACATAAGGGAACGGGTTCAGCAGCGCCTCAGCCGGACTATACACAAGACCAGGGTCGTGGGAGAGCATATCGTCAGATCACCATCTGCATGTGCATTTGCCTAGAACCTGGAGAGCTGATAAGAGCATGTTCATGAGAGAGAAATCATTTTGACTCCCTTCGGGATCCCTCCGTCTTCAGCCCGTTCTTTAATCTCCCTTTGTCAAGAAGAAGAGACAAACATTACAAAAGATGTATACAGCAATTGGCGGAGGTGATTGGTGAGTCGAGAAAATGGTGACGTCAAAATATATGTTTGGACAGTTTGTTTCGGGTTTGGGTTGTTTGATCTGTTTGACTTTTAGCCAGAGATGGTTGTATTTCCCGATTAGTAAGGGAGTCGGGCTTTACTGTTCATGGCTACTCCACTACTAATGATAGCAAGAAGATGTGACTGGATTGCTAATTATGGTATGAAGCATCTATGCTCAAGACATCCTGCATAGCTCTACCAAGATCATCCAGCATCAGTCCTGAAATGAATGACAAATGACAAATGACAGTCGAAAGGAAACCAGTCTCCTATGCCTGATCCAACCGTATGTCCAAACCGACAAGGCTAATCATCATACCAAGTGAACTTGTTTAGAGCATTTCTCTGTATGGCAGGAGACGACCGTTCAGATGACTGAACAGCGCGTACGCAATGGCACGATGATCCTCGTCCGAGACAGTGGTGTAGAGTTCCGCAAAGGTGCTGAACTTGAGCTTCAGGATGAATCCTCTGTTCTGCTCGCCCAAACGATGAATGAAATCAAGCACTGGTTGAGCGTGCAAGACGCCAATGCCAACCAAGTGGAGGTAGCGGAGCTTGGGCGCGACGATGTAGTCCCAGATTTCATCGAGGACCGGAGTCACATACAGACCCAGCCAGGTGAGGTCGGGGAAGCTGGAGGTAAGAGTTCTAATGTCGGGCAACGTGAGCTGGGACGACATTCTCCGGAGATTGAGTTTGCGCAGCTTCTTTAAAGGGAACAAGCACCACATGAATAGACTCTTGTCGCTCGTCATCTCTGTGTTCAATGTGAGCTCCTGCATGTTTCGCTGACGCGAGATACCGCGGTAGAAGGCGTCGATGATCTTCGAATTATCCTCGTAATTCTGCTGGACGATGAGAACTTCCAAGGAGGCGATGCCGTGCTTGAGGGCATTCGCTAGCATCAAGAGTTCGTCATGGTAGAGCCAAGTCTCGATCCGACGCAAGTTTCGACATGCACCGAGCCATTTTCCGAGCGGTTGAGCTAGCTCAACGCGTTTCTCGTAACCGAGGAAAAAGTGGATAGCTTCAAGGGACTGCAGGGGATTCGATTTCATGAGTTCGACCACCAGCTCCGACCGGAACTTGGGCAATCTCAACACACGCATGGATTGGGAATGAGCAATCAGGCCTCTGACCATGGAAGGCTTGAAGTGCGAATCACGAGAGATCTCGAACCGTTCCAAGGTATTGCGCCGCAGAGCCATGAGGAAATCGCCAGCCGACGTCTCTTCCTCTTCCGTCTCACTGTCCGAGTCATCGTAAACGAACCTGGCACTACTGATGGTGGTTTCCATCCATTCCCACACTATCAGGTTCTTGAACCGGGGCAATGGCGTGCGATGCTGCGTGCATTGTCCACGTGCAGGTGCTTTCCCATGTTGTACCACAGAGTCTCGAGACGGATCAGACGAGGAGCCCACCAGTCGAGAACGGACGAAGAAACTCCAAGGTACCGGTCTCTTTCCTCCTCATTATCCCAGGTCCCAGGGCAACTGTCACAGACCAATCTGGTGATTCCAGAGTTTACACCTAAAATGACTTGGGGTCGATCAGCACCTACGGTCACGTCGACCGTCATCGAACACTTACCCCAACCGACGGCAGCACAGATATTGCAATAATTTTCAAGACAAATGATCTTGAGCTCGAACGCGAAGCGACCATACCGCAACTTGCTACCCCAATATTAGCAGCGGATCGCTTGAGCAAGACCGAGCATAAGCCACTTACTCGGCAAAGTCTTTATCGAGATGAATCAGAAGCGCAAGATCGCACAAGTCGAGCGTGTGAAGGAATTCGACATAGGGGAAATAAGTCTCCAAGGTGAAAGCAGACACGATCAAAGTCCACCAAAACCTGGCCCACGTAAGCGGTCTTATGGACTATGTCATCCGTCAGCATACGACTCGGCTATCCTGCTACTATGCGTTCTTACAATCCTGGAGTGCTCGTAAGCAGACGCTCTGTGGACACCCGGGAAGAGGGCCTCAGCGCTATTCCTGTTAGCAACCGCGGATAATCTCCTGTTCATGATGAATACCTACCGGTACAAAGCGCGAAGAGCGGATCTGGACCACTGACGATTGACGAGCGCACACTGCAAGAGGGTATAGAAGTCTTCGGCATCGACATAGGACATGATCATGTCAACCACCTCAGAGGGAAAATAGACCATCTTGGCGATCTCTTATCCCCTTGTCCTTGTCCAGAGGGAAGAGAAATATCCAAGCGTCTGATATCGATGTCCAAGAGGCTAGAAGACGAAATGCAGAACCATCCAAGAAGTAAGGCAGTGGGTGTTGTATTTCAGCTGTGTTTGTCTTTGGCTTCTTTCTTTGCAGAGAAAAGAATTTTGAATAAAGCAGGATACATTTTCTCTTGATCGTGTGCCCTTTCACTGCGTCGATTAGTCGTCGTAGGGTCAGGGCTGGGCGATTAGTCGTCGGTGGATGTTGCATTCTGAGGTGCATGCCGGAAGATTCTGTACAGCTTCCTCTTCATCGTTTGGGTTGAAGGTGCACTGTCATTCACAGGTGCTCTATCACTAAGAATCTTTCTGAGACTACAGTGATCCGTTATACAGACTTCGGGGAAACAAAGGATGAGATATCATTGTAGGTCCTTCTAGCTTACCTGATTCGGCTGCCTGCGCTATGACGAGGATATGCTGCCGGTTGAGAGGGACTTTGTGCGTCTGCTTGAGCCGGCTGTAAGAAGCTTGTCTTTCAGCTGAGGTGTTATTTGCTGATCAGACTACTGAATCTTCTACGTTCCTGTATTCCAGTCACGGTTTGTGTGGGTCCTTGGGATGTAATTATGAGGTTGGTTACATTTCGCGCGGCGAGGATTACGGTAGTTACAGATGCTGGTGTGTTCAGGTGTGATGTGCTCCAAGCGGATGCGGCATGGGGGAAGTCTGCCTGTGATTGATCTAGTGGAAGGGCACTAGATCTTTGCAGGCTGGAAGAGGAACTGAGGAAGCATGGATGGGTCCTACGATTCGGTGATATGTGTTGTCGCGTTTAGATTAGATTCGTCCTTCAGAGTTGCTGCGCGTTGGAGTTCCTATATCAATGGCTTCTTCAAGTTCGAACACCGTGCTCATAGTTGAGATTAATGCAGAGATATCAGAGAGTACAACGTTCCATTGTTGGCTGAATCGCACCAAGAAGCAAGTGTTCGGCATAGTAACCTCTGTTGTTATCAGACGGAGCCAAGCACCTTCTGCACTGTCGTGTAGTCTATCCTGCCTCCTCAAGCTCCTGACAACGACTCCTCCTTAGCAGCAGTCTGCGACTCTTCTTCACAAATGTATATCCGGCGTCGCTGCGGCGTCATCATACAATGAGCCGTGTGCAGCTCCCTTATCTCTGGAGATATCGAAAGCGCCATATCATGAGTGTGGATGATTCTCCGTCCGAGCTCCAGTATCTCCTTACATTGAGACGCATGCATCTGGCTTATCTCTGCACTCATCGGCACCTTATCATGAAACTGCATAGACTGCATTACAGGTCGTCATCCGTGTCCCAGAAGACCTTCCAGCTGGTCTAACCCCTTCTCCGCGTTTTCAAGCTCGTGCAAGATAGTCGCGATGCGTGTAACATGGTCAAGTGATTCCCTTGCCCTTGTGCTCAGGTACGCCTCAAACAGGCCATGGATAGGCAGCAGAAACACGAGTGTTATCGTAATAACCCAGGTGATTGATAGTAGTAGTAAGTGCTGTTCGTTCGACGGAGTTGGTGTGTCCATTATGTGTTAAGGTATAGGACGTCGGTGGTAGGACTCCCGTTGTTAGTCACAGATGAGATGAGAGAGCTTTATAGCCGTCTGACCTGAAATCGAGAACAGAACCGAGGGCATATAATCTAGAGAGAGAAAGACTCAGCGTAAAACATCCTCAAGATATCAATAATCACACGCCTACCTCGTTGCCAGGTCCGAATCTCCACTTCAACGTTGAAGTTGACAAGTGCTACGCACCTTCTGCAACAACGACCTGATACTTCAAAGGCAGTCGCGATTCCCTGTCTCTACCTCACCAACGATGCCTTAATCCCCAGGCATCTGCCCATTCACTTCCCTTTTAGGCTACCAACCTAGCAACAGATGACTCCCGATTATATCATAGTGTCAACCAACCCGGACCGGTAGTGCAGGGGGCTAAACTGCAGTAGCCCAACTGCACTGCTGGTCCGGGTTCGAGACGGGCCTGCCCGTTGTCCGTTGACGAATATTCTTACCTTTACGAGCATTCTTAGACGGGCAGGACATGGGCGGCTCAGAGAGGGGGTGGAGTACTCCCCCCTCTCTGGTCCGTTTTGCTTCTTTTTTTTCTTCTTTGTTGCTATTTTCGTTTAGAGAGTATTATCACAGAAGTCCAGCATCCTAGTACACCATTAACAGTGATGCAATCATAGTTAAAGCTTTTGGAAAGAATCTATTCGCTGCCTGTTAATCCTAACAATAGGTCTTCAGTATACAGTCATAGTTTGAGCATTATTCAAGGGATAATTTCTTATATGTAGTTGAGGACTCGCACTGTGCGCAAGACCTAAGTCCAAGGTAATAAGTATCATAGAAACCCCTAGCCCACAAAGTTACTTCTGTGAGTCGCATCACAGTGGGCATTATAAAGGAAGGAAGCGATCTGCTGTATTAGGTTGTTGGGACGGCCTTCCTTATCTACTCATTCACTGAACATTATGTCCCTCTACTTCTGTTCTTCCTCGTTCAGAAGGCACTCCCACTAAACCATTTATTAATGTCCAGTATTGAGTTCTCATCTAACTCAAGTAAGGCAAGAGAAATGTCATCAATGCTGTTAGTTATACCTGTCAGGTTTCTTCCCCTCTTCCCCTTTTCTTCCTTCTCTTCTTCTTTGATCATCGTCATCATCTTGATCCTGAGTATCCCTTGGGTTCTCAACTACCATGACGTTGCAGCTAATGCCTGATTACTGATGATTTCTAGATAGTGAAGTTTCCCCGGCGCTTGGTTTGTTCTGCGCTCACATCCAATCCTGCGTGCCACGCCTCCTGCCTCAGTCCCAGACAAGTGTTTCGCTTCGTCGATTAGTGCGGCTGGGCTCACCAGACAGTTGACCATTGCTGCGCATGAGAACGACCAGGTTAAGCGTAGGCTGAAGCCTCACTTATAACTACCATAACCGAGGCGGCATCTATATCGGATCCGCCTTTTGGAAAGGAGACGAAACAGCGCCCATGTTGCTCTCATCTTTATTTCTTGAAGCAGGCCTGCATATCATTCCCAACAACCACGCTCCAGACCGCACAGGATATGACATTTACCGAAGGGGGATTACGTCGGCTGGTAGGACAGGAACTGATGGACTTTGTCGAGGTAAAGAAGATGGATGAGGAGTAAAAGTTAAGATGCTATTCTCATGCAGGAGGGACCCGAGATGGTTGGATACTAGAAAAGCAGTCTGTTCTCCAAAACAGTTGTCGCAGGACAGACACGCACGAAATATACGTGATGATTTTGTGTCCTAGCACTAAGGTTATCCCGATGAGGGCAACTCGTAATGGAAACTTCCTGCGCTGAATACTATAAATGTCTCTGCATGTATTAGAGAAATTATTCCTGGACCATGGAAAGGGATCGAGGACCAATCATTTAACAGATCATCATCGTGGTTATGAGTCAGGTAATTTATACTGACATCTTGTTGATGTTGTATGATTATTCTTCTACATTTCTGTATATTACTGAGGTTATTGAAGCAGTTCCAAAGCTTATGCGAAATGAACAAAATCGTCAAAACAGCCGAACGCCCCGATCTGTTGCAATTGGATGGACATTTCCCTCTTCGTCATGCGCTTTTCCAGTTCCACCATCATAAACAGGGAGTAAGCCCTCAGGGACAGAGGGACATAGTTCACACATGCACTTGCTGGTCAACTCCGCATAGAGATGCCATAAGCGAGGGATTTCAACCCGCATAAAGCCAGTGTATTGCAGACCATACCGCGTCTCAGGATGATACCGCCCATCGATCATACCAACGAAGCCATAAGGTTTACCATGCCTTTGAGCGGTCATAGGACTAGCAATAATTGACTTGAGTGATCGTTCATCAATGATAAGACATCCTTCAAATCGACCATAGCCGCGACCTTTACTAGCACGGAGATACTCAGCAAAATGTTGGTGCACCTGTTCAATACTGGCCCCGTCCCAGAACCTCTTATCAGAGAAGACAATGTCCTTACGCGACTCTTTCACTAGTTGTTCTGCGGTTGAATCAGGCTCTGGGTCCTCTGGTTCTTTATGACGAATGTCTGCATAGAGTTCTGACTCAATTGAATGGTTTATAATTTGAGCAAGTTTATCCATGGCGATAGGCCACAGTTCATCTGACTCAGCAGTGTAGACTGTTCGATAAATCATATAGCCCCACGGGAACTTCGAATCTAGCGAGGGAATTAGAAAGCGTGTCGTCCGACGTCTTTGTTGTTTGGACCATGGTGCTTTTCTCCAATTGTTTGAATAGTCGCCAGTAAATTCTGGGTGCGACCATCGCTGGGGCCAGGATGGGTGATGATAGAATGAGTCGTCGTCAATTTCGTCCACTAGGTTCATTTATTGAAGCTGGGTCTAGAGATGGCGCGGAAGAAGAAGAAGAAGGGATAGAAGTCAAATCTAAAAAGTGAAAGACCATAAAGTATCCGAAGAGCAGCAGGAGAAAGAGATAGTAGATGATGACCATGTAGGAATCCATTGCGTGGGACAGAGAAAGTCGGGAACTCTGAGTGGAAGACGACTGATTTTATTAGTTCTAACTTCTAACTACCGTGGTGCCAAGGCTGTTCCTATCTTAGTGGATACCTAAGGTAAGGACTCAGTTCATCCCGATCTCAAAACACTCCCAAGCCCCATGTGATGTTGTTTCACTTTGATCCACGGGTATCCTAGCGATGACAACAAACTCCTGCGTGGGGAGGTGGCCTTGCTATCACTCGCATCGATGCTTACAAGGCTCGCCAGCGATGATTACCGGGACCACACCGTCATCCCGGTAGGTTATCTGTCTCTTCAAACTAGCCATGTACAATATCGCTGGAACAGCCTAGGTCCTAGTTCTGTCGTTCATGGGAGACAAACAGGCCCGGCTGCTCCAGGCATACTTTGGCGAAAAAGGGCCTTGGGGTTCACAAAAGCCGCCTCCTCTCTTTCGAGAATCCGGAGGCTACTGAGAAGTCAATCGAGTTTCTGCTAAATTCATGGCGGGTAAGCTGGTGGGAAGCACGGCCGTCACTGACTTTTTCTTCTGATTTTGGCATAAAAGGAGAGGTACGACCGTTTGGCTATGTTTGCTGTGATATGAGAAGAGAATCTTACAATGGTTTCCGTTGCATACACTCTCATTGCCAGAAATGCTGAGCACATACTTATGGTGATCAACTGCATCCAAGCGAGAACATTTGCTTATTGAATGCCAGAAAAGGTGGAAAAAGAGCCTTTGGACGATTGCTGTCCTCTACTATCATCCCCAGTACTTACGGAGGAATTCCTCCACCTTGACCGGCTGGACTTTGCACACCTCGTTCAACACCCCCGGTACCACCGAGCCGTCCCTCGCGCAAACCATGGCTATCTGACAGTCCATGCGCTTGAGCATATCTGCTTCAGGAATCTCCTTTAATCTGTCTTCCAGCTGCTGGATTGTCACCCGGCGCACCTCGACCTTCTTGCCGGCGTACTTCTCACAAAGCCTAACTAATTCATCGAAGTTGACGACATCACCCGCCATCCCCAACTCCCTTCCTCCCCATTCCTCCATCTCCAACGCAGCAACCACAAATCTTCCCACGTCCCGGATATCCGTCAACGTGAGCGTCGGCGACGATCCATCTGCTCGCACAGGAACAACCACATACGCCGGCTCAGCGTCCAAGTGTACGAGGTATGCTCCCTCGGCGAACCCAGCCCGCGCCTCTTTTTCTTTTTCGCCTCCAATCCCAATCCCCAGGTAATTCATGAACATGCCGCACGGGAACCGCGCTGCGTCGATTTGATTCTCATCAACCTTGCGCTTGACCGCCTCCCAGACGACATTCTTCGGCTGTAACAAGTCAACCTGCGCCTGGGCCTGCTCGCGCAGTGCAAACTCTGACGGCGCGAACCGCCGACAGCCTGCTTCTATCGCGGCGTTGAGCAGATTCAGCTGGTAGGTGATTGATTCCGGGCCGGGAATGAGCACGACGCTGAGGACTGTGTCGATGTCTTTGAGTGCGGCGACGAGAGATGTATGGGATGTATAGTCCACGTAGCGGGTTTCGACGCCTTCGGGTGAAGGTTTAGGGTTGGCAGTTTGCCGGGAGAGGATGACGGGTGTCCAGTTTTGCGTATTGGAGAGGGCGGCGAGGATGGACGCGCCCAGGGTTGGGCTGGAGCCTCCTGAAATGGCTACTTTGGGCATTTTCTTATACACATATACATATACAATATATAGATGACGAGATGAGGAGTTGAGTTGAGTTGCTTGGTGAGATAGTCTACATGATAACTATTAGTTATATGCTGGAGATGATGACTCAAGCCAAGAGGAAATACGAGGTTGATGTCATTGATTGATCGAACTGCCAATGAAATTAAATCTACCGTCAAGCATTAACACGAGCGATTACTGTAGGAGGTTCTTACATATTCCGTGGCTTCCTTGGAGTATTTGATTTTGCAAGATGAGCCAAGCGTGACAGTTAACCCTAATTCAACGACCGGTTGACTTTAGATTCAACACGGTTAGCTGGTAATCACGATATCAAACATCAAAAGTCTCCAATGCCTGTCCACGGAAACTTGAACCATAAACCCGATATTCCCAAAAATCAAGTCCTGGTTGAAAGCCCTTCCAAACAAACAATAAATCACTAAACGCCTATCCCAAGCAAAAGAAGTAAAACCGCACCCAGAGCGTAGTCCTAACCTTCCACCAAACTCAACTCAACTCAACTCAACTCGACTGGACTTCGTCTCAGGAAGGCCGTCCAACTCCTCAATCCGCCTTCTGACAGCGCACATATGACGCCGAAGATCGGAATAAATGGTCTTTAGCGCGTCGGTGTCATTCCAAGAGGCGGAGGTGCATGGCCAGGGCACGAGGTTACCGTCGCTGTCTCTGATTTTCGAATGACAGGTTCTTTTGGTGGTTCGGGGCTCAGGCTCAGGCTCAGGCTCAGTTGAAAAAGATGCGGATGCGGATCGCTTTCCCAGGATACTAGTGGAAATGGGAATACCAATGGCAGCCAGACGGCGAGACGATTCCATTTCCACCTTTGGTTCGGTGAGCGGAGGCTGTCGCTGTCGTCCCGCGGTAGGTGCAGGTGCAGGGTTGGATGAAGTAGCCTTGGCCTTGCGGGCAGTGATGGCAGTGATGGCAGTGCCCGGCGTGCGTGTGCGTGGCAGTGACATAGCTTGACGAGGAACAGGCAGCCCCTTGAGCCGACGTCCGATACCCTCGCTAAACAGCAACCCTCCTGCATAAAGAACGATCCTTTGCAATCAGGCTTTTTTAGCAGCGCAGCTTGCAAGATAAGGGATGGGTAGGTAGATACCTACAGATCCAACGTAAACATCCATTTCTTCCCCCCGGAAGCCACAAAATCCTTCCTCAGCGAGCAATGCGCTTCACGCCCATGCCAGATACAGTTTGCGCAGGCCCCGAGGCGAAGCGCATAGCGGCGGAATGCCGGGGCGCAAACGCACGATTGGAACGGTTTGTTCTTGGTCTTTACGCACAGGTCGCATGCGGATCGTGGCTTGATGCCTCGTTCTTGGAGGAGCAAGGCAGAGGAGTGTGCGGTTGTTTCGAGGGGTCGGATGACTGGTTGTTGCTCTTGGCCTTCCCAGTTGTGATTCCAGTCGGCCTTGCGGATCACGTCCATGAGTTTGACGACGCTGAGGTCGGTCATGGTTAGTCGGCCTTTTAGAGTGGCTGATTGTGGTGAGCGATCAGGGTCAGTAATGCGCTGCTGTAGAGTAGAACAGACAGAAAAGAAAAAAGCTTACTCTTCTTGGCCTCTGTAATCGCTCCTTTGCGGAGCTCCATGTAATCCACTTCCATTTTCGTGATGTGTAATGGTGAGCTTTGAATGAGGAAATGCTTGTGCGTACTGTTTGATGTGCAACTGTATGTAGTTATATGAAGGAGATAGAAATCAGACATGATGGTGGCTGGTGACATTTCTACTGAACAGAACTGGATGAGGCCATTCACTGCAATTGATGGCAACCTCTCAATAAGAGACATATACCGGCAACTTCCATTATGCTTTGGCAAGTTATTTGGACTGTCTTGAAGAAACAAAATAAGGATATATGCTCTGTCCTTGTTTAATTTGTCTGTTATACGAAGGCATCCGTGTCAAAGTTCGACACTTGATCCAGAGAGCACCTTGATATTACCCATCTATCCTTGTGGGCTACATTCCAGGAGGCCTGATCCACAGGTTGAGGGCCAATACAGTTCTAGACTCACAGCTAAAGACAATGATTGAGACAATGGCTGCATGTCTATCTCAAGGAAAACCGCAGAACTGAACTACTCCGTCGAAAAGGGTAGGTCATGAATATGTTAAATATGGAAGATTAAACTGCTACCAGATAGATACTAACCAACGCCGCGCTCACAGAGATCCAGACAGAAACGCAAAAAGTAACTCGCTTGCGCCAGTTCCGAAATACCACAATTGCCATACCATACCATGGCTTTTCCCGAAACCCAAGCATACCCGCAGTTCGTACGCTAGACCACCAGTGTGATCCGCCATCCGCAAGAGAAAGACATAATCATACAGTACATGAGACGTACAATATAGTACAACAAAGGAGCATAAGAGAGAGAGAGAAAAAAAAAGCATGAGGCGCGAAGACACTACCGTGAAAATTCACTCCAGACGGTACTCAACCATCCAGAAGGAATGCCAACCTCGGATGGCATCATGCTAGACAGCTGGTCATAGTCGCATCCTTCAAGGAACGCGACAACATCATCCCCGCCGAGGCTGGTCGACCACATGACGTTCGAGACACCACCTTCAAATCCGTCAACCGTCACCGGGGGCGAGGCCGCAGGATGGTTGACGGATCCCGGCGGGGGCAGCAGTGGCAGGCCATGCGAGGTCGCCTGGTTGATCGGGGCAGCGACTGCGAGTATGGCCCTTGTTGACGGGAGAGCCACGTGTTCAATGGCTGGAGACGATTAGAGGACGGCACTTGGCCATACTGCGACGGGGGAGCTCCTGCAGAAGGAGCAAGAGATGGGAGGTTCGGCGAGGAGGTGCCGTAGAGAGGACCGTCGGGATGGTGCTGTAGCGACGGGAGCGAATACGGCGACTGAGACTGCAAGGCCCGTGGAGGCAACGGCAGGCTGGGCCGCCGCTCGGCATCCGGTCCAGGCAGAGGAAGGCCAGGGCTGTTGATGGGAACCCACGACTCGCGCCGGCCACCGGCACCATCGAGACCAGACTCGGCCGTCTCGCCAGGGTCACTGCGGACTGCGTTGCTTCCCGCATCACTGACGTTGGTCGCCCGGTCGGCCCCGTCATCGTCGGCATTGATCTCCGGCAGCCGATCCTCGATGCTGCCAAAGTCGAGGAACAGCTTTTCAAGCAACTTGAACTCCTCGAGGCCACCTCCGGCACCGCCCTCCCGTACCGGACGGATTCCGTTGGTATGTGGGTCAAGAGCATCCAGTCGAGAGTGGCGTCGGAAGTCGCGCTTCACTTTGGAAAAGTAGCTGTGCAGTCGGTTCAGCGTGCGGAACCATCCATTGGCCATCTTCAAGCGAGGCCGCATATCTCGCAAGATGTCGAGAGCCTTGCCAGTCTGCACCTGGCCGTGGGTTCCATCCGTGGCACCGGGCTTGAGACTCAACAATCCCTCCAGGTCCATGTGCGAGAAGTGGGACGCATACACGCCGATAAAGGCCGCATTGTAGATGGCAAACCCGACCAGTGGATTTTCAACAAGAACACCGCGCTCCTGGCAGGTTACCACGAGGTCCAACATCTGTCGGGCGGCCCGGAACAGTTCACGCGCAGTGTCCCTCCAGAACCCATCCGGCGCCCCGGACCTCTCGCCGGGGAACAGTGGCTCGTCCAGGGGACCGATTGGCTCGTTGCACCGGACAGGAAGGAACGGAATATAGGCGCGATGCAAGACAATGACGGAGAGAAAATACACCACATGCATGACGGTGTACGACGCCAGCTTGTTCTTGTACATGATATGGGTGTCGGTATTTCGAGGGGAGTACTGCAGATTGCGCGAGAGTCCGTCCTGGAACTCGCCCAGCATCGTCCGCAGTTTCGAAAACCTCGAGTCGATATGCCAGGGAGGAAGTTGTTCCGTTCTGTTCAAAGGTTAGTTTCGGGGGTGATAACTACGGAGGATGGCGGATGAATGCATACCTTCGTCCACCCGCACAAGACCACTTGGCGATACTCCCCAAATCCGAACGATGCGAATCACCCGGCTCAGCACCGACTCCTCCGCCCCAATCTCCCATCGGTCGATCTCATCCTCGCTCGAGTCTTTTCGCCGAGAGATCGGAGACCAGGGCTTGTTGTCCGGCGGGACATTGTTGGGCAGTTTGTCATCGCTGAAGCCTCCGATACTCTGGCGAATGCTGGGAATTTGCATACCCTGCGAGCCGAAGCTCTGCGGGCGACGGGCGGACGGCTCGTTCAGACGCGACGTTCGCACGCGCTCTCCAAACGCAAAAGCGTTGTCGCTGGGCAGCTGGATGCCGAGTTCCTTGACCCGAATCATGCGAGGACGATATCTGCCGCTGCTGAGGCAGCGGTCGAGGATGAAGCAGGCCCAAAAAGTCCGCCGCTTCGTCTCCTGGGCGATCACATCGTCGGATGTCTGCTCTTTGGGTTCCGGACCGCGCCGCACGCCAAAGAGCTCCGCCTCGGCTTTGAGAGCGGGCGAACGGGGCCCCTCGCGAGAGAAGAGTTCATTCTCCAGCTCAAATGGCAGTCCCATGGCCTGTGACAGCCGAATCGCCATGCCGACATATAGCCAGGCACTCTTGCCGCGGCACATGCCCCATTCGTGAAGGGCGAGCATCAGCAGCGCCTGCACGCGTGTGAGGTCGGGAATCGCCATACTGGCGCCATCAACGCCGGCCAGCCGGCTGCGCAGCGCTGCCGCATAGAATTCGGATGCGACGAGAGGATTCGAAGGGTTGCCGGGGGAGGAGGGCGAATGGTAGGCAACTAGTTGAGGATGGAAGCGAGCAGTAAGCGCGAGAACCCCCAGAGGAATGAGAGGATTGGGTTCGGCTTTGGGGGCGGGGGACTTTGTGCGGCGTCTCGGTTGTTTTCGGAGTTGGTGGCATTACTGGACGAGGTGCCCCCGCAGAGCTGTCGAATTTGACCGAGGAAGGAGGCGGGGTGTAGAAAGGGCAGGATGAAGGCGTAATGCGACTGGAAAAGATCAAAGACGGCCTCCCAGACCTTGACGGTCAGCACGGACGAGTCGAGGACCTCCAGCGAGGCTTTGGCTGCATCTTTGGCCGCAGACGAGGATACGCCGACGGCCTTGCGGGAGCGCTGTCGCTTGGGGCTATCCCAGTCGCCGTTGCGATCCTCCCCATCAACCATGGCGGCAATGTCTCGTTTGGCCGCACCACCGCCCACACCGATGGCCGGGGTGGGATATACACATTCTCGGCCAGACGACTCGCATGCACGACAGGTGGTGTCAATACCGGCATTGACGCATTTGATCTTGCTCCGTCGGCACCGAGCGCAAGCTATACTCGATCGCATGTTGGTGATGTGGTAGAAGAGGCGAGTTAGGTTAGGAAAGGCGTGGCAGACACCGTCTGCTATCAGCCGGGATCTTCCTTCGCGTTAAGTCCCCGGATTGTGGACCGGATTTCGAATTGGCCCAGAGCGGCCGCTCGAAGGAAGATGAAATAAGCCGATAACCGACTAGAATCGCATGGATTTTAGCCATGATCTGTAATTCCAAATGGTTCAACTGGCGACTGTGACTAACCTTGGGAGGTAGATTCCGGTGCACAGCACTGGTGATAGAACGCTCTAACAACCGATAGAACGCGACAATAGGACGAAACCGGTCAATAGATCAACCAGGCGTAGTGAAGTGATGTGCGACCAGGATAGGGATAAGCTGAATTATGGTCGACGAGTCAAGGTGGGAGAGGTGTAGTGTCGAGTGCGACAGGCAAGGAAGCGAAGCTGGAAGCAAGGAAGGCGAGTAGGGACCCATTCAACATGGGCGACGGACGGAATAAGCGGAGTGTGGGGGAGCAGGAATGCCAGACAGAAATCGGGGCACCGGACCGGCAACGCGACGTAAAAAGGGAAACAAAGGAAAGAAATCGGGTAGAGACGGGATTGGAGGATTCGTCAGGATGCGCGAGTACGGAGTATAGGAAGTAAGAGGATAGGTGGAGTTTACGGGGAAGAGGAGAGGAAGAGAGGGAAGAGGAAAGGAAGAGACAAGAGGAAGGAAATGATTCAGATGATGAATGTGTGTGTCGTTTCGTTGACCTCCGACACCCACAGAAGGAAAGGAAAAAAGAAAAGAAAAGAAAAAGAAAAAGAAAATGCGACGAGTCCCCGGATAGTTCCCACAGCATCAAATCAACAGCGACAAGTTACAGCATCCGCATTTCAGCAAATTGCGGAGGCCCGACGCTGGTCTTAATCTGGCGGTTTAAGCGGGCGGTGATAATCCGGAGACTGCAGCGCGCCCCCAGCTTGTTACCTTTCCCGAGTGCCGAGATCCTGCAATACCCTCAAGTACGCAGAGTACCTTTTTGATGCTTTTTATTTAACTAGATAGTAGCTTCTAGATTAATAGTCTAATAGTTATTTTATATATTCACCTTTGAATCCATTCATAACTATAGTGAAGAATACAGATTCCAGGCGTACGGTCAATACGGGCTAGTCCAGGCTGTCCAGCCATCGGGACGGCGAACAGGCCCAGGTCGCCTCTTTTCGCGGGGGGCATTAGTTCGCCTCCCCGACCGACAGCAGCCTTGAGAATCAAAAAACAAATATACTTCAATAATATCCTACAGATCCTAACCTATTTAAAAGGGAATCCATACCGTCTGCTCCAACACTTACATTTCACGTTTCTTTATTTTACCCTCTGTCCCATGTCAAATGAACATATCGGCACAACCAGGACGGACCGAAGAAGCCGGCTACCAGCAGGGTGGTGGAACAGCATGGAGTAATATTACCTAACTATCCATCCACCATCCGGTCATCTTCCGTACGGTTACACGGTAAAATGGTTAATTTATATTCCTCTGTCCATGTGGCTGTGGGCGATGATAGATCTTATTCAGTAATCAAGCTAGCGGACGATTTATCCTATTTCATCTATCATTTCTTTCTCTTCCGATAGTCTAACTGGTATTATGGAATACAAGTCTGCCCAATCCCGTGCCGATCGGTCTTTGCGTCTGAGATGGCTGCGACGACTTACTACCTGCAGTGTAATTGTGGGTGTGGGATGGCATGGAGCCTACGGAGAATTCAACACGGGGTTACTTCCGAGGAACCAGTAGACTAGATTATGGTAACACTGGTCCGACCTGAATTTCCCTTCTGTCAATATATCACAAGGAAGGCGAACCACGAAATAATGAAAAAAAAAAAATGAGGGGAAACGGCACAATCACATTACCAGCCATCCGTAGAACCTCGGGTAGACATCGTCTGTCCGTTACCTCAGGATGGCTTCATTTTCGTCGCGTCGGGATGGGTTGGAGACTTGGAGACTTGGAGACTTCCCTGGGACGTGGGAAGTTGTCCGACTCGTCGACCGTGTGACGGGTTCTTTTTCATGACTAACGGAAATCTGGGCCTTGGGTTGGGCCCCTGCATTGGGCTTCCCCGCGGGGAGAGTAGTCAATCATAGACCTAGAGTAACTCGTAGAGTTAAGGTACTGTTGACCAGTCACGAGATTAAAGGTTACAGCTGAATACTACCTCAATTTCTGCCTCCATTAATTTGACAATGTCTCTAATCCTTCTTTCTAAAAGCTCACTGCTTAGGAGCATCTCACTTCCGCAGGATTACCCTCCGACCGACAGTCGGGGCCTCCTCCGCATCCCGGGCGGCAACTGCAGGAGCCTACACCCTACACTTCCAGTAAGTCCAAGTCACAGATTTTAACCGGCCATATTTACTGAGTAACTCATCCCGTGGCCGCTCTTCGGGCTTAGCCGATGTCCATGATTGGCTCTCTTCTCCCCCATGCCCTTCTCACCCGAGGCACAAGCGAACCGATGAAACCCCGCAATCTCACATACATCCTCTGATTTCGTACCAGTACCTTGCCTCTCTCTACGAGCGCTTGTGATATACCTTACTGAAAGCACATGCAACCACAGGTGCAAGTAAGCCATGGAAAGTCTACTAGGATTATCGACCCTAGGTACTTCCCTGCTCACCTCTATTCTACCTGCCAGGTACGATAAGGAAATACCCGGCGAATCATCGGAGAATGCCCGATCAATCCCACAGCCGGCTATTCTATTCTATCCCCATTCTTATGATTAATATCTAGCGGCTATTGTACCTATGAATGGAGGAAAAATTCTAATCAGTGAGATAGCAACGGGGCTTCTCAATTCGGCAAAATAGCGCGCAACGCAAGAGCTGAGGCTTGAGGCTGAGGCACCCGACAACCGTCACCTGCTCGGATGTTGGCCAATGCATTTCATCTGCTGACAGGGTATAGGTACCTCGTTTGAAAGTACCTTACTCAAATCGCAACTCTTACCTAAAGGTGCTTCACAGATTAATCTAACCCGGTATAGTTACATAGTCAACCCCAGCGAGAGCGATATTCCCATCTAATCCTAGTCCTAGTACCCTACGCAAATAGCCCTATCCCTCCATACTCGTAGGTACTTGTCCAGCATCAACCCATAACCACAGCCACTGTGTCCCACCTGTCCATGTCTCCTCCGATTTCCCCGAGATTGAACTGCAAGTAGCCACGATGCAATAAACTCCCCGTCATCTGATTCGCTGCGCTACGCCACGGCTCGGGGATGATTGTTCAGCTGGACCAATAGGGGGGTATGGCCTGGCGGCTCGGGGGAGATTTAGACCGTTGTAGCTGGCCAAGTTACTACTCCGGAGTAAGGTACTAATCGTGAGAGTACCAGGTAGAGTCTGGGGTTAGGCGCGTGGAGTATTTGCTAGTAGAGGGCTGTTAGCAGTACGGAGACTTCAGTCACTAGACTATTTGACTACGTTGAAATCTCATGGATAGAGTGTTGGCAGTATAAACTAATTGAATAGATGCAAGCCAAGCCAGGCAGTCCGGTTGAAGAGGTGGCCTGGACGGGTACCTGGTGCCTGGTGCCTGGTGGCTGTGTGTGGTTGACATGTCTCCCCGTCGTTTACGCTGGCCTGGTTTATGAGGCTGGTCTACTGCTGTGGCGGTATGGGTTTGATTCTAATTAATATATTCGAATTCTTGTAGCCTCTGTGTCGGCGTTATCTGTTTATCTACGTTTTATCAAGTTTTGTAGATGGGCGGGCTAGTGACAGCTCGTGATGCCTATATATATATCCATGCTGAGTACTCAATTAACCGACTTGATTGAACATTAACTAAAGATTGGATAAAAGCTCTAAGTACATGAAAGGGGTATCTTCCCGACGTATGTGAATGAGTGAAGTCCGTCGTACGTATGATATTAAGCAGCTGCCTCGGTCTTGTTAGGATAGAACCTGCAGACACAATTAGCCGAGTAATTCCAATGCAAACAATGGAGGATACATACCAAGCAGCCACGGCGATAATCAGATACATCGTCAACAAAAGCACACCCTCGAGCCAGTGCGATTTGCCGTCGGCAATGAGATAGTTCACCTAAGGAATTAGCGGTCGTCATAAATCCGATATGACGATAGACGTACCAGTAAGACAGAGACGAAGAGCAGGATCACCTGGAACGCATCAAAATACAAGGTCATATCCTCGAGTCCTTTTGCCAGTCAGTCACGGGTCAGGAAAGTAAATCGAGGAATAGAACATACCCATAATCCATCCAATCACAATAATCAACGGCAGAACCAGCAGGGCAATCTGCATGCTTGATCCCACAGCCACTCCAATCGCCAGATCCATCTTGTCCTTGCATGCCACCGTCACCGCCGTGGCGTGCTCGGCCGCATTGCCCACGATAGGAAGCAGGATCAGCCCGACGAATGTCTTTGAGATGCCGCCGCGTTCCGTAAGAGCGTCGATGGAACCAACCTGGACAGTCAGTCTAGCCCCTGACAATAAATGACGTCATCAGACTTACCATAAATTCAGCGCACAACGCGACAAAGGTGGTGGAAATGGCCAGCGTCAGGACGGCAACCCAGATGCTGAGCTGAGGCTGTTCCTCGTCGTCCTCCTCGTGGATTTTCATCTGCTGCGCGTTCTGACCGCCCATGGTGGCTGTCATCTTGCCGATCTGGGCCAGGCCGCGGCTGGCGTCGCCCCGGACACCTTTTGGCGTCGCTTCTCGACCTTGGGGCTGGGCCTGTTGTAGATCTCGGTGTGCGACTTGAGCTGGAAGAAGAGGTAGCATCCGTAGACGAAGAGCAAGATGATACTGGTGCCTGCGTTTGTCAGCGACAGTCCTCTGCGCATAGCCAGCAATCTTACCTCGCGACAAGGGGGCGATTCCCACGGTACCGGCTGTAAGAGTCAGTAAAAAACATCATAATCTTCGGCCGGATTGACGTACCGCCGGACCACGCGTGGAACGCGGTGGGAATAATCAGACTGGCCACCGCCAGTGCCAAAAGACTAGCCGCTGTCTGCGCGACAACTGGGTTGAAGTGTTGCTCGAGACGGTTGACACCGCCGAAAAAGAAACACATGCCCAGGACCAGCAGCAGATTCGACAGCATACTACCTATAAGAGATGTTTGAACAATAAGAACCTCCTTATCGACCAAGGCGATAATGGCGACGATCAACTCGACCGCATTACTATTATTGTCAGTCTTGCCTGGTGTCTGGTTCCCAGCGATCGAACACCTACCCGAATGATGCATTCAGCAGACCACCGATCGTTTCACCAGTCCTGGGCACGTCAGTTTGGTCCTCTACACCGGGAAATAGACATACCGTATGGCGATTTCTTCCGTGGCATAACTCAACATGGCCGCAAGAGGTCTGGATACGTCAGTCGAGTCCGGACGTGGGATTGAGATACATACATAATGGCAATAAAGTTGACCACGAAGACCGCCACCGGATCGACGTCGACGTAATTCAGTGCAACTGAGATTGTTAGTGAGAACTCAAGACACGTCATATCCGCAACTCACTTCCAACTGGCGCAGCAATCAAGAGAAGGTTCATCCAAGAGTTGAAAAGAGTCGCTTTGAGCTGGCCAACGGCGGTGAACTTTTGCTTGTCAGGCACATCCTTTGCCCCTTCCACCGAAGATGGGGCATCCCCATCCTCAGACCGACTTCCATAGCCGCTCATAAACGTCTTCCTCTTTCGAGGTTTTCCTTCCGGGATCTCATCCTGCTCCTCCTCTTGGTTGGAGACGTTGATGGGTTCATGGCTGCGCATCGATGGCTCGGGCTCCGATTTCTCTGCGCTTTCTGCTCGATGAAGACCGTCGGTTCCTGACGACTCTGGCGGAAAAGTATCTGCGTGCTCTGGACCGGCCAGGCCGTCGGTCATGTCCCTCCGCCGCCGTCTTTCCTCCGACATGCGCACCTCCCCCGCCGTGCGGACGGGAACAAGTCCGCTCTCCATCTGATAGGAATTGGACCGTCGCGGCCGTGATCTGAACTTCTTAAATGGATTATGGTTCGATGGCTCGCCTTCCTGGTCATACCAGGCCAGGTTCCTGGCTTGACGGCGGTAGATGTCTGGGCGCCGAGACGCATTAGTGGAGAGCGCGCTTGGCACAGCACATCAGGGTCAGACTTACGCATGATGTTCTTGTTCTGGAAGGCAGGTAGTCCTGGAAAGATTGATAATGATACTGCAGTAGTCAAGGTATTAGGATGACGTTCAAGAAGAGCGGGATGCAAGATGCGAAACGGCAGCGGGACCAGCAGTGCCCAACGGTGAACAAAGACAATTCTGACAAGGGTGTTCTTTCATCGGCTTTAAAAACAAGTCAAGGATATTGCAATGACTTACAGTATACTGACGTGGTCCACTCGTGGCTAGGTAGAGATCGCAGTCGACGAAATGTGGCGCGTAACTCAGCGCTCAGCCCCAGTGGCCAACAAGACTACGACAAGATGGCTTGGAAAGGACAAGCTTTGGACAAGAATAGCTGTCAAGTAAATGGGCCGCGGTAGCAGATTGGAAAGGAATGAATGCGGCCAATTGAACGATTGAGAAAAAGAGAGTGACAGGGTTCTTGCAGGCTCATTCAACCAGCGAGCAACACAGGACCCAAAAAGTTACAATTTGAACGGAGTGATGGGGTACACAAGCAGAGCAAAAGCGAAAAAAGGGATGACATGATGATTGTCTCTCAAGCCGCGAAGAATACTTGGCAGAACTGTCCTTTGCTTGGCGATTTTCATCCACTCGACAGATCCATATCGTCGTCGTTATGGAGAGGACATTATTATTGGCGAATGTGCTTACACAGCCACAACAAGCGTGGGTTTAGATCCTCTGAATAGCGTATCCTGGACGCGCGGAGAATCGTGATCCATCATTATTGAGTATGTGGCTGCTGCAAGCCTGCAACGAGATTGGGGCAACTCAGTCCCCCTTATCAGATGTGATCTTCTACGTTCCAGTAAGTTCAGCGGTCATTAGAAGATTTGTAGAGGTCATCTACGGTGGTATTAGCTAGTCATATTGTGATGCCCTCCTATTTATTGGCGCTCTGATTCTGATTTATGAGGCACCAGATCAGTAAAGTTAGTTATTCGCAACTAGCACCAGGTCGTGATAGTGGCTCCTTAGTAGATCCTAATTATATGTATCCTAACTGATTAAGGTTGGCTCTCAATTCTTTGGAAAGTCAATTCCCTGTGTGCTTTGGAGAGCCATTTTCGAAACCTCTCAAAAAGGGCAATCTCTCAAAAAGGGCACATTCATGGGTATCAGGTTATTGATCAATCTGATCACTCTTTGTGAAGACGGTACCTTGAACTGAAGCCTGAGTTTCATGGAATCATGGTTGATTGCAGTACCATCCGTGGGTCTGGGATAGATTGAGTCCATACGGAGTACTCTGCAGCATGACCAGGAACCAAGCCACATCATCAGCCACGATGAATCACATCAGCCACACTGTAGTATTCAATCTTCGTGTCAAGGCTCAGCTCTTGACTTTCAACTGCTGGCAAGAACCTGATAGCACCATCATGCTTAAAGTTTCCTGTCCGCCTCTTGGAGTCGAATTGACTCTACAATAGTGCGCAATCAATAATACCCAAGTTGTCCTGCAACAAGACACGTCAGTAGCACTTGCATCTGTCACTGTCTGAAGATCAAGACACTGCTGGATTCAAGTCATCAGTGCTCGTGTCCGATCCTTGCGCCATGATGCGGTGAGATCGTGAGTTGTTCTGCCTGTAGTTGTTGCCATGCCTTAAGTTCTTGACACAGCCGTCTTGTAGTCTACGCAAATATATCCTTAATGCTCACTGCTATATATGGCCGAAAATCGCTGCGGAGAATCCACTTAAGGATATATTTCGCAGTGGTACAGCTCAGGTATAATCAGTTCAGCAACGCAGCGCAATTGTTGCTTAATACATCATGCAATGTATGTGACCAAAAAGAAAGGCAGTGATATTAATGAGTCAAGCTTGTTGTCGGTGCATACGACCTGAACGACATTCTTACATGTTTGCATAAACTATTGTGTAATATTCCTTTATGTTCAGCTGACTATTAGTACAGCGGACTGAAAATTTTTATTACTGTGGGCTTGAGTGCGGTTCCAGACCCTGAAACCCTGGTTGCCCGTCCCTGGTAAGACGCTGTATTGCCCAGGGGTGTGTATCATTAGGTAGGTAGTCTGTCAAAAGGTAGGAATACTGGTCAAAAAGTACTCGCATAATAATATGCCTACGAACTATTTTACAGAGTACCCAGTCCTACTTCCATTGCGGTGGTAGTAAGCCAACTCTTCGACTTGACCCACGGATGCTCACATAATCGAAGTTGGCAATTTTAGGAGCCCATGATTCAGGACAAGCCGGACAAGCCGGACAAGACTGACAAGCCGGAACTTGAGAGAGCGAAGCAACACTTATGCCCCTATTCATCAGCCAAGCTACTTCAACAAGACAACTGGGCAAAGGTAAGCATACAGGGTTCGGTGTAATTCCATTCTTACAATACAGGCCCCATCTCAACCGTCGAATCAGCGCCCTGGACCCTGGCGCTAAGTTTCAAAGGCCCCGCAGTTATATCACCGAGAATGTCAATCCTTTGTCTCTGGACGTATCATTTTCTTCCCTTCCATTGATTGCTTTGATTGTTCTCAAGCAATGATCAATATTTACATACATAGGATGCTTGGCGATACACCAGATTTCCCACCTTGGATACTCTCAAGTGAGACAATTGCGACAATGGTCTCCATCAATTGCAGTAAGAAGAGTAAGACGATGGACTCCAGTCAGTAAACGCCCAATCATCAGTCCACAATGCTCACTAGATGTCTCAATGTTCCAAAGAATCAATTGGATGATTGAGAGTCGAATATACTATTTATAATCGGCTAGTGACTGGGTAATATTATTACAGGGGCTGCTTACTACTCGGTGCATACTCCGTACTCTAGTCCTCGCAAGTGCTTGCCTTGGTGCCTGCTCCAGCTTCTCCTTTCCCATCTTCTTCTCTCCTGTCATCCCCGTGCTTTCTTCTTCCTCTCTTTCTTCATCTTCTCGACATCCTTTCTTTCCCTCCTTGTATTCTATTTTCCCTCTCGGGACTCCAACCATTCAACGGCTCATTGTGTAACCGCCGTCAGTCACTCGTTGTCCATATTCTGTCATTTTCTTCCTAAGAACCCTGTGGGTTAGATATCAACTGGGTTTACGGACCGAGACGATCAACCCACTCTTCGCAGATCATCAATATTATCTTTCATCTACAATTGAGTTTGCCCTCGTTTAAATCACATCCAACATGAAGTTCGTTTACGCCGCCGCCGGGGCTTCCCTCGTGGGCAGCGCCCTCGCAACACTGCCCGCCATTGAGGCTAAGGTACTGAAGGCCTGTTGCTCCACGATCGCATTGGACGCTAACTCATATGTACTTGATATAGGGCAACAAGTTCTTCTACTCCAACAACGGAACAGAATTGTAAGTTTGGCCTGTCGCTTCCCCCAGCGTCATCGTTCAGTGACTGACCGGCTTTAGCTTCATTCGCGGTGTTGCCTACCAACGTATGTCCCAGAGAGATCCCATCGATCGACCCCGAAACTAATCCAGTGCAGAGGAGTACCAGGCCAACGGCACATCTTCCGAGAACTCCGACTACACCGATCCTCTGGCCAATGTTGACAGCTGCAAGCGTGACATTCCCTACCTGAAGCAGCTGCGTACCAACGTCATCCGTACCTATGCTGTCGATCCCACCAAGAACCATGACGAATGTATGAAGCTCCTGGACGATGCCGGCATCTACCTGATTACCGATCTGTCCTCGCCATCCGAGTCCATCAACCGTGCGGACCCTTCCTGGAACACTGACCTGTACAAGCGCTATACCAGCGTCATTGACGCCTTTGCCAACTACAGCAATGTCATTGGCTTTTTCGCGGGTAACGAGGTCGCCAATGACAACAACAACACCAATTCTATTGCGTACGTGAAGGCTGCCGTGCGAGACACGAAGGCGTACATCAAGTCCAAGAACTATCGCTCCTCCCTGGTTGTCGGATACGCCACCGACGACGACGCCAATATCCGTGCCGACTTGGCCGACTACCTTGTCTGTGGTGATAAGGAGAGCTCTATCGACATGTTCGGCTACAACATTTACGAGTGGTGCGGTGAATCTTCCTTCGAGAAGTCTGGCTACAAGGAGCGCACTGAGGAATTTTCCAAGTACCCTGTGCCTGCTTTCTTCTCCGAGTACGGCTGCATCGACCCCAAGCCCCGCAAGTTTACCGATGTCCCCGCTCTGTTCGGTCCCCAGATGAACGATGTCTGGAGCGGTGGTATTGTCTATATGTACTTCCAGGAGGCCAACGACTACGGTCTGGTTTCGGTCAACGGCGACAGTGTCAAGACCAAGGAAGATTTCTCCTACCTCTCCTCTGAGATGCAGAAGGTGACGGCCACCGGTGTGAACAGTGCAAGCTACACTCCCGCCAACACTGCCGTTCCTACCTGCCCTTCGGTCGGTACCAAGTGGGAAGCCTCCAACAAGCTGCCTCCTACTCCCAACAGTGAGCTGTGCGACTGCATGGTTGAGACTCTGTCCTGCGCTGTGAAGGATTCTGTGGACGAGGAGGACTACGGTGACCTTTTCGACTACCTCTGCGCCGCCGGTGTGTGCGGTGGAATCAACTCCAACTCAACCAGCGGTGACTACGGAGCTTACAGCGTCTGCAGTCCCAAGCAGAAGCTCTCCTTCGTCATGAACCAGTACTACAAGAAGAACAACAAGGCTGCGACCGCCTGTGACTTTGATGGCAAGGCCCAGACCAAGAAGGCTGCTGATGCCTCGGGCTCTTGCTCCTCTCTGATCAGCCAGGCCGGAACTGCTGGCACTGGTTCCGTGACCGCCGGTGCCACTGGCGGCTCCGGCTCCGGCAGCGCCAGTGCGACTTCCCAGGGAGCCGCCGGTGTTGCCGCTAGCCCCATGGCTGTTAAGGTTGGCAACTGGCAGTTTGGTGCCTACATTGCCACTGCTCTCTTTGCCGGTGTCGGTATGCTTGTGCTGTAGGGTGAAACAGATTTGAGACGGATGCAGTAGAGGGGTTGTCGTTTGTGTGGTTTAAATTTTTTGTTTTGAGTACATACTTTTTAGCAAGTAGTGTGGTGCTTCCATTCCTTTCGACAGGAACTTTGCTTTTATACCTGACCAACTGGCGGTCTCTTGGACATTAGTTGAATGAATGATTTAGTTAATACACTGCATTTATAGGCTATGGACCGGCCATGGTAGATATAAGCTAAGCTTCAGCCAAGGTAGGAAGTCGGGAGATTAGAAGTCCAAGACTGACAAGTGGCTGAGATATTTTAAATGAAAGAGGTTAAGAATGATAAGCAACTAACCACCTACAACTGTTCCCAACTTGTAGTGCAAGCGAAGGTCATAATATACAAGAGCTACGACCAGGGAAGGGGTATTGTACTGGTAACCGAGTCTCGGTGCCAGTCACCGAAGTATAACTGCAGTAGAGTGGATCTCACAGACATCACCCTCGGCCTCACACTCGGCATGCCGAACACTTCCCGGAAAAGAATCCGTCAGCGTACATATTTATCTCACGTATTTCGCAACTAGTATGGCTGAATTAGAACTGAAATCTTATGAATCTCGATCTTGAGAAATGGGCCCTGTATCCCACGGCAAACCAAACAGATACCTAAGTCATGGCAAGCCCAAGCCCAAGCCCAACCGCAGCTCTCGACCCCGAAAAGAACACACAAGATACATTGCATCTCCCCCTCTGGCGCAAATGCATCATTCTCTTCATAGTAAGCTGGATGACCTTCGTCGTCACCTTCTCCAGCACGTCTCTCCTCCCCGCAACCCCCGAAATCGCGACTGAGTTCAACACAACCCCCGAACTCCTGAATGTCACCAACGCGGGGGTGTTATTGGCGATGGGCTTCTCGTCGCTTATTTGGGGGCCGGTCACTGCGCTGCTTGGGCGAAGGGTTGCGTATAATATTGCGATTGGGGCGCTGTGTGGGTGTTCGGTTGGCACGGCGGTTGCGGGGGGAGTAGTGTGTTTACGGCTTTTAGGGTGCTGGGTGGGTTGACGGGGACGTCGTTCATGGTGCAGGGGCAGACTATCCTGGCGGATATTTTTGAGGCGGTGTGTATAATTCTTTCTGGCTGTGGGTGATAAAGGGTAGGGCTGATTTTGGTGATATAGAAGGTTAGGGGGACGGCGGTTGGGTTCTTTATGGCTGGGACGGTGACGGGCCGGCGATTGGTAGGTATAACCGGTTCCCTCTGCCAATTCTCTCTGGTTGAAAGTGTTGACGGCGGGTAGGACCATGTATCGGCGGCTTGGTGGTGACCTTTGCCCACTGGCGGGTCATCTTCTGGGTGCAGGTTGCCATGGCCGGGCTGGGCCTCGTGCTTTCGCTACTTTTCGTCCCAGAGGTCGAGAAGAGAGAAGCCGAGGGTGAAGGTGTCCCACGCCCTTCTTCCCTGCGAGAGGTCCTTGCCATGTTCAACCCCGTCCGTATCTTCCGGCAGTGGTTGTATCCCAACGTCTTTCTATGCGTATGTACCTGCCTGCCTGCCTGCCTGCCTGTCTGTCAAAAAAAAAAAAAAAAAAGGAAGAAACTGACTGAGACAGGACCTAACGTGTGGTCTCCTCGCCATCTTCCAGTACGGCCTCCTCACCTCCGCCCGTGAGATCTTCAACCCCCGCTTCAACCTCACCTCCGCCCTCGTCAGCGGCCTCTTCTACCTCGCCCCCGGCGCGGGATTCCTCCTGGGGAGTATCCTCGGCGGGAGACTATCCGATCGCACAGTGAAACGGTATATCGCTCGCCGCGGGGGCTGCGTCTTCCGCAGGATAGATTGAACAGCGGGCTGGCGACGCTGTGCGTGGTGCTGCCCATCGCGGTGCTGGTTTATGGGTGGACGCTTGAGAAGAGGGCGGGGGGTATGGCTGTGCCTGTCATTGCGGCGTTCTGGGCGGGAGTGGGTCTGATGGGCTCGTTTAACGGGTTGAATACGTATGCTGCTGGTGAGTGTTCCTTTGGTGAAGGCGAAGGTGAGGTGATACGGATGTTGATATGTGGTAGAGGCGATTCCCGAAAGAAGGTCCGAGGTTATCAGCGGGAAGTATATCGTACAGTACTTATGTTCGGCCGGGAGCAGTGCGGCCGTTGTTCCCCTGGTCAAGGTGATTGGGGTGGGCTGGACGTTTACAATCTGTAAGTGACACTTGCTATGGGGTTGCGATTCTGGAGGCGAACTGACTGAATAAAGGCGTGGTCTTGTCGCTGCTCGGTGGAGGATTTGTGTTCTGTATCACGCGCTGGGGGAAAGCTATGCAGCTGTGGGCTGAGGAGAAGTTTCATTTAGACGGGAAGACTGGGCTATAGATTGCATCGCGTTGCGCTGATTGCACGAGTCATGACCGTTAGACGATAGACGATAGAGTACAGAGTATATATCCAGATATCATAGTATGCTGTGCAGTTCAACTGCCAACGTGTGTACACTTATAGGCCATGACTCGTATACATGCTCTCGGTGTCGTTCATAAACGTGTCCACGGAATGCAACAGTCCCAAATCGAAATCTGACTGCGCGAGAAAGTCCTGCATTGTCGGCTCCAGAAAAGTTATTGCTGTTGGGAATCCCACTGCGGCGTCATGAATCGAAAGCCCAGGCGCTAGGTTACCATACCCATTGTACCCCGGGCTACTGTTCACCCCATTGTCCGCCCTGATAATCGACCCAGGTCCCGGTTGCAATGGAGCCGTTTCATCAGTATGAGGTTGCGTCGGAACGACAGACGAGGCCGGAATGTTTCCTGGCCCGAGAGCTTCTGCTCCGTTTACCCTCGGTTCCTTTCTGCGACGTTCGTCTCCGTACCGTTCGAGACAGTATTTGACTTGCTCGAGATTCTGGTAGAATTCCGAGGCCGCAAGATTGCCGTTCTCGCTCATCGACTGCAGCACAGTCAGACCGGTCTCAAAGGCGCCTAGGTCGTTGCGGCTGCCAATGGGCAGCAAGCTGGACATTGCAAGCACCAAAGAAGCCGAGAAGAGGTAGTGCGCGTGAAAATAGCCAAATACCGGAACGGAGCCGTTGATGTAGCGTGTGAGTATCAGGGAGTGACTGTGACGGGCTGCGTGTATACACGCTTCACCCAGAGTCCAGACCGGTTGCGAGATGGCATTGTCCTTGCTCGTGGGGGTGGTGTTGGACTCGCTGACTTTGATGAGGAGATGGAGGAGGGTCGGACGGGTTGTGAGTATAACGCACTTTCCAAGTCAGTATTGTTCAGTTCCGGATGAGGAGGAAGCCAAATACCTGGTTGAAAGCCAGATGTAGAGAGCTAATATGTTTCGTATTCATCTCAGGGTCGTTTTCGTTCAGTCGCAAATGGTCGGGTAGTGTATCTATCCAGTTCTTCAATGCTTTCAGTAGCTTCTGCACGCGCTGGAGAAACGTTTCGCTGTATTTGCGTCGGCTGTAGAGTTTCGCAATAGTTTCGCCGACAATCCGAGCGAGCTCTATATTGGCTTTCTGATAGTCTGGATCGGAGAATTGTTCATCGTGCAGCTGCGCCGGGCTGATCCTGGACGGCATGTCCACGTGGATATCATCATCAAGAATCTGGGATGGCATTCCCATCTTTGATCCCCACATGCGATCAAAGATGTAGATCGTCCACCAAATCCGCACTCGATGTTGGCGCTCGACAGGGTCGATGAGCTGCGACTCGGGGATGTTATGATTCAAGCCAATCTGCAGACTCAAGCGCATCGCGCTGCCGATCAACACATACGCCGAGTGGCGTCGATTGAGATAGTAGGAGAACAATGACTTGATGGTCAGTTTTCTTCTTAAAATGGGTGAGGGACTAGGAACAAACAAACCAGTAACAAGAGCGTCTCCAAATGGGTAATGCTTGTTCTCTCTGGCAATACCTGGACCAAACTTAGGGCGCGCGCAAAATACGTAGTCCCTGGCACCCTCGACCCGGACAGAGGTTCTGTGCGGATCGAATAAGCTTCTCCAAAAGCGAAAAGAGCGAAGAATTTGCACTGATTGACCTTGCAGTCAAAGTCACCCGTGCGATATATTTCCTCGAGCTTCTCCATTGTCGATTTACGCAGTAACAGATGATAAAGACATCCGATCTGACGCAGCACAATCTTCACCAGGAGTCGTGCTTGCTGAAGGCTTGGCCACTGTACATACGCCTCGTTGGCCGCTGCGATATTCGCTTCCTTGACATACTGCATCCGAGGAATATGGGGTGTCGTGTTACTACCGGTCAGAAAACGACGGAAACGAGTAGCAAAAGCCGTGCAGGCTGCCTCGCCGATGAAGATAGGCGGCGCTGATGGGTCGTACGGATGGAACCATGCACGGTCACCGATCAATGGGTTACGTACACTAGTATTGCTTTCATCTGGCTGCTCTGTGAGTCGTGATTCACTTGCTTCGGCGTCATGGGTCGGTTCGGCCAAATTTGCCGAGGGGGTCGATTGTTCTTTTAGACGTCGATTTTCCGAAATCAGACTTTCCAGATAGCTGTACACGTAGTTAGCAATAAAGCTTGTCCGTTCAAGAGGCATGGAAACTCGAACTGATCAAGGAATCTCGTTCGCATACCTTTCGCTCACTTTGACCTGGCGATCGCGTTGTGCATATGTGCACTCATCTGCACAACCCACCATGCGGCATTTGGCGCATGGCTGCTCTCCAGAGCACTTGATCTTATGCGCATGACATCTCTGGCAACTGAGTCGTCATCTCAAGCGAGAGTTAGATGCCATACTTTGGCCAAGAGAGATGGTGACGCACGCAATGAACTTCCTGCGCTTGGAGGATTCATCTGTCTCCGCGCTCTGAGTGTTCTTCCGCCGGTTCATCTGCCATAACATTTCGATCACCTTGATCGAAATCAACAATTTCTCATGACAACCCTGCAGACAACGTACAGCGCTTTCTTCAACGTTCTTAGCAGATTCTGAACTTGCTTGGGCCGCTCGAGGGCGTTGTGTCCAAGTGCCAAGAACTCGGCCGCACTCGCCGAACTAAACCTATCCTTTTATCCAATCAGCACAGTCAACGACCCACACGATATCGAAGGCAGCGTTCAGGTACTTTCAGTTCTGATATAAAAGAATGCGTACGACTGATATTGCTGAACTTTGTACTGGAAATAATCTATCCAATGGCTGTTACAGAATGACAAGACTCTTGAACTACCTTGAAAGGAAATCACGCAAGAAAATGAAGTATAACTTAAAGCGAAGCCGGTCACTTCTCATGGATTGAAGCAGATTTGACGCCGGAGGGCTGCGAGATAGCACTCGAGGACTGCTGTTTACAAACGAGTTTCAATGGCTGGGTATAGGATGAAGTATAGCAAAACGCTTATAGCAATTATTCTCATGTTCGACCTCAAGTCTTGTCGAAAAGTTCTCTGGGTCTCATGGTAGAAGGTGCGTTGAAACGTTTCCAATGATGAATTCCTGTATGGCGCGTTATTCTAAATCACCATTATTGGCCTTTAGCAGCCATCTACATTTGTGGCTATCCGCATCCCAAGTAGCAGAGGCTGGCCAACCCGCGCAAGGTACGACCTAGTATGATATTCCATTGTGCTAAGCTCGACGGATATCTCGACCGAGAGGGAGAGAGCCTCGTCGCCTGTGTTTCAGAAAGATAGAAAGACGTACTACGAGAGTGCTGTCCTGGGAAAGCAAGAAAGTATGTGACTGTAACCTATTGATAAGGCAGTAGACTGGGTCCAGGCCAGACACCATCGGGGGAATTGTACGGATTGATTCGGTACTTGCAGCTGAGGAGAACAGACCTGACTGCCGCAAGGCTATTCAGGATTCGCAAATCACATCGGGATTCACAGTCCAGTATGCTTTATTACAGTCACGGTGCTTGAACACCTACCTCTCCTGTTCTTGTGTGTTTCAAGCGTACCGGAGAGCCAATGAGCCCAGCGGCGCCTCTCCGAGTATATTGTGCCCACAAACAGTTCTGTAAGATATTTCGTCTACGGGACTTGAGTAATACAACAAAGGATGGTGATACCAGACAATACCGTCGCGAGTCCGTCTTCTCGAGACTGACGGATTCCGAACCCGATTGTGAACGATCATCCCCCATTCGGTCTTCAGATGCTTCAGTTAATGGTACATTGTCAGGAGGACACCAGTGGCCTTCATTTCTTGGAAGCAGATATATTCTCAAGGAAGCTTCGGCTGTAGTACGCGTCATTTGAATCCTTACTGGCCCCAATGACGGGAGCTATCGGTTCTTAACGTCGAAAGGGGACTCTAGGAAAGCCCGCGGACTGCTTGGAGAGATGAGGAGGTAGCATTATGATCGTGATCGCAACGAATCTGGGGTAGGTGCATGTTTTGATTTTGCGCGTTTTTGCGCGTTTAGGTTGAAATTACGCCTGGAATGGACGACGGAACAGACGGGTCAGATGGCATTCCAAAGGCGCGTCTCTTTGCTTCTGGGGGTCAGCCAGCCACGTTAGTACGGTAAGCGGATTAACCAGTTGTCTTCTCGTTATAGCTACGCCCTTGACAACGGGATGAAGAGGCCGACACGACGATTTCTAGACCACCATCCAGCAAAGAAGAGGTGCTGAGAGCCACGCAACCTACCCAGCTGTAAAAGAGCATCATTTTCTAAAGTTCAATTTTGTATCACCGGGTAGTTTGATGGTGGAGAAAGAACAGCATAAGATGAGGGAGGCAGGTTGGGAGAGCGAGAGAAACTGGCCTGACTCCTATAGCAAGTAGCACAAGGCTTCAAAGAAGCCAGAGGGAGGATCAAACCAGCACGGCGAGATGATCAGTAGAGCAGACAGGCGAATCCCTCAGTTTTGAGACAAGGACTGAGCAGAGCGCACAGATTCCTTCTGAAGGTCACCCGATCAGTCACGGCTACTCCGTAGTGAACATTGTCGTGCAGACTTTCTTTCTCTTTAGCTCCGTCCTCTAGTAAGTCGTAAGAGTCCCAGAGAATCACAGCAGAAAGATAGGCCTGGGGGAAATTCTGTTGGTCAATGTAGAGAGGGCAGGCCCACGGTAGGTAATCTTAGCATCGGTCGGATTTCTTCTCCAGTGCCAATTGAGTGGACAGACGGCTAGACGGGATCCTTCACCCTTCTCTTTCTTCCCGCTGGGTCGTCGACGTGGCTAGGAACGTGGCTAGGAAAGAATCATCAACCTCTGATAGAAATGAAGGTCTCTCCTAATACTTTTTTCTCATATACTTATCCAAAACTCACAATATCATGCGGACTGTCAGGAACATGGGTCTGCTTCCTGCACCATCAATTTAGCCTAGAGTTGACCGCTCTGACATCATGACCGCATCAGAAAGC